TGTGTATCACAGTACAAAAACAGCGCAGTCGTAAGGTCAAATTTTTTCGATATTTAGAGAATCAAGTCAGATGGCAATCAGCAACACCAGTGCATACTCAAATTAAGTCAAATAAAAAGCCAGAAGAGCTGCTGCACACACTACATTGCGTTTCGTCGAGCACGCTTGTGAGCTGCTGCACACACTACATTGCGTTTCGTCGAGCACGCTTGTGCTGCTGAATCGCGCGCGCACTCCCATCAGACGCGGCATCGCTGTCACTACTGCCGCCGTCACTTGCGGCCGCCGCTGTTGCCGCCGGCTTCCGAGCGCGAATCTTGCGCTTGGTAATGGACGGCGGGATCACGGTACCGTTCTTCCAGTGTCGGTGCCAAATCTCGAGGCAGGGAACTGCCTCACCATTACTTGTGTGCTTGACTTTGTTGCACAGGAACACTCGTGCAGTATGAGCGTTTTTTGCCGCCGTCTTGAGCTTGCCGCCACCGCAGTAGAACGTAGTCTCGCCTCCTCTCGCCTCGCCAGCGCGCTTGAGCACCGAGTACACCTTGCAGGCACGCTGGCGTCGCTTTCTCGTGTCGTCCGTGTTGTCCTTCCTCCACTCGTCGGTTGGTACGGGTACATGAGTTGTTGTAGCCTTGCGTTGCTTCGATGGTGTAGGGTGCATGCCGCGGTGGCGCAGCATTTGGGTCCAGTCGTCAGGCTTCAGCTGGATCAACTCCAAATGAAGCTTCTTCAGGAACTCGACGTGCGTAGCTTTGCGTTTGCCATCCATGGTGCGGCGCCAGTTGTACACAATGGAAGCATTGATGATAGCGAGATCAATCAGACCCAGGAACAATGACTAGTAGTATTTCTTGTAGCGTCTGGCCCTTTGAAGAGAGTATCTGTAATAAAGCAGTATGATACACGATAATCAGTATTGATAAAACTGTACATACACGATACAAGCACTTTACCTCTGGAGTCGAAGCTGGTCATGTACGTCCACGCCGCCCATGTACGTTTGATAGTCCTTCGCTACGGCGCGATGGTCACTACGGCGCGATGGTGCTGGTGATCAGCAAACCAATAAAGACACACAATTCTCTGCCCGAGATATCCTTTGTAGTTTGCAGAAACTCCTTTATTTGTTGCGGCGTCTGAACTTGAAAATCAGGATGTTTCTCCTTTCGTTTCTGCTGCTTGGCGTACTGGGCAGCTGCTCGCAGGTCCAGGTTGTCCTTGAAGTAGTCATCACTTGCTCCAGCAATAGCTTCCCACAAGTGCGGCGGTACAAAGCGAAAGAAAGCTCCCGACGGTGTCAATGCCGCAGCAATTGCATCGGCTGTAGGTCCATGTTCTCCTTCATAGATGTTTGGTAGGCTTCTTTGATCCAGCCGTCTGGTCGCGCGTTGTACGGCTGGTGCATGTACGGGTAGGGTATCACATTGGTCAGTTCCGTCCATCCATTGAACTTCATGTCCGCCAGAACGTCCTTGGGCACGCTGCCGTGGGCAATCTCTGACAACCCTCCCACGGTTTCGAGCAGTGAGGGATTGAAATGAAGATCCGAGGCCGAAGCTGCCACCTCCGCAGCCGGTTCCGTGAGCGCCAATTCTTCGTCATCGCCGAACACAGAGGTTGTTCCATTCTCCCCATCTGAATCCAATACTGTGTAGTCGTCAACGACTTCCCCAGGCTGCATGATGTTTGGATCATCTGTATGATACACGATAGAAGTCAGTAAAATGTATCGGTATCGTGTATGTATGTGTATGTACACAATAAACTTACCAACAGAAACTGGTGTGTCTTCTTTGGTTTCCTCATCATCCTCGTTCATTTCGCTTTCCTCTTTCGATTCTTCTTCAAGTTCCTCTTCATCACTCCCCGACGGCTCGTACTCGCTCGCTATCAGGTGCATCGCACTGGCCAAACTCCGAGCGAAGATTTCGCGTTGGCGTTTGAGGAGAAGCGGTTGCTGCAAAACAGATACGACAAACGCAGAGAGTCAACACCAAATTAACGCCTTTCAGTGATACTTCATTGACTTACCTGGTGAAGCCGATCATGCAGGGCTTGACACGTGGCTGCTGGCCTCGGACCCGAGATGAGGAGACGTAGAGACCAGATCGGCAACGCGGTGGCGGCTGAAACTTGGGGTACCCTCACCTGAGTTGAGTGTACAATACACGTTTGGGTTAGCCCAATAGCTTGTAGAACACAAGTTATCATTCGTTACCTTGCGACTGAGGAGGCTGGGCGTCCGCAGCATCCGATCCAGCGTCCTGCTCATCGCTTCATGTACCAGGTTCAGCGTCTTCAACGTGGGGAGAGGTTGGGATGAGCGGTTCGCCAGCAGCTTTGCCTGTATCGTACACGATAGAGTCAGATCTAGGTCGTATCCAATACACGTTACCCAAATTGGTCACCTTGTTGGGCTTCGTCAACATCATCTCTCGGGCAGTCGTGCTGGCCACTTGCTTGATGCGCCGCAAACGTTTCGTCGGGGCCATCGCCTTCGGCTTGTCCGTTCTGAGCAGCAATCGCGTCCTCGTAGGCTCGGCGCTCCATTCCTCTCTTCTCCTCCATTGCCACTATTAGCCACAAGAGAAAAGATGTCGTCAAACTTGAGTTATAACAAAATACGGTCATTCTCGAAACGTACCACGATCACAATGGTCCAGATACTTCATTAGCGCTTCTGCGCCGACGAAAAAGTCTTCATTCTCGACATCGTTCTTGGTTTTACCGTGCTTGATGTAGGTGTGTTGACGGAGAGTCCCGCAGGCTTCTTTGAGGTCCATCCGGCCTTCGTGAACTCCTTCCAGCGCGCACGGAAAACCATCGTGTCGTTGGTTGGGTGTCGGGCGGTAAACGTGCGGTAGCGCGAGGTCTGTGCGGCGGCGCGGGATTTTCTGAAGTGAGGCCAGAATGGATGGCGTGCGCAAACACCTTCACATACTTATACTGATTTGACGAGCACGCTGAGCACCTCTGGTATCTTATTTTTACGAAATACGAAGTTCAAGTGCCGCGCACGACTATGCAGGCTGATCGGGAAAGGATGGGGCATATACCTACCCCCGGTTGACTTCAACTTTGTATTAGCCTATACAAAGACGAAGTGAAAATTCCTTAACGTGTCTAATACAGGATAAGCATTTTGTCGAATCGTGTCTAATACAGGCTCTCGCGCTGGGGGGGTTATTAATGAAGATCAGCGGACGTGGAGATGCACTGGTCTAGCTTCGGAGCTCTCGCTTGTTGCGGGGGTACTACTTGACTTGACTCGACTTGACTTGGACTCGCTGACTCAGACCCACTGGTTCTTGAGGATGTACTCGCGGCCGTCGATCTTGGTACTTCGGTAAGGGAGATGGCGAGTTGTCGAAGCAGTGTCTTCGTCGTCGCTGTCGTTGAGCGGCAGCGCATTGACAAGCAGCAGTTGCTCGTGGCTGCCGCAGTTCGTCTCGGCGAATCCACACTGGCTTGACTTGTTCTTGACTCGACGTTCATCGAGAGAAAACTCCGAGCGCTGGAACTCCTTGCGTCGATCGTCCTCCAAGTCGGTGACGGAGGACAGCGAGCTTGCGATGCTAGACCTGGAGAAAGAGTGCGAGGTGGGGCGCGGACGCTTGAGAGATCGTGGCTCTTCCGCGGGCTTGAGGTGTCAGTCGACGGTGTGTCTTCGGTCGCGGTAGACGCCACCTTGGAGCGGTTCCTCCAGGCCGTCAGCTCTTGCAGGGCAAGCGTGTAGCAGCCTCGAACCGTTGTCGCTGCGCTGTTCGCGGCTTGGCCTCTCAACTGCATGAACTGGTGACGACGGGCAGCAAGCACTCGTCCGTCAAAGCGTAGCCTAACGCGTTTCCTGCCCAGCGCTGTTGGCCGATCAGCGCTACCTTCCTCTTGCTGTCGCTCTGCAAAGCTATCGTCTAACACGCAGATCTCGCTGTTTATCTCCGCTGCCTCTGGCGCTTCGTCGCTGGCTGCCAAGCTCGACGCGCGGTTCCTCTGTCGCTTCGACCGTGCAAGCTGCACCATTGTTCGTAGCGCTACGACAAGGCCTACCATCCGCACGCTGAAGAAGTGCTGTCAACTTGGCTAATGAAAGCGGAGTGATGCCGAGCGCGAATAAGTATCTTGAGGAAAGGACGCGAAGCTGAGGACTTGGTTGGGGACTTTCGCGAGGCAATACAGGCCGCACTCTCTTTCAGACAGGAGAAAGAAGATGAACAGCCGACTGCGTAGCAGCGATCATGATGTAGATAAGCACGCACTGATCAAAAATTGCATGCGTTACCTGAAGCGCAGTAGATATCTACGCGAGCATCGCTAGGCGCTTGGCCCGGATTTTGAGCACATTCGGTAGACGCAGCGATTCTTCCTCATTGTCCTCCTTGCTAGCAGCATGATGTGCAGCCATTTGCTTTCGCCTCTCAGTTTGAAGAACCTTGGCGGTGCCATTCAAAGCTTCTCCACTCGTACTGCCACTGCTGGCGTTACTCGCCACTTCGTGGTCCAGTTCACGACGCACGCCACGTTGTCGGAGACTCTCCTTGCTCCGACGCAGCCCTTCGTCGAATTCTTCAGCTGAGATCGTGAGTAGCGATCCGTCCACCTCCTCGAGAAACGCCACGCTTGACACCAAGTGCGTGAAGAAGTAGCCAGGCTCTGACACCAACTTGCTCGCACTCCGGTCAGGTCGGAAAATAAAATATCATATTGTATTTTGGTTTTGGAGTCGCAGTAATAATCATTGCAATACAGGGTCAGCCAATGCAATGCAATTATTTACGTGTTCGCGTAGCCAAATTACACCTGCGCTAGTCTCAGTTTAGCTAGTCGGCGGCATACTGTGGTGTCCGCATACGTCGAGTCTCCTTTGGCTGGCAGTGAGTCAGCAATGGTAGTCATGAGGGCCTTCCATTTACGTCGGTCTTGGGCAAGCAGTCGAAGTCTCTCCAAGTCTGAGCTGGTGCGGAGGCGGTACCCACACCCACTAGCATCAAGGTCCTGATCAAGGACAAGAGGCAGTGTGGTACGGGGCCTACCTCTCCACTTGCTGCTGTCTGAGGAAGAGAAATACGCCTTCATCTGGATAAACGCCGGGATATCTTGTGGTCGCCGTAGAATGTGCCCGAGAAGCCCCCACCTCGCAGATGTGATCCGGTGACGGAGCGGCCGCTCGCCACACGTTGCGTAGAGATCAGCGTTGAAGATGTGGTACGGGTAACGCACATTGAGGACAGACCGTAGCTGGCGACGGTGAAAGCTTTCGAGTCGGTGAAGCTCCGTTGGTGTAAGCGCCCAGGTCCCGCAGTTGTAGAGTAGTATCGGCAGTACGTAGCAGTTGTAGAGGTGAATTCGTGTCGTGTCTGTGATACGGTGCGATCTCAGCCAGACCGTCCAGAGCCGCCGAAGAGCAGCCGCAGCGAGTATTTTCCGACGCGATACGTCATCGGCATCTCCGAGCAACGAGCCAAGCTTCCGCGTAGACCTCCATGCTTCTTCCTCTGCACGAGCGTGGGGGTCGGCACTGGCAGGTGTCAGGCAGCGGTGGAGAATTGTGTGCTCCGTCTTTGCCGCGTTCATTTGAAGCGACCAGCGCGCGAATACTTCCGGCGCATGGGTCTGGATGAGCTCGACGAGGGCGGGGTCCCGACAGATAAAGTCGGCATCGTCCGCATACACGATCATTTGCTGGAGCAGGTCCGGCGACATTGCAGGGTGACTAGCTAGATCTCTAAGTGCTGCTTCTAGGTAGATAACAAATAATACTGGTGAGAGTGCGTCGCCCTGTGGCGTACCTGTGTTGCTGCCGAATGGTTGCAGGATCTGGTGGCCGATGCGGAGTGAAAGCGTTGTGTCGGATAGTAAGAGTCGAATCAGCCGGATTTCGTCGTCGTGTAGAAACTGCTGTAGAACTTTGAGGAGTTTGGCACCGTCGATCGTGTCGAACGCGCGCGAGAAGTCGATACCCAGTACATGAACGATTTCGCGATACTTTTGTACCCGTGCGCACAGCCACTTGTGGTCCCACACCGCGTCAGCCGTACTGCGGCTCTTGCGGAAGCCACTTTGGTGGCCTGAGAGAAACTTGTCGACCGCGGGTGTGATGCGGCGGAGAACGATGAGTGACACCGCTTTGCGAATAGTGTTCAGGAGAACTATCGGGCGTTGGCTTGAGCACTGCCCTCGTGGCTTGTTCGGCTTCTGGAGACACAGCAGGATACCTTGGCCCAGTGGGATGGGTTCACCGCGTTCGAAGCTGCGGTTTAGTAGATGTGCTAGTCGTGGAGCAACGTCAGCAGCGGCATACTTGAGTAGTTCACCAGGAATAGCATCGGGGCCAGCAGCACGACCGTTGTTCAGTCGAAGAAGGGCATCACGGACTTCGTCCGGCGTGATTGGGCAGTCTGGCGATACTTGAGCTTGATCTGGATTTAGAAACTGTTCTTGGAAGTGATCTCGGACAATTTTGTTAGCTGTGTTTCTGTGAAGTATATACTTACCTGATGAGTCTTGAATTAGAAGCTGCTGTGTCGGTTTGCGGGCGAGATCGCGGACGGCAACGAACATTTTGTGACAGTCGCTTGAAGCCTCGATGCGTGAAACCTTTTCGTCGAGGGCCATGTTAGCGAGGTCACAGCAGCGAGTGCGGATCTGGTGTAGGATCTTGTTTCGCTGAGAGCGCAGCAGCGCTGTGTTGGCCGATGTGTCGTCGAAAATGCGGAGCCGGAGCTGGCGTTGTTGCTCGGACAGCGCGGCGAGCAGCGGATCGTCGTAGCTGCTGCAGCGTCGTTGATCCGGCGAAGAAAACCCGATGGTCTGCGATGCTGCTTCGTGTAGCTTCGCAAAAGTGTCCTCCCATTGCAGGTTGATAGTGGATCAATCGTCAGCGTCTGCGGGGGGTAGGATCCGTTTAACGGCTGATGCGTAAGCGGTTCTGGAGTCGTCGCTGTGAACTAACTCGCTGCGTGCGAGGTGAACAGTTGTGCCGCTTGTGCGACGCGACGGAAACCGGAGGCGACGGATGTGCTTGAGCTCAAAGTCCGCGGTGACGATCTTGTGGTCGGACGGGGTGATGGCCCCACCCCAGGACTGGGCATCTAGACAGAACCGTCTACAACTCTGAGGGCAGAGTACGTAGTCGATTTGATTGTAGACACAGTGTGACCGCTTGCGCTGGCTCCAGGTGGTCTTGTTTTTCGCTCGCTTGGGAAAGGCTGTATTGGTAGCAAAGAGTTGATAAATATCACAAAAGGCAGCCATGAGGTGGCCGTTCCGGATACGCGTGCCTCGTGCATGAGGCCCGAGAAACGTTTCTCCGGTTGTTTTCTGCCCGAGTTTTGCGTTAAAGTCTCCGGTAATCATGGTGATATCTCTGTGGGGGAATTGGTCCATGGCTGCTCGAAGGTCTGCATAGAAAGCATCTACTTCAGTTAGTGGGCGCCCGCTGTGTGGAGCGTAGGCCGTGACGATGTTGATGGGTCCTGTGTTAGGTAGCCGCACCTGCAAGATGCCGATACGGTCGCTGTGAGCCCAGCACCGACGGAGGTAAGGAGTAACGCGAGGAGAGATGGCAAATCCAACTCGGTAGCGCTCTTCCTGTGCCGGCAACGTTAGTAGTAAGTAGTCTCCGACCTCAAAGCGCCCAAGCTCATACAGCTTGGTCTCTTGGAGGCCAAGGATATCGATCTGGTAGCGGCGCAGGTCTTGGGGAAGCGTTTCAAACTGCTTGTATAGCGAACCTAGGGACTGCACATTGAACGAGCCTATTCTAAGGCGGTTAGTGCGGTCAGTGCGGTTAGAACGATACGGAAGGGGGGTTGTGACGGGTAGTACTGCTGGTGAAGGTGGCTGCCAAAGGGAGAGACTCGCAAGGGACTTGCAGACGCCCGAGAGCGCCTGCCGGAAGCCCGTGAGCGGCATTCGCCGCCGTCCACGCGTTCCGGGGAGGGCGTCACCCCAACCCCCAACCAAAAAAGGGTCAGCCAATAATACATTATTTTCACAATTATTGGCGATAAATATATACGGGATTTTTGTAGTAAGCTTAGTTTTTGTATTGGTGCAAGTGTTGATATTGTATTGGGACAATTTTCCATTGTACGGGGGCACCCTAAAGCAATAATAAATTATTCTGTGCTAAAAATGCCGTAACTATTGTATTGATATTATTTTTTCCAACCCCTGACTCCGGTACTCCAAGATGTAGGCGACGTTATCTTGCGTCGAGGACTGGGGCAGTGCGTCATCGCTTCCAACTGGTTCGCCAAGCGAAGCCATGTTTGCTCCTGCTCTTCAGTCTTCGGCACGGGCAGATCTAGATGCTTGAAGGTGACGAAGCCCAGCAAACTCAGGCGTTCATGCAGCGCTTCATCTTGCCGCAAGGCGACTAACAACGCGGCGCTCGCGGTCGCAGGGTTCAAGACCAAGGACCTCAACTCGGACTTCGGCAACACCATGTACAACGACCACCACTTCCACTACGGCTACTGGGCCCACGCGGCGGCCATCATCAACCGCCTCGACCCGACCTGGAGCAAGCTCGGCAAGCTCAACACCATGGCCAACCTGCTCGTGCGCCACGTGGCCAACTACAACCCAGAGGTCAAGTTCTTCTCGCGCTCCCGCTCCTTCGACTGGTTCCACGGCCACTCGTACTCGCACGGCGTGACCCCGTTCGCCGACGGTAAGGACCAGGAGAGCACCTCGGAGGACGTCAACTTCGCCTTCGGCATGTACATGTTCGGTAAGGCGACCAACAACGCGGCGCTCACGGTCGTCGGCAAGCTCATGACGCGCGTCAACGCGCACGCCATCAAGACGAACTTCTACATCGAGGACGCCAACCAGATCCACCCGACCAACTTCCGCCCCAACAAGGTCACGGGCATCTTCTTCGACAACAAGGTGGACAACGCCACGTGGTTCAGCGCTGAGAAGTACTGCATCCACGGCATCCAGATGAACCCCGTGTCGGCCGTCACCGAGTTCGTGCGCACCAAGCAGTTCGTCAGGGAGGAGTGGGAGCAGGTGCTGAGCAAGGAGATAATCGTCACGCGCGAGACACGGGCAACTCGTGGCTCTCGCTGTTGTACGGCAGATGGCCAAGATGGACGACGGCTTGTCCCTGAAATTAAGATAGCTGAACGCGATCTCTTACTGCCAATGTCATGGGGTTTTACCGTGGAAATGTATCCAACAGATATTGCTCCTACATGGGTCTAAACTGACCAGTACTGATCGATTGATCATAATGTAAAGTATTACGTTTTCTCGTTGCCACGCTATGCTGTCGCTAGGCTCAGCTTTGCTAGTCGACGGCATAAGGTGGTGTCCGCATACGTCGGGTCCTTCTTCGCCGGCAGTGCGGCGACAATTGCCCTCTCGAGGGCTTTCCATTTAGGTTTCTCTTGTGCAAGCAGCCGAAGTTGGTCCAGGTCACGGCGGGTCTCGAGGCGATAGGCGTATCCGCTCGAGATAAGGTCCGCATCGAGCACAGTCGGTAGTGTCATGCGTGGGCGTCCACGCCAGGTTCCCTCGGACGACGAGTCGAAGTAGGCGGCCATCTGGGTGTACGCTGGGATCTCGGGCCGGCGCAGGATGTGGCCGAACAGACGCCATCGTGCTGCTGTGATTCTGTGGCGGAGCGGGCGTTCCTGACAGATTTCGTAGAGCGTGGCGTTAGAGATTCGCTGAGGGTAGCGAATGTTTAGTACGCTACGTAGTTGTCGGCGGTGGAAGCTTTCGAGCCCGCTCAGCTCGGACGGCGTCAGTGCCCAAGTTCCGCTGTTGTACAGCAGAACAGGAAGCACATAGCAGTTATACAGCCGGACTCTGGTGGCGTCACTGACGTACTGGGGCCGGATCCATATTGTCCAGAGCCGACGTAGCGCGCCTGCTGCGAGTATTTTGCGTCGTGTCAGATCTTCTGAGTCGCCGAGTAGACTGCCAAGCTTCTGTGTGGAGCGCCACGCCTCTTCTGTCGCCCGAGCGTGTCGGGAGTAGCCCGACGAGCCTGTACATCGCTGAATCATGGTTAGTTCTGTCTTGGTTGCATTCATCTGGAGGGACCAGCGTGCTGGTGCTTCGGCTTGGATGCGCTGGACCAGCTCGGTATCGCGGCAGACAAAGTCTGCATCATCAGCATAGACGATCATTTGGTCGAGTAGGGTCCGATTCACTCCGAGGTGGGATGCGAGGTCCGATTGATCATACCAGTGATAAAAAATATATGCGTCCGACACTTTTGTACGTGCAACTATGATGAAGCTCGCATGGAGATATTGTGCCTTTCCGAAACTTTGGCCAATCTGACCTCAAAAAGTTAGTCTTAAGAAGGAGAGGGTAGGGCTAGACTTAGGATTTGCTGTTGGCCTGGCATCGGATTACGGAAGTCCTACGTAGGAGCTCTGTCTTCATCTAAAGGGTACCTTTTTGGAAATAAGGACCGAATGGCCATGTTAAGCTGGCCATTTGAGCCTTCGTAGGACTAACGAGTCCTTCGTAGGACTAGATCAGGCCAGTGCGCCTGAAAGCATCTGTGACAAATGCATAGTTTGGCCGGATTCGTACAGGCGGAGACCGCAACCAGGTCACCGTGCACAGCGTGGAGCTACGTACGTGCGCTACAGGTATAGCGGTACTGAACGCGCTCACTTGTCGGCCTACCTTTGCAAGCCATTCGCTCAGTTTACATTCCGTTTTGGCTTATGCATGGTTTTACTGGCCCTAGTACTAACTTTTATGAGGTCTTCGTACGTAGGAGCAAAAGTCCTACGTAGGACCTCAACTCGGAGGGCGTTTTGCCAGAAAGGCACAATACCTGTTCGCCAGCTCCGTGGTGATCATGGTGGTCTACAATGTCCTTAGCGTGATCACCCTTCGAGCGACTGTACGTGCTTAGAAGCTCGATTTTAGTACGGGAGTACGCACCGTGCGCGTCCGGCGCACCTGTGAGAACCACTCAGTCTACATTATCTTGCTATAGACTTCAGGCTCTATGATGATAGCACACATGCTGCGGATGGTACGTAATAGGCACTCTCTACGGGTGGACACTCCTACTTGACAACGCGTGTGCTTCGCACAGGTATTTTTGGTGGACCAGATATTATCTTTGGTGGGGCCTCTTACTTTTTTGGTGGAAGTACACCGACCTCAGCAATAACTCGCTTCGCCGCTGCTCAGACAGCACGTACGACGGCGTGGAGGGTACGGTTGGAACCGCCGCAATCTCAGCGTTTTGGGACGACCGGCGAGGTGCATCCGCGTGCCCTGTAGCGGACGCAGTCGACGCCTTTGCGCCGCCGCCGAGACAAGGTTTTGTCGGACTATAAATAGAAGACGGGTGTAGCCATGTTGCGCGGACGGACACATTGAAGCTTCCCAGCAAGAGCTAACGATAACGATAGCGATGCCGGCGCAGCAGGAGGAGCTCGGTGCGTTATAGCTGGTTGCGGCTTGAATATGCGCAGTAAAGACTGACAGTGGTTGGTTGCGTTTGGTATGGCAGAAGAACGCTTCGTGCAGGCGCTCAAGTTCGACGAGGACGAGGACGAGGAGGACCAGCAGCGGGAAGAGGGCTACGACGAGGGCAGCGGCCAAGACAATGACGAGAGCTACCAGCAGGAAGAGGAGGACTACCGTCGACCTCTCAGCCGGTCGGCGTCGTCGGCAGCCTCCCGCTCCACCGCGTCCTTCGACCGCGACTTCGACGATGGCCCCATGCCGTACTCGGACTCCGCCGCCATCCAATCCAAGAAGTACATGGAGCGCGACCAGGTGCGGCTGGCGCTGGAGCAGGAGGAGCGCACTCGGCGCTTGAACAAGATCCGCGCGCGTCGCCAGCACTTGGACAAGTGGACGCAGAAGACGGCGCGCTCCCCGTTCCACGTGAACCTTGTGGCCGACAACGAACGTCTGGACGAGGAGCATCGCCTCCGCATGATGGAGCGCGCACGTCGCTCGCGGGAGCTGGAGAAGCGAGCCAAAGCAGCCAAGAGCGAGGTCATCCTGAAAGCACTCACCGAGACGCCAGATCTGGAGCTGCTGCGCCGCGAGAAGCGCGCCATCATCGACGAGGAGAAGCGGCTGAAGGCGCTGCTGGACCTCGAGAAGACCAACTCGCACCGCAAAATGGACCTCCTCGCGGCGCGCAACGCTGAGAAGCGACGTCGGCAGGAGAAGGAAGAGTACCGTCGTCGCCAGCGTCAGCAGGAGCTCCACGAGCGCGAGGCCCGATACAAACAGCTCCTCAAAGAGAAGCTGGCGTTGGAGGACGAGTAAATGTCCTCACCTCCTTCAAGCAAAACTCGCCCCGCGTGTATACACTTTATCACTCATCCACCACCTAATGAAGAATGCAATTACCCCCACGCAATATGGCTTCACCTTCCCGTGCATTACATTTTCTCGCTCTTGTCTCTTTATTCCTGCACAGTGCTGCGCTTGACGACGTAGACCTGCTCGGCATCCAGCGTCACGACGTAGTCGTACGTCGGGAACGTGACTGCAATAAGGAAATACACACAGTTAGCGTAACATCCTCGCAAGTGGCTCCACAGTTGAGAAGCTCTTTTAAGAGTCTCAGGCCCTTACTGGTCATGCGCTGCAGCTCCTCCTTCTGGCTGGCATCCAGCACGCTGCCCGAGTCCTGCAGCATGGAGTAGATGGTCTCGGCCGCGATCTCGCCGGAGGTGCCGCGCAGCTCGCCCGTGGCGGACAGCACTTGGCCCTGGATGTCCAGCACCAGCGTGCCGGTCTGGCCGCTCACAGCTCGCAGTGCGCCGGCGTCCTGCGCGTGATATTTAGCTTAGTTATACAAGGGATAGTGGCGGAGATGATGGCGGTGTTTGGGAGGAGAAAGAGCCCCTGCGCGCGAAGATACAGGGCCGTGGACGTCCACGACGAGAGCTGGAACGCACCATTTTGAGCTGATTCAGGTAGCAATGGGCGACTCCGTACCGGTCAAACGGTAGCAACTACCGGTTCTGAAGTCATTTTGTAGCCATGTGCGAGTGTAGCCATACCGATGTCTCGACCGACCGGGATGTCTTTGACGACGCCGGAAGAAGAGCTCCCGTTCCGAGCGTTCGTGCCGGCCAAGCAGGATCTAGCGGAGCTGGGCGAGCTAGCCGACCTCGAGAAGGTGTCGGTGCTCACGTACAATGTGCTGTCGCAAATGGGTGCTCGGCGGATGCAGCGCGGAGGCAAGAGCTACGTCAGTGCAGCGATCCTCAACATCCGACAACGACGAGATCGAGTGCTACGGTAGTGATGGCTGCGAGCGTGTGTATGAGACCGTTGCCTATTAATCACTGTGTTGCAACTGCAACAGAGAGATTTTGTCGTACGACGCCGACATCATGTGCCTTCAGGTAAGCCGTCACCGTCATCCGTGCACTTCAACATGCCAACCTATCATTACATTCTTGTTGCTGCGCAGGAAGTGGATGAGTACGACGACTGGTGGGCGGTGGAGTTGGCCACGGCTGGCTACGACAGCATCTACGCGACGTCTGCGGCGCCGAGCTCGGCTGCGGTGGCCAAAGAGATCGATGAGGGCCTCGTCACGGCGTTCCGGAAGAGCACCTTCCAGCTCTTCCGGTCGAGCGAGGTGCATTTGAACGACCTGTGCGCCAACATCAACGATCCGAATCTTGCGGCGAGGGCGAAGCAGGACAAGCTCGCGCTGCTGGTGAGTCTGCAGCCGTGGGAAACGTCGGCTCTGCCCTCTGCGCTCTGTGTAGCGAACACACAGCTTGCAGCGGGGGCGACACCCGAGATGGAGCGCGTTCGGGTGCTGCAAACCGAGTACTTGTGCCGCCAAGTTGCTGTGTTTAACGCAGATTTCCAGCTCCCCATCGTGCTGGCAGGGACGTTCAACGCCACCCCGAGCAGCGACGTCTACCATACAATCCTCACGGGCCGTCGGCGACCCGTTCCCGAGGCTCCAGCAGCTCCAAGTCGTCCAGAGGTCGATGAGCCCACGGCTTCATCACTGAGAGTCAACTGGCAGCCGCCTCAGCCGTCCGTAACGTCGCTGACATCGTCGGCTCCGGTTCTGGAATACAAAGTCGCAGTCAAGAACTGCGCGAGCAAGACGTCGGGCTTCCTGTACGAGCTGTCGGTCCCGGACGGAGCGGCCAAGTCGTTCGTGGTGGCGTCATTGAGCGCCAACATGACGTACCAGTTCCGAGTCATGGCGCGCAACGAGCACGGCTGGGGTCATTGGAGTCAGCCATCCGCCCCGGAGAGCACGCTAGAGCACGCTGCTTACAAGAGGAGGGCTCCGAGCTCTGCAGACTCGGCCGAGAAGCCTTTGTACCTTGCTCCAGACATCCCTCCAGACGTCAAGGCCTACGACATCTCGTTCGGATCGGGTCGTACGCCACGCTACACCAGCGAAGCGAAGCAGAGCAAACCGGTTGTCAACGTGGACGTGTGTCCCCGTCCGCTATTGTCTGCTATTGATCGCAGTGTTAGCGGTAGCGACCAGCGTGCCGAGGCGAAGCGATACGCGACTCTGCAGCCCCGAGCTGACCGTGACAGCTTGCTCGTCCACAGCGAGATGATGGAGAGCGCCTACGGAGCATACGCCGAGTACATGAGCGAGCCCGAGCTCACGTTCTCCAGCAAGAACTTCCAGGGCACGATCGACTACATCTTCCACTCCACGGGCCAGCTCACGCCGTTCCAACTGCTCCAGTTACCGACGCTAGAAGAGCTCGAGGCAGTCGGCCAAGACGAGCGCGAGCCCGTGAGCGTCGTGGATGTCGAGTGGGTGAAGCACAAGCCCGAAGACTGGCACGACAGCGTGGCGGAAGACGCCAAGGCGACGGACCGATACGCCACCACGCGCTACATGGGGACTTGGTGCGCCCCGATCCTCCCCAATGTCTTCGGTAGAACGTCGTCGTGGCTGCCCAACGCCCACTGTCCGTCCGATCACCTGCCTCTAGCTTGTGTCTTCGCCGTCAGGAAGCAGAACCTCGCCGTCACGTGGAACTAGCAACACAATAAAGCAGCAAAACCAAAGCAAACTGATTCAGATTGAGGCAGTTAGAGCTCCTCCTTGCGCGTAGAGAAGTTGTTCCTTGCGTTCTCTCCAGCCTGGCCCTCGATCTGCGGCAGCTCTTGGCAGGTGTGGCGATGCAGCGCCAGCGAAAAGTCTCCGAGCTTGGGGTCCGCAGGCGAGTAGCCGATCCGCGGCGGCGTCGACTGCCCCAGGCCGCAGACCTCCGTGACGTCCATGCCCAAGATCTGCGTCTTGGTCGGGTCGCAGCGGAAGTGCGTCACGGGCGGCCAGGGCTCCACGTCGGCGATCATCCAGAAGCCGTTGTGCCTGAACAGTCGAAAGTCCGTCGTCGTTGCGTCCGAGGTCAGAGCCACCGCTGTGGACTCTTCATCTTCGTCCTCGCTGTCTTCCCGGAAGAACACGGGCGTGTCCGGGTCTGACTGCACCACGTTCGAGGGCTGCAAGACGTAGTGGCCATTCATTCCAGGCACTTTCGAGTTGCACACGAAGAAGTCGCCGCTATCCAGCAAATTCGACGATTCCAGCACGGGACTCACGTGGTGCTGCAGCGCCGACAGATCGTCCGACGCAAAGACGACGGAGATGACGAGAGCGAGAGCGAGAGCGGAGGAGATGGTCGACGACAGCAACAGCTTCATCCTCAGCAGGGAATCTCAAAGTGGCGCGAGATCTCCATCACCTCCAAATCTGCGGAAGATCGCGTCGAGCGGTCACACGGTTCCACTTCAACTTGCGCCGTTACGAGAAGCGCAGCACAACCGAATCGTTTCGAACGCGACAGCGGCATACCTCGATTCTCGCTGCCATCGATGGCTCGACAGGGCTCCACCTCGACTGCGTCCACGAGCTGCAAGACGTCCAAGCACTTGTGTGATAAAGAGGCAGCGGACGCCGATGGGACCAGACCAGTCGCAGCCGTGACGACAGCAATGGACGTCGTCTTCGGCCCCGTGGACAAGAACAACGTGCAGCGGCTGCGCGAGCTCAACCTGCAGCTCTTCCCCGTGCGCTACAACCTGGCCTTCTACAAGGAGGTCGTGAGCTCTCTGCCAGGTTACGCCCAGATCGGTAGGCTGAGCTGTGAGCTGGCCTGGTAGTGCTGGTGTTGCATGCATTCAATTACTGACAATGTGCTGTGACTGTGTGTGGTCAGCATGCGTCGGAGGAGGTTTCGCTGTCGGAGCTATCTGCTGTAGGCGAGAACCTGTGGAAGGAGGACCCGAGGGCCTTGAGCGGACGTACATCATGACGCTCGGCGTGCTGGAAGGCTATCGGCGTGCTAGAATAGGTAGGAATTAGGAGATGAGATGTTTGTGTTCTAGTACAGGGGAAGCTCATTGCTCACGTTCATGTGCTGCAGGCAGCCGGCTTCTCGAAGGTGTCGTGGCCCAGTCCATCCAGGACGGGGTGGCGCAGGTGTACCTTCATGTCCAAACGAGCAACAAGGCAGCGCTGCGGTTCTACATTGCCCACGGATTCGAGGCCACGCAGATCTTGCGCAACTACTACAAACGCATCGAGCCGCCGGACTGCTACGTGCTGCGCAGGCAGCTCACTCCGTAGCCCAAAGCTTTAAAATATGTAGAACAGCACACGACTGACGATTGATTTTCAATGCTTCTGCGTGGAATCCTTGTCTAAACATGCATCTACAGACCACGACAATCAAGCCGCGGCGTCGGCCTCGACCTTCCGCCGCTTAGGGTCGTCCTGCTTCGAGGCCTGACGCTCCGAGCTGAAGGCGATCGACTCCGGCAGCTGGAACGAAATGCAAACCATGACCTTCTTGGGCGCCACATCGCGCACAAGGTGGAACGACGTCCTCTCCGGGTCCAGCGCGCCGCCCATGATCTTCTCGGCACGCTGTGAATCAGAAGCAAGCACAATAAGTTAGAACCACAACAACTAGCAGCATTGCGACCAAATGTTCGTCCATCGCTTACCTCCTTGACATCCTGCTTGACGTCTTCAGCGTTGGAGAAACAGTAGCAGTGGATGTAGGGCAGCTCTCCTTCCCAGTGGTCGAACTGCCCCGGGAAGGCGTCCAGGAACTCGAGCGCGATGGCTGGCAGGTTCATCAGCACCTGTGTGAACTGCTTCTTCTCGCTCAGCAGCTTGGCTAGGAACTCGCGGCCGTCCAGGTTGTATGGAGTGACGAGCTTCTCCACCTTGTTGATCGCGATGTTCTCCTTCAGGTAGTGGTAGCTGCGCGGGTTCAGGTCGTTCGCGTACACCTTGGTGCCGTTGAGCGCCACGGGAATGGCGAACGGGCCGATGCCGCACATCATATCGCACACGACGTCCTGCGGCTTGATGGTCCGGATGATGCGCAGGTGCTCCTGCTGCAGCCTCGAGTTCCAGTAGACCTCGGCGTAGTTAAACTTGAACTTGGCCTTGCTCTCGTGCACCTCCACCTCCATATCGTCATCTCCAGCCAGCACCTCCATCGGGAACGTGCGGAACTTGGTCTCGATGTTGTCCGTCTTGTTGACGACCGTGCGGATCTGCGCGTTCTTGTCGAGAATGACCTGCCCGATGATGTTCTTGTACGGCAACTGGTTGTCCCTCAGGTTCAAGTGCGCGATGTGGCCCACCGTCTCGAAGGAGCTGGGGATGTCCATGCCCTTGGGCAGGATCTCGCTCAGCACCTGGTCCACGGCGAAGTAGTCGTAGTCCAGCTCGATGGCGTGGCTCACGAAGGCTAGACTCTCCTCCTTCAGGAAGCTCACCAGGTCTTCATTGAGCGGCTGCAGCGTCTCGGCGTCCTTCACCTTGGCGTTGAGCAGGATGAGCTTGCTGCTCGAGTTCTTGTACGGGTCCGGGTTGGTCGGGTCCGGCACCACGTTGCGCAGCCGCGGCAGGTTCAGCAGGTGGCCGTGCAGCTTCTTGACCACGCGCCCGATCTTCTTGGCCTCCACGCGCACGCCCACGACCTCCAGGGTCTTCTTGAACAGGGCCTTGTCCAGCAGCATGCTGACGTGCTTATCGGAGCTGCTGCACGGATTGATGGCCACATGCGGTTGGTGTGGTGCACACGAGTTGCATCGAATACTGGACCCCTCTGGTCGTTGAAGTTTACATGGCTAAACTGCACTACACCCGCTCAGAGCTACCGGCGCAGTACGAAGCAGTGCGGCGGCGTGAGCTGCGAATAGTAGTTGCGCATAACCTTGGTTACCTCGAAGCCGCGCGCTAAGTAGAAGCGCTGCGCCGCCGTGTTGCTGCTCTGCACGTGGAGATACACGTAAGCGAGCCCGTCCTTGCGGGCCTGCGCGATCACGCTCTCAAGCAGTAAGCTGCCTACAATGCACAGTAACACTGTTAATTAGTGTTCCCTCAACCCATGCAGAGATATTGTACGAAGAGGTGGTGAATACCTAGCTTCGAGCGTCGGTATTCCTCCAGCACGCCGATCGTCAGGATGCACAGGCGATAGCGGCGCTTGCCCGAGATCTTCACCTTCTCCACCTCGCAACACACCGATCCGATCGCAGTGCCGTCAGCACCGTAAGCTGCAACATAGGCGTAAACTATTAGACAACCGCGTCGTCCTTCTCCTTCTCGACAGTAGTCAATATAAATTCCCAGCGTACCGAGCTTGCAGTATCCCTCCGGGGCGTGCGCCACGTACTCATAGAACGCGTCGCCGTACTTGACGGGGAAGAGCTTCTCGTTCATGTCGTGTAGCTGCTGTACGTTGCCACTGTCAACGGGGCGGAAGGACACGTCGCCAATGGCCAGCGTCTTGACCGTAGCATTGTCCACTCCGTCGCTCTGATCTATTGCCTTGCGCGATGCTGCATCTTGGCTACACTCGATTTGCACTGCATGGGGCACAAAGCTGAAGCTCCCAGCGCGCAGGAACTCCGCCAACCGCTCGCGCAGCGGCTTCAGCGCATTCTCGTCCTTCGCCTCGGCTTTGAGCAGCACCAGCTTCATGTCGGTGCGCGCCGGGTCAGGCACCACATTGCGCAGGCGCGGCAGATCCAGCAGATGACCTTGCAGCCGCTTGACCACCTTGCCGGCCTTGGCGGCCGCCACGCGCACGCCCACGACCTGCAGCGTCCGGCGCAGCGAGGAGCTCATCTCTTGTATGCATCCATCCCCTCGAGCCACAAGAAAAAGTTCATTTTACTCCAATCGCAATCTCGATCCCCCCGCCTATCATCCAATCACGCGTGCTTATGCGCTGCCGACGCCCGCCATGTCCGATCCAAGCAACCATTTCGCAACGCGACCGGAAGCGCAGATCCCCCCGTAGAGTGACTGACTGAGATGGACGCCGTGGTGCCCTCCGCCAAGCCGACGACGGCGCCGACGCTGTTCCGCCGCAACCGCATCCGCGTCAAGGAGCTGCTGGGCAGCGGCCTGGAGCTCGAGGGCCAGATGGTGACCGTCAAGGGCTGGGCCAAGACCCTGCGCGAGGCCGGCGCCGGCGCCTTCGCCTTCCTGGAGCTCAACGACGGCTCGTGCTTCGCCGGCGTGCAGTGTGTGATCAACAAGGAGGAGACCGAGGGCTTCGCCGACGCCATCGCCTCGGGCGGCGTGGGCGCCAGCTTCAGCGTGGAGGGCGTCGTGGTCAAGTCGCCCGCCAAGGGCCAGGAGGTCGAGGTCAAGGCCGCCAAGGTCAAGGTCTACGGCGGCATCCCCGACAGCGCCACGTACCCCATGAGCAAGAAGCGCCACACGCTCGAGCACCTGCGCGCGCACGCGCACCTGCGCCCGCGCTCCAACATCCACGGCGCCGCCATGCGCGTGCGCAACGCCATGGCCTTCGCCACGCACGAGTTCTTCAACCAGCGCGGCTTCCTGTACATCCACACGCCCATCATCACCGAGTCGGACTGCGAGGGCGCCGGCGAGATGTTCAGCGTCACCACGCTGCTGAGCCAGCACCCGGACGGCAAGCTGCCGCTCACGAAGGACAACAAGGTCGACTACCAGAAGGACTTCTTCGACCGCCCGTCCTACCTCAGCGTCTCGGGCCAGCTCAACGTCGAGACCCACTGCTGCGCCCTCTCGGACGTGTACACGTTCGGCCCCACGTTCCGCGCCGAGAACTCCAACACGTCGCGCCACCTGGCCGAGTTCTGGATGATCGAGCCGGAGATCGCCTTCGCCGACCTCAAGGACGACATCGACCTGGCCGAGGACTACCTCAAGTTCTGCGTGCAGTACGCGCTGGACCACTGCACCGAGGACCTCGAGTTCTTCAACAAGAACGTGGAAAAGGGCCTGCTCGAGCGTCTGGCCGCCACCGTGGAGTCGCCGTTCGTGCGCATCTCGTACACGGACGCCGTGGAGCTGCTGCTCAAGCCGGAGCACCTGAAGAAGGGAAAGTTCTCGGTCAAGCCCGTCTGGGGCACGGACTTCGGCTCGGAGCACGAGCGCTACCTGACCGAGACGGTCTACAAGAAGCCGGTGGTGATCTACGACTACCCGAAGGAGTTCAAGAGCTTCTACATGCGCCTGAACGACGACGGCAAGACGGTGGCTGCCGCCGACGTGCTGGTGCCCAACGTCGGTGAGATCATCGGCGGATCGGCGCGTGAGGAGCGTCTGGACGTGCTGGAGGCTCGCATCAGGGAGTCTGGCGCCAACCCGGAGGACTACAAGTGGTACCTGGACCTGCGCAAGTACGGCTCGGTGCCGCACGCCGGTTTCGGTCTCGGCTTCGAGCGTCTCATTCGTTACGTGACTGGCATTGAGAACATCCGTGACGTGATTCCGTTCCCGCGGTGGCCCGGCAACGCCGCCTTCTAAGCAGTCGCTGGGAGGTAGGCGCTTGACGTTCCTTCGCGGACTAGAGGCGAGTTCGTTGCTCGAGACGGTGCTTATGATGGCGCAAGCCTAGTCACAGTTGCTGGCAGTGTAAGGCCCCTCCATCCCTGTCCCGAGTAAACAAATCTAAACATTTGCAAGATACGTTCACGTGTTTTGATGTTCATCAAGATGATAAGAGATTGGTACTGCCAAGTCGCCCTACGGGTGGCGGAAGAGCGTGATGCACTTCTTGCCGACGTTGAATCGCACGAAGTTCTTGCTCTCGTAGGTGAAGGCCGTCTTGTACTCGGAGCCGACGATGCAGTGCCACGTGGGGCCGTACTTCTCCTCCATCCACGTCTTGATGTGCTTGGCGATCTCCTTCTCCTGCGTGAACTGCTCCAGCGCCACGCTCGCCTGCGCCAGCGCATCGTTCTTCATGTCCCCGTGCTCGTCCACTGGGCAGCACAGCAGCCACACTCAGTCAGCCAAAACCACCAGCATCATCCATCCATCCTTTTGATCTCAATGCCGCCACCTTACTGTCCGTCTCCATCTGCTTGCCATTCTCGCGCGTCATGCTTGCCTTCGTTCGCCCTTCAAGTCGCAAGTGACAGCGAGGGTATCCATCGTGTGCGTGCGTCCCTTCAAGACCGACTTCGCCTTATCTCGGCTAATTCCGAACGAAGCTATTTACGTGCGCCACACCACATAACTCGCCATTATTGAGTGCGACATCGAGAAGAGCGCGAAATTGACCGAGAGAGCAGCGAGGGCGAAGCCGCCGCCTCCAGAGACGCCGCAGCCATGACGCACGACCTGTCGTCGCGCATCGAGTACTCGGAGAAGTACGTGGACGACACCCACGAGTACAGGTGCGTCGCTCGCCCGCTTCCGCCGCGGGAATTGGCCCAGAATCGGCCTCGCAACGCGTGAATGCGCATCGATGGCTAACAATATTCAAATTATTCGCTGCAATTTGTTGCAATTTCTGCTGCAATTCAGACACGTGATCCTGCCCAAGGAGATGCAGCGCAGCCTGCCGGACCGCCTGCTGACCGAGACGGAGTGGCGCCAACTCGGCGTCCAGCAGAGCCGCGGCTGGGTGCACTACGCCATTCACAAGTACGTTCACGCAGCGAGATGCTCCGTCCGCGCTAGCTGCTTCGTGGGCTGAGACCAGTCAGACTGTGGGTCTGCTTGGTCATATCTGAAGCAGCGTTGATTGACCCCGTCTATTGTTTTGTGTTGCTGCTGCTGCGTTGCAGGCCGGAGCCGCACATTTTATTATTCCGACGCCCGCTGGGCACGGACCCCACAACGGGCCGCGTGAACCCGGACATGGAGAAACAGGCCAAGGAGAAGTACGCCCAGGAGTTCAATTAACGGGACTGCTGCGGCAGTGGCGATACTTGTAGTGGGTGAGTCAGGCAGGGATTTCGGTGGGCAGCACCGGGAAACGCAGTGAAGGAGGAGCACGATGCTGACCACGCGCGGTTTAACGTCGGGAGTGCGTGCACACTGATCGAACTGCCCTGAGCAGAATGAAGAGACCCACGTTGGTTTGAGAGAACTGTTGCTTGCTGCTGCTGTTGTTGTTGTTGTTGCACTTTGGTGTGCTGTAGTGCAGCGGAGACCTTGCCTTTCGTGCTTTGGAGCGCGGGAGCAAATCGTCGTCGTATCACGTGCTTGGACGCTCAAGCGAGTCGCTTGCTCGCGTTGAAGTTCGGCGGAGGTGCCTTGCGCGTCAGCGGGGTTTAACGTCTGGAACTCGAGCCTTGGATTGGCCGGCATCCAACTGGAACTTTGTATGTCGCTTAGACATGTTGCTTATTTCAGTTCTTCCGGTGCGTAAGCTCGCTGTCGTCGAAGCAGCCATCTACTGCTTCAACTTAGATCGCTAGGGCGCAGGGTCGACGCAGTGCTGTCACGTCCCTGGACTAGAACTGAAACTTCCTTGAAGTTGTCTCGCGCGCCAGCCTGGAGCTCGCAGCAGTTGGCGCCGCAGTTGGTCGGCCAAGGTGGCTACTGCGCGCCTAGCGCCCACGAGAAAATATTCGCGGCGGCGGCGCCATGCTGCTCGTCTTTCACGTCGAAACGGACGAGAAACTGCCGCTTCAGGATCCGCGCCAGCTATTCGGAGCACTGCCTGTGCCGACTGTCGCAATGCTGGCAGGCGAGTTAGTCCATCACCCCCGGGCTAGTAGCAATCCAACTCGGTGACGAATTCCGCCGCGCTCTTCGGTCTTCAATGTCCATCCTAATACATCTCGCCCAATATCCATCCATCCGGCCCGATTTGTAAGCTGTGGAGCTTTCAGCCTTGAAGCGCAACACCACCACCGCCGAAAAAGCGCTTGCGAATCTTACACGGGCGCACAACCAGCACGTCAACAGGTGCCTCGCAAGCAACGTGTTCGCCGTGAAAAGCGTCGTTGAAGTGCGCAGCCGGGACATGGATCTGCACAACCTTCCAGAGTTAATGCCAGCCCTGATTCAGGTTGTATCATATTGTACCTTCCAAAGTTGGTCTGATTGAACCCCGACCCCCTCCGCGCCGATGACTTGCGCTCAGTATGCCCCCCCCCCCCGAGTCTAGTCTAGGACGAGCAAGCAAAGCCCCGACGCCGGCGTCATGCTCGACTCGTCCTCCGCCACCTCAGTCGCGGCCTCGAGCCGGCCATTCTCCTTTTGCCACGCTGCCGCGCACCGCCCCGTTCTACCTCGCCCACCACCTCTGGACACCCGCCGCCCGGGACAATGCAGACGCCCAAGACGCCGCTCGTGAACATGCAGACGCAGAACAAGGACCAGCTGCTGGCCACCAGCGCGCTCAAGGACGCCATGGGCGCCGACCTCAAGAAGCGGCCCGTGCCCGTGTACGTCAAGATGATGGCCGGCATGGCCGGTGGCGTGGCCGAGGCCTGCATCCTGCAGCCGCTGGACGTGACCAAGACGCGCCTGCAGCTGGACCGCACGGGCCAGTACAAGGGCATGGTCAACTGCGGCACGACCATCTACAAGCAGGAGGGCGGCCTCGCGCTCTACAAGGGGCTCACGCCCTTCGTGACCAACATGGTGCTCAAGTACGCGCTGCGCTTCGGCTCCTTCGCGTGGTTCAAGGAGCAGATCGCCGGCGGCAAGGACAAGCCGATCACCCCCACGATCAACTTCACGGCCGGTCTGCTCGCCGGCTGCATCGAGTCGGTCATCATCGTGACGCCGTTCGAGGTCATCAAGACCCGCATGCAAAAGGAGGTGGGCGTCGGCCGCTTCAGCGGCCCCATCGACTGCACGCGCCACATCGTGCGCAACGAGGGCGTGCGCGCGCTCTGGAAGGGCAACATCCCCACCATGGCGCGCCAGGGCAGCAACCAGGCCTTCAACTTCATGGCCTTTGCGTGGCTCAACCACCACGTGTGGGACAAGCAGGACGGTGACGGCAAGACGCTGCCCACGTACGCCACGTTCATCAACGGCCTGATCGCCGGCTCGCTCGGCCCCATGTTCAACACCCCCATGGACGTGCTCAAGACGCGGCTCATGGCGCAGGAGACCGTGGCCGGCCAGGAGCTCAAGTACAAGGGATTCTTCGACGCCATGAAGGTCATCTCGAAGGAGGAGGGTGTCGGTGCATTGTGGAAGGGTCTGCTGCCGCGACTTACGAGGATGGCGCCCGGCCAGGCCATCACCTGGTCAGTCGTCATGCGCGTGACCTCCATCTTCGAGAACCAGGAGCTGGAGATCTCGGAGAACAAGATCAAAATGTAGACAGACGGACAGAAGTTGAGAGCTCGGCCCACGGCACGAACCGAGCCCTTTAGCAGCAGGACGAGGAGAGACTGAGTTATTGAGATTCATTTACAGTAATACATTGTGGTACTTCATGTGTTGGCAAACAAATTTGGGGGCGCGCGGTCTTATCGGTCCATGCGCGTGTTTCCCGGTGCAAGCGGACAAGTACAGCATTGCACTGGAAATATACGTGCACAAGGCCACGCACGGGAAAGCACCGCAGCTGAGCAAACCACTGGTCTCGGACCCAGACTCTGGGTTGATCGAGATGGCTATTTTGTCAACGTTTTGGAGCAGGAAAAAGGCGTTTCGATCAACCTTATATTTTTGAGCCTGGACCATGGAGTCTGCATGCTGGGACATGGTTGTCTGACAATACGCTTGGTGAGAAGGAAGAAAACGTTTCGTCAAACTTGGGCGTGGACTTGTTGGTGTTACGTCATCCTGGGCAAGCGTGTCACTTCAAGAGTATCTTATCCCGTCGACGACTCAAACCTTGCCCAGCTCAAGATTGCCAGCAGTGAGAAGTCACCAATCAACCAAAGGGCTCTTTGCCTACCAAAACTTGAGGGTTTTCTATTGCGTTTGCGTTCGACTTGCCAGGCTATCTACAGTCATTTACAATGTTGCCTACGTTCACACAGTCTCTGGCATCCGTCCCTCGCTCGATTTTTTCTCCGTCACCGACTCGCGCGCGTTGGTCGGGGCGAGTGGCCGCCTCCATACGACAGCCGCTCGGTCGGTGGGAACTCCTCGCGGAGCTTGATCTCAATCTCGTCTTCGTCCAGGCCCATGGCGCGATACTTAGCGATCGCGCCGAGCAGCTTGTCCAGGTGGCGGCTGGTGCTCGAGAGTCGCGGCGGCAGCCCGAAGCTGTCTCCGTTCGAGAAGAGCGAGCTGCGGTCCAGCGCGTCGCCCTCGCTTCGGGCGTGGCTGTGTACGAGCGGCGGCGTGGGGTCGTCCATCATGCCATAGGGTCTTGCCACCTCATTGGCAATGTCCTCGTCGTCTTCGTCCTCATCGTCATCTTCGTCACTGTCGTACTCGTCGTCATAGTCGTCGTAGTAGTCGCTGCCTAGTGAGTACAAGGAGCTGTCGATCGGCGTCTGCTGGGGCGCGCTGCCGCTGCGGCTGTTGCGACTGCTGGCGCGGCTCCGCGTGCCTCGCGAGCGCATCGAAGACCTTGCCGACGACCGCGTCATGCTCACGGAGCCGCTTCCGACGGCGGCCATGGTGCCTCCGGTGAGGCGGTGCCACGGAGCGCCGTGTCGGCAGCACTCGCAGACGCCGCCGGTGTTCTCCCGTCCGTCCGGTAGCTGCTTCATCTTCTTGTAGTTGGTACAGCCGCACGGGCCGTCGTCCGAGTCCCGGCCGAACAGGCAGGTGCCTCGCCGGCCGATGCCGGCCCGGACGCGCTGGGCGCGGCGCTCCATCTCCTCCCACAGCAGCGTCCGTGCCGGCACCGGCTTGGTCGGCACCAGGCCGGCAGCTCTTTTGGCCGCGTACTCCTTGGCCACTTCTAGTAAGATCTTCTCGGCCTCGCGAATGCGGCGCGCCTGGTCCGCGGCGTGCTCGCTCATAGTGTGCGAGGCGGAGCTCTTGGAGAGTTTCGAGGCTTCGTCCTCCTCCGTGGTGGGGTCCAGTGGCAGCGAGGGGGCCATGCCCCCTGCTTTGTCACTGCAGCCTGAACCGCGAGGCAGCTGCGAGTCCGTGGTGGAGACTGCCGTGCCGCAGTCGCTCGTCACGCCTTCGCTCTGCGAGCGCGAGCGGCGCTTGTGTTTGTGCGGCCCGGGCTGCTGCAGCGACGGCGACGAGGGCGACAGCAGGTGACGGAACGTGCCGGCCGATGCCGGTGACCGGCGCTTGGGGTGGAGGAGTCTGCTGCTGGAAGGAGCCACTCGCTGCTCCCCGGACCTGGCGGCGAGCTTGTTGCCCATGGGCGGACGATTTTTTGGTTCGGATTTTTCGGTTTTCACCCTGCCGATATACGGGGGTATGTGTGTCGTAAACCCGCGGCCGTGTCGGGCGTGCGCGCGGCGAGGTGAACTCGAAAGTGAAGGTGGCTCTCGCGCGCTCGAGTGTACCGACAGGCAGGGGCAACGCGCACTGGCTGGCGCTGGTGTCGGTGACGGCGTGTGTCGGAGACTGTCGGTCTCCGCCGGCCGCAACGCTTTGACCTTCGAGAGAGGAGGTGAAACGGTCGATCGACGCAGAAAGGGAAAAATCAACGGCAAAAATGACCCCTGACTTTAGCGACCTGAAAAGTGGAAAACTATTTTATGATTAGCAAATTGCTACCACAAAATTTGACTACTACTTGGCTTTAATGGCCTTGTGGTTCCTTCGAAATTGGAGCCCTCGCGATCGACGACGCCGGCCATGGATGGACCACAAAATCGGCGCAATGAGTTGGCCTCGACCTCGGTCTCGCCTCCAGCTTACGGGCACCACGAGCAAGTGTGATTGGCAGCGCACACCCAGCACCTCGGCCATTGCCACAGGTTGCCAATGGAAATTCTTGCATCGCCGAGGCAGCTTTTGCCAACGCGAAGAGGTATGGCGGGGCGGCACCAAAGTCGGTCGGTCAGCAAAAGAATGCAAGTCCACCTTGGCATATGTATAACTTTCTCTCCTCTCTTACGACGATGTGATGGGCGCTCGCAATGCTGCCGGATGGCTTGCGCCACGTGGTATTCATAGGCCACGGCGGGCGGAGATCACCGAGATGAAAAGCGTAGGTCTCCGCTGTATCTGCTGTATCTGTGCACCTGATACTCTGGGCGGCAGCGTCTTATTTAACGCTGGCCGATCCTCTGGCCTGCGCGAGTCAACTCGCCAGTTCTCCCCCGCCCGTCCGTCGACGAAGCGGAGGACACAGAGATCCATCCGTGCACACGCACACAGTACTGTAAGCTCAGACGAAAACCACAGGCGCTGGCGTTGGACGAGTGCGCTGCGCCTGTCCGGCCGTCTCTATAAGTGATACTTCAACCACTTCAACTAACTGCTTCAACTAGCCGGTCCGCGCGAGCCAGTCCGAAAGATCGCGGGGAGGAGTTCACGTCCGAGTTGGCTCCTCCCCCGTGCGACGTCCCGAATTGCATGGCGTACCCGCACGCGCAGATACACCCATACATGTATTGGTGTGCAAGCACCGTAGCCACTTGCAGCGTGTGGGGGCTCGACTATCGCATGGTCTCACGCGAGGCGTGCTTCCCGCAGGCTCTGGGTGTAATGGTTGCCTCGCGCGTGGGGCTGCGACTCGAGAGATTTAAATCACCGGCAACAGGCGCTGATTTCTTTCGCGGCGTGGCGTTGTGGGCGGAGAACTCGGCAGTGAGAATAAGACGAGGTCGCACAATACTAGTACAGCTCAACAGTGTTGTGTAGTCCGCCCTTGAGGCCGTTTGAAAGGCAAGAGACTAAGAAAAAGATATAAACGCAATGCCAACCAGCTAACGGCTTATGGCCAGCTAGATGACATTCCGGACATTGTTCTCTTTTGTTCGAACCAGATCACTGAATCTCCTCCTTGATGGTTGCGGAGACGGCGGTGTTCGGAGCAACGACACTCGTGGCATCCTCGTCTTTTGCGTCCTTGGTCTCAGCTTCCACCACGGTGGCAACACCTTCATCCGTTGGCTGCTCCTTTGCTAACTGAGTCTGCTGTGCCAGCTTCTGCGCGGCGCGGAGCACGGCGTCCTCCTCGCTCTCCTGCTCCTCCTGCTCGGCTTGCTCGGCGCTCGCGCTCTTGGGCAGAAACGGCTCGCCGGGACACAGCGCCTCGAAGATGGCGCGGGCGTTGGCGCTCGCGCTCTCGAGGTGGATCTCCAGCGGGCTGGCGGCGTTGCAACTGGTAGGCGGTTTCTCAACGGGATCCGCGACACCAGCATCGAATTCGGCCATGGACGTTTCGCACACCCACGCGTTGGCCGGCAAGTCCGTCGCCTTTGCGCTGGGGTCGAGCAGTTTGGCGTCACCGGAAGCCAGGTGGTCCATAGTAAAGATGGCCCGCCAGGCGATCCGGTCGCTCCAGGCTGGCTTGGTTGCGGCCTCCCCTTCATCAGTAGTAGCTTCTACTGCATCTTCGTCGGCGGTCTCCGCCATTGCGGCGCTCTCCTTGCCCTTCTTCTGTTGCAATTCTGCCTCCGAGCTCAGGATGAGACGGCGGATCACGGCCTGCACGAGGTTCTGCTGCTTGTCTGCTTGGTCGAACCACTCAGTCGGCAGTACCATCGAAATCTGCACGAGGAAGTAGCCCTTGGGACACGCGTACGCTCCGACATCGAGCTGGATGACCTGGATCGCGAACGGGTTCTGAAACTCGCTGTCTTCGGGCGGGATGACGAGCATCAGACGACTCATACCTTCACGTAATGACGACTTGAGCACAAATACGCCGCGCAGAATCTGGCCGTGGGTATGAGTTGGCTTTTCACTGTTAGTGGTGAGCCGGAGGTTGTCCACGTAGCTGCCGTTGGTCACCACGTGCTTCGTACGCAGCACATCGCCATCACAGCAGCGAACACCGCGAAGTTCATTCGTCTCAGTGTCCAACACGAAGCCGTCAATTGGAGCGCGGAGTACGTAGATACCGCCGTACACAGCACTAAGCCGACAGAAGCTCTGCGCGAGCTCGCTGATGCCATAGAGCGGGGCCAAGAAGGCAGTGCCTGTGAATCGCCCGATGGATGCGACGTAGCGGTACACGGCTTCGAGTCCTTCCCGAGCTGAGATCTGGTTCTTTGTGGCTGGGAAGCTGGCCAGACCGACGCAGTACACGACAACCTGCTGCAACTTGGAGGAGAGCTTGAAGTGCTTCTCCAGCAGCTCCTGGAATGGACGGTCGAGGTATTTCTCCAGCTCAGCATCTCCGTCCGCCTGGCTCGCCTTGTTCTGAGGCCGCTTCAGTGCGCGTCCAAGAGCGAGCGTGCGTTCGTTCTTGGTCTTGACGTCCTCGTGCAAAATGTGGGTCTCACCATAGTCAGCCACAAACTGCAGGAACTTCATCAGCTGCCGCTTCTCCACCATCCCCAGCAACTTGCTCTGGAACACGTCCTTCTTCGAGCACGGCACCTCCCACACTGTGTCAGACTCTTCACTCTTAGCGCCAGACACAGCCGACTGGAAGTGCACGTATGTGCGCTCAATCGCCGCGAACTCGAGGTACCTCCCCACACCCGAGGTGATCAAAATCTCCACTAACTGCTCCGACGACAACATGAGTCGCGGGTTCACGTCAATGCTGAAGGATGAAGATTGACGCAACAATTCCTCCTTCGTGGCTTCGTCGGCGAACCCTTCCTCCAGCAGACGGCACTCGAACGAGCTCTTCATCGGCAACACCCGCTGTTTGTCTTCGTCAATTGTCGCAGTATCCTTAACCTTCTTTTCCACTTTATCATTGTCGTCTTCGTCCCCGAAGTTGCGAGGAGCAATGTTCTCGTTCTTCGTCCACCTCAGGAATTGGGCCAAAGGGAACGACGCGTAGTTGCTGCCGTAGTAGTCATTCTACAACAACATCACCACCACCAATAAGTATAATTTACCTTTCACAAGTGGTAATTTTGTTGCAATCAAGGTTGCCGAACCTGGTCCAGATGCAACACCTTCTTGCCGATACGTGCCAATGCCCTTTTGCCAATCAACACAACAAAATCAGTGTTGCACGAAGGTTAGACACGGTTAAGCAGTGCTTAACCGCTTGTTGCACGTACCCTGCGAGAATCCCCTCCACCATGCCAGTGCCCACCAGCAGCACGTCGTACTCGGTCTCCTTGAGACTCGCGTCCATCGTTCCTCTCTATCGGATCTCTCTATCGCTCGTTTTAATCCACGTAGGCGTCCACCGTTGCGCGCACAAAGAACTCGAAGAGCGGCGCCACCTCCAGCAGGACTTTGGTGAGCCACGAGCGCAGGAACGAGATGTACAGGGACGCGGCTGTGAGCGCGACGCAGGCGGCGAGCGAAGGAATCGTGGCGCAAAGTGCGGAAGATGGAGAGCTCTTTTTGGCAACTCAATATTCCGACTACGGGGCATTCGAAATGAGGGGTGTTGCAATAACCTCTCAGAGTGTATATTGAGAATATTTAATGAAATACGGTAGTGTCCTTGTTGAAGTTGAAGTGTACCCATATGGAAGTCATTGCGAGCGTCGTGCAACTTCTGGCCAGCGCGACCTTTATCTGTCTTAGTCTCTCGTCTCAATGATCTCAAGGGAGGACAATGTCACGCCCTGTCTTCTCAATGATCTCAAGGGAGGACAACGCCATGCCATGCACTGAGCATGGCATCTGAACACCCTCCAATGTGTTTGTCTTATTCTCAATGCCGCGTCTGCTGCCAGTGATTTAAATCTCTAAACTCCGAGCAAGGCAACCATTACACCCAGAACCTGCAGGAAGCACGGCACGGCCGTGTGAGACTATGCGATAGTCGAGCCCCTCACACGTTGGCTGGATGGGTAAATGGCTACCAGCTTGCACGCCATGCAATTCGGGACGTCGCACGGGGGAGGAGCCAACTCGGACGTGAACGCCTCCTCGGACTGGCTCGCGCGGACCGGCTAGCTTCAGTTGAAGCAGTTAGTTGAAGTGGCTGAAGTATCACTTGGACAGGCGCAGCACTACTCGTCCAGAAGAACGAATCTATCGGTGAATTAATTGTTTGTTTAAACGTTGCTTGAAGTTCTCACAGATCGTCGTCTTGACGGCCACTACCGCCCCCTCGAGCGTTCTTGTAGATGCTTGCCCAGGTTTCCGCCTTGGTGCGGTCTCCAGGCGTGACGGAGCTGAAGTTGAGCTGCTTGAGGTTCGGGAAGGCCGCGATGACGTAGTTGCGGTAGTGCTTCTTCTCCTCCAGCGGGTTCCCGTGCAGCGTGATGGAGTGCAAGCGTGGTAGCCACTTGGCCAGCGCGTCCACGTCCGAGTATTTGCTCAGCAGGTTCCCGTGCAGATGCAGCGTGAACAGCTCCGGGTACGCGGAGAAGACGTCGGGCGGAATGCTCTCGAGCTCGTTGCCCGAAAGGTCCAGCCACTGCAACATCCCCGGGTAGTCGAACACAGCACGCAGCGCCTCGTGCATGTCGTCCAGGTTGGAGATCTTGTTGTTGTTAACACGCAGCGACACCGGCATTTGGCGCTTCTTGGCCGTCCGGACGGAACCAATTGAAGCTGAGGCATCCACGCTGGTGGGTGAGCTGAGCTCGTCATTGCCAGCTGAACCTGCTACCAAGCTGCCAACGGGCTGAGCCTTTTTCGTGCCGCTCACGGGGTCGTGCTGCTGCATCTCTGCGATTCAAGTCCATGGAAGAAAGTGTGAGCAACTCGGTAGTATCTATACGTAATGTATTACCAACCTGAGAGTGTTGTGAGCCCCATGAAGGAATAATCCAGAGGCACTGCCGTAGCCTGACGTCGAGGCATACCTGCCTTCTTCGAGGAAACTGCACCTGCTGATGCCGCCCGTGTAGAAGCCATTGTCACGGGGGCACTTGAAATGAAAACTGAGAGCGGCATCTATCTGCGAGGACCAAAGGTTAACCATTACTGGGCCCTGCCTGAAAATAGTGCCTCCATCCATGCCTTATTACGCTCCTCAGCTTCGAGAACTGTCTGAAATAGCTGACTTGACCTAGTTGATACGGTGCCGATCGATGCTCAGCAGAAGTCGAAGCACTCGAAAGGCTCCTCGGATCGCGGAACCCATGGACTTGTACTCGTCAACGTGGAATACGCGACCGTCTTCGCTCTCTGGCTCCGTTGTGCTGGGTGGAAGCACGGCGTATTCAGCGCTTCGGAAGTCGTAGTAGCGCGAAAAGAGCTTGTCGGCACCGACATCCTGCACGCCGCGTGCAAAGCGTTGTTGAACCATTTGAACGTTTGCCAGTCGCGAGAAAAATGACTCACTTTCGACGGTGATTGGGTCGCAACCACCCGAATTCTCGCGCAGGATGACACCAAGTTCAGTCAACGGATCCGCCAAGCGCGCAATTGCAAAGCTCATTAGCTCTTGGTTGGATTTCGCTAGAGCTTTGGCTTCTTCCTTGACGGCTGCAGCACACGCACACCAGAATCCCCCGTTCCCGGGCAGTATGTATCCCGACTGCAACACATTCCGCAGTCGCCGGATCACTTTGAGCGTGTCATTCCGAAGCTCCGTTGCTAGAGATCGAGTGGGGCCTTGGACAATGATAGAAGCATGCAGTTGGTGTCTGGTGTAGGGCAACAAAACCTGCAAGAAGAACGACGCCACCTCATCATACTCGTCATCGTCTTCTTCTTGAGTTCTTGACACGGTTAGATCAATCGCTTTGACCTCGAGACACTCGCGGCCAATCGCGGTGGGTAGAAGTTCATCCCATGACTCAATAATTTCAGCCCCACCCAACTCAGCGAGTAGCCGCAGCGACTTGTACGAAGCCACCGGGACGCACAGAGGAGCTCCTGGGGCTGAGGCTGATGCATCTAGCGCTTGTGAGCTGATCTCGCCGTGGACAAAAATTACTGGAGCCGATGAGCTTGCAACAACGTCACTCAATTCGAGATCCCCAGCAAGGGCCACTACACCACCTTCGATCACTATCGTGGGCGGGGAACTTCGACTCTGTAAGCTTCGACGAAGTGAAGAGTTTGCGATCGGGAGCAACACGCCTCCAAGAACCTGAGAGCTAGTAGCTGACGTGACTCCTCCAAGCAGAACGTGCGTTGTGACGAGATCTTCAAGTGCGAGATCTTCATCACCGCAAAATTCAATGGGGTCTAGCATGGAGACCGCTTGTACCGCCAACGATGACGCGGTTAACCCCTCGCTGCTGTTTCATGGGGGGACAATAGATTGAATTCGTTACATCGTCAGCATTTATCCACAACGAGTTCCATTGCAGGTACAAGAAACTCACTTTGTGGACACAAGTTGACCCAAAGCTGCAAGCTGATGAGGCCATGTCTTCTCCTGAAAGGATGGGATTGCTTCATCTGTCGACACCCGCATGAGCTTGGCCGTCTACAGCAACCAACAAAGTTCAAATAGCCTTAGTGATCGCACCATACAGAAAACAACAACATATTTTTCAAAGCCACTGACGCTAAGACAAGTCTTCTCGATTGAAGATAAAGCCTGCTGGATGATATCACTGTGCAAATCAGAGCAATACACCAATGTAATTCAGAGACCGTGACTTCAAGTGAAATGCAAAGCAAAAAAACCCTTACACTGGCAGGCCTTGGTGTCGCAGCTTCATCACAGCTTCCGCTAATACACCACACAGGTTCAACATTGTCGTACAGCCCTGCGCCCCCGCCAAAACATCTTAAGAGTCGAGCCAAATCTTATCAGCTCAAAGGCGAGCCTCGTACCGTGCCGAATGATCTTTGCTGCTCGTCCAAAGCTTGCTGCAAGATAGCAGTGCCCGCGTTTTGGCTCTGCACCGCGCTCGCCACCGTGTACGCGTCCGCCGAAAACAGCGTCTGCTCCAGCTCGTCTGCATGGAAAACACTCAGTGGCTTATTATTTATCAAGAATGACCCTCCGCTTACCCGTGACTTGCTTGCGTAGCTTGTTGGGACCGTAAAGCGACCGAACCGCGCGCGCCACTCCCGCTACAGCCTGCAGCAGCACCATGCTCTCCTCCATCGTGTCTAGCGTGTCAACAGTCGCGAACAACTTGGTATCTTTTTCTAAAAGGCAAAAAGGTTTTTTGCCATGGGATACCAATATCGTGCCAGTCCTGACAATTACTTCAGGAAGTATAATAATAACAGTAGTTCCCAGTCGACGTGGAGGACAGCACCACACATATTTTAAGTTATTTGCTGCTTGATAGCTGACCTTGACTGGTTGGTACCGTGTTAGACGAATTCTGTGTCAAACAAGTTGTAAGAATACTATTTTAAGCAAATTTTAAAATAAGTTAAATGTAGCATTATTATCACCCATACTATATATCTCAAATCAAATTGGCCCCTTAAAATATCTAAGTATCAGCAGCCAAGTCACGACGAGGTCATGACCCGACGCATAGTAATCATTATGTATCTAGCTTGACGGTCGGATTTGGTTCTTGGTCTGGCGAACTCGATGTAGGCGAACCACTATGTTTTTACTTTGTCTCCGTTTTGTTCATCACGGTCAAAGTCGCACCTATCCGGGAATCGAGTTTTTTTTATCGAAAAGGAATAAACGTAGACATAATACGAAATTATTTCAACGGAGACATTTTATTTAGCAAAATGAATCACACCTTCTAATAACCAAATTTATGCTTTTATCCAGTTGGTTAGCCTATTTCAATAATTTCGTGTAAAATAAAATGCGCGATTGGTTTAAATAAGATTATCAGTCACAAGCGTAAACGAGAGCGTCCGAAAATGTTCAAAATACATTTTCTGAATGGTGAGGTTGGAGACAAGAACATTATAATAAGGCATACGCCTAGCGACGGTATCCCGTACTACAATATCTTTTGTGCGATAAATAACCTCGACATGTAGAAGTGTTGATTAACCCTTACAGTACCGTCGGTCTCGAAGGGCGTATAGGTCTGTTGAGACCTATATTCTCACTTTTTCTTGAATACGATTGGCCAATATTCTCGTGCAATGGTTGCGGTTAGCAGGGTAAGCAGCATAGAGGTCCCATTTAGATCCGTACCGAGCACGTCGATGCTCTGAACAAACTCGTACAATTCCAAACTGTTGTTATTTTTGCAGCTTGTTTCTGAATAGTTTACAATATTTTTGTGTTCGTGATAAACGGTGCTTCCTCGCACGCCACACGGGCCACCACACACGATCTCCATGAGCGTCACTGCTAGGGTCCACCGCGCCAAAAACCCACGCGTCTCGGTGGTTACCAGCACGAGGCCCTTGTCCGGCACGGCGCACTGGTGCTCAACCTGGATGTAGTCTATACAATCGGAGAACGTTTCAGAGGTTGTACTCGAGCGGTGGCCCTCCGTGCCACGCACTCTCCCGAAGCCGCCAAGATGCGACGCACCTGGCCGTAAGACAGCCGAGTCCGATGGCGCCAAACTGCTGAAGGAGGAGGCCGTGGCCTACTTGAACGCGGACTTGCTAGTTGGTCTTCTCGTGGGCGCAAGCCGATCCATCATTGACAACTTCGTGTAGGATACGACCAGTCTGTTGCCGGCAAACGCGTTCCACGGCCACAACAGCTACCAGTACCTGGGCGTTATCTGCGTTCGGACTGACCTACGTGTCCTACGGGACTTACCACAGCAACATGGACAGACTGCACTACATGGAGACGCAGCGGGCCGCACTACAAGTCCCGCTTCAGTATGGTCCAGTAAGTGGTGGGTCGTGCTCGCCATGCATTTCGCCAACGACGACGTCATCCCCTTGGACGACTTTTTCTCGTACGCGCTCGTCATGCTCATCATGCTTGGCGGGAGCAGCGTCTGGTGACATCGATAATTTCGGCGCAAATGCGGATGCATTCCGAGCCACGCACTTAGAGCTGCAAACCAGCACAGTTGCGCCAGCGCTGAGCGCCTGAAACTAAATTATGGTCCAGGTCGAGCGGCAATTGATCTCAAGCGACGAGCCCCACCGTCCGTGGTAGAAGCACTTGATCTACGGGGCGAAGCGATCTCGGCATTGCGGACGGTCTCGCCTACTCGGCACGATTCAGACTCACGTCGACGACATGGTCAACTTGGCAACTGATGGTTAGATATTTGCCCGCTTCAATCGCAGCTCTGGTTGCCATGCAAGTTTTGAAGAACGTCAAAGCTGTTTAATTTTGCAGCTTCTTTACATTTTACTTATCAAGTTACCTATTTTTTATGGCCAACATCTTCAAGATCAACAACCTCTTTCTCGTGTTTCATTATTGAAGTAGAATGTTGAGCCGCCTTTAGAAGTGGTATGCCGTCGCACAGCTACCTAAACGCATAATCGTCACATAAACTAAAGCATGAGATTCGACTCAATTGTGCTAACGCTTCTGTAGCGTGTGCTGATGACCTTCGTTCCGTACGAATGCTAATCAAGCAAACATACAGCATGAAATCGTAAGCGATACAAGAAACTTTAAAGTGACGCATAGACAAACACTGAAAGCAACGCATGCATTATCATTTTACAGTCTGCGACGAAGATTTCGGTCTTTGCAAGCCGTCTTGGTCATTTGTGCCAGCCTAAACTCGATCTTCTTGCTCAAGGGCAATGTGAGGAATGGCACAGTCGAATTCTTCCAATCTACAAACGCTGTTTTCCCGGACTGGTCCGTATTTATGATGTGATCAATCTCGAACAACTGAATCCGTTCCGAAGCAGGTGCGGTACTCTTCGATTCTTGCACAGAGACCTCAGTGCCGTTTTTCCCAATGCCGCTCTTGAGGAGGGTTGCTGTCGTTATCTTCTTCCTGACACCGCTCACGTAGGACTGTTGTAATCACCATCTCCAGCTCTTCCGTGGTCGTTGCCTTGCTCACAGCAAACAAAACAATCGCACGGGCGACGCAATCATTCACGCGTAGCCCTTTTAGGTGGCCTTTGAAGAGTCTTTCACAGAGCGGACGCGAATCATGGCGGCTCACTATCATTTAGGGAGGTTGCTGAGCGCAAATTTAGGTATGGTGGTAGTGAGTTCATTCTTCCGCGACAAAAATGAAACCTCTGTGGACTTCAACTTGTGTTTCTCTCAATATATATATATATATATATATATATATCATCGTCCTAGCAACAGAAACTGGGTGCTGCTTTCGCCACAGACTACCCCGTGTCATGAGAGGAAGTGGCGCTATCTTCACATGAACCTCGGCACGTTAGTGTTTCTACATATTTTTCAGCTATGAGCAGCCGGCAAAGTTAGGCTTGGCCTTCTCGTGATCTCGCACGTGCAACTTGCCGAAAGATGGCGAGCATACGGTATTGGAACGGTCCTCCAGCCGTTTATACATCAACAGCAACAGCCAACGGCGTTTTGCTGTTGAAAAGACGGCGACAACGGCAAACAGGTTGCCGTTTCTACAAATTCCTGGAAGTTGCTTGCTCTCGGGTGGAGAAGCGAGGAAAATCAGTCCAAACGTGCGCTTCCCACCGCCTAACATATACATCGAGCAAGCTGAACGCCTTCACCACCGAGCACACGAACCTGCATTTGACCTGCTTGCTGGGGTATAACTACGATTGAAGTGTGTCGTGGGTGGTGGTACTAATTTGTATATGTCTATGTAGGATGGCTACATCAGCAATCTGCATGGCCTGCACCTCAATCGCAGTCATATCGCAATACCCCCTTTAGCCTGGTGTCGCTGGGCTCACACCTGCACGGCTGCGTTGTCGTCAACGAGTTGATCTGTGACGTGATGCAAGTGGACGCCATCTCGCTGTCGCTGCCTGCGACTACGGCTGAACTGGGCAACGCATGTGACTGGGCTCTGGTGAAACTCAGCAGGATGGCTACATTCACATTTTCGTGGACGTGCTGGTCTCGGGTAGTGGATTGAGTTAGTCCTGCTGCCTGCGCTATGATTACAATTAAAGTTGCTCTTGTGGCTACTACGACAGTACTGTTACTGAGTGAGCGCATGGCGGTGGAAGTGGCCTGCATCTACACCGAGACAGCTTCGGGCCTTCATTGCTGTCATCGTTGACTTGTTGGCAAGCGCACGGGCAGTGACGCATGGGTAGTATGAGCTATCGGGGCTGGTCCCTGTATATGCATTGCTACTTGGGGATAACCGCTTGAGCTGACCGCTTGCGGCTATGCGTAGCGGTTAGACCTTAGTGCCAAGTTGTTCGTGAGTTGGTCAATATCGAGACGATGTCTCCCGCGAGGGTCTCGCGCGCGTAACCCAATGGCGTCACTACCAAGCCCAAAAAACACAATAGGCTACTGCCGTAACGAGAGTGGATATCAAGCCAGTATTACCATTGGTGTTGGTATTTTGGTGCTCCGGCATGGCTACAGCTACATTGCGGTGGATCCGTACGTTGGGCGTTCGTGATGCAAAATATACGCCGTACTTATGGGAATGTATTCGGTATTTGCTGGACATATGTTACACTGTTGAGGCAGCTCAGCCAACCAGAAAATGGTCAGCGGTTGCATGGGCTGCTCATTTCTGCATTGACTTTCTCCTGGAGCAAGTTTACAGCTCAAGAACACATACTCTGCGCAAGAGCGAAAATGGAGATTTCGGAGCTGTTGTGTGGGATGGAATGGGAAGCAACCGAGTGGGAAAATATCACCGATCCGGACGAGGGAGAAGGGGAGCAGATCGCACCAAGTGAGATAGCCCAGCAGTACATTCAGTGGCTGACCAGCGAGAGCAGATTGCACCTGTTGAAGCCCAAAAAGATTGAGCGAGCCTACACCAAGCATGCTGAAAAGGGCTTATTTGGTCTATTTGTGAGCACCAGACTGAAGAAGGCGTGGCGTATCTGGACAAACGCTGTCTTGGTGGCGAAAGGGGAAACTCCAATTACCGCAGAGGAGCTGGATGCGTTCATTGGACTCGAGCTGGCTATGAGCCTGGTACCCATAACCGATATGAAGGAACTGTGGTCTGACAAGAAATTTGAAGGCCATCACGATTTCAAAGCGACAATGAGCCGAACACTGTTCCAAACTATCCGTGGGTCGCTCCAAATCCACCCTCCTCTTGATGCAACCGAGACCGAGGATACAGCTTCATCTTCGGACAAGGACCCAAGTTGTGCTGATCCAGGAGTAGAAGCTACAGATGGCGATGCTACAGAGGCGAACGCAAGAGTCGGACCTGGAGATAACTCGGCCTCAGCACCTATTGCACCGGAGAACGCAGCTCTAGTGGAATCGGAGGCTGACCGACTTGCTCGTCAGGATCCGCTATGGCACAGCCGCCACTTACTAGAGCACTTCCAGCGCAAGTTTGCAGCAACAGCAGTTCCGTTTGGTGTGAGCAGTCTAGACGAAAACGGTGTGCGAACCAAGGCTCGGAGTGCAGCGAAGTCTTTCATGCCACTGAAGCCAGACAAGTTTGCGATTCGATTCTACGCTGTAGTGGGCTGGGGCTCTCTGTATGTACACATCCTATGGGACAATGGATCAGGAAATAAGCTGCCGACTACGCCCGCGCAGCGGTACACTCGACTTTTCCCAAGAATGCGAACTCCGTTGGACAATACGCTGCGTCGGGCGGATGTTCGGATTAAGTCGGATGCTGCCGGTGCACTGTGGATGGCTATGATAGCCCATCAAACAAAACGCTTTCCAGCTCCATCGCAGAGGCGCTTGCTTGTGTGCGACAATTTTTATACACGGCATGATCTCGCCAATGCCGTTCTTGCGTTGACGGATGGAGAAGTCCGCATGCTTGGCGCAGTCCGGCGAGACTGGGCTGGTCGCTTAAACAAAGCGGCCGTGGCGGACTCTATTTCGCGTCTCAAGTCGGCAGCGCGAGGAACATGGGAGTTAATCGGAGCGGTGGATAGCGTTGATGACACCAAGAAAGCAAGAGCCGATCATAAACGAGCTCAATACAAGCTCCCTCGACACCTACGGGCCGCATTTACACCCCGCGTGACGTTCGTAGCGTGTGCTGGATTCATTGTGTTCAAGGATAAAAAGCCGGTGGTGTTTTATACCAATGATTTGGCACAGACGCCTTCTGCTCGCGTTTTGAATGGAACCAACCCGGAAGCTATTGCTTGTTGCCATGGATTGTACCCGATGCGGAGATGGACCGGTACCGAAGTGATGCATCGGACTACATTTTTGGTTCCTACAGTTGTAGCGGCCTACAACCTGGCGATGAACGGCGTTGATCGTGTTGATCAGCTCCGGTCAACAAACTCGCACGACGAAAAGAGGTTAGACTATCGATGAGCCTACTCACTTGGGCTTTGGATATGTCAATCATCAACGCCTTTGCGCTGCTGAAGCAGGTTGCCCCAGAGGCGGCAGACACACCCAAAACCCTTCGTGAGTTCAAGCGGAGGGTATGTGAATCTCTCACAGAACCATACCGCCGTTCGCGAGAACGGAAACGCGCTTCATCAAAACGGCCAAGATGCGATTCGCCTTCCAACATGCTGGTCGAAGGTCCGGCACTTCATGCTTTGACTCCGAACAGCCATGAGAATTCAAGCGGCAAGTTGACATTCTACTTGTGTAGTTTGCGGGGAATTCAGTCCAAGTCTTCATACGGATGTACGAAGTGCCAGCGAGGTTACCACGTTGCTTGCTTCTGCGTCATGCACTACAAAGATGCGTTTCAAGCCTCTACCGATAGTGTCGCGCACGCCTTGGAGGCCATTCGCAGTGCCGAAAATGAAAACGCGCCCTTCAAAACGCGTAGACGTCAGAACAAGTCCATCACATCGTTATCCAACCTGGAGCTGCCGACTCAAGAACATTGAAGCCTAGACTATCGAGGAGCGGACAGTTTGACCGTGCCACAGAGTACCAACTCCTTACCTGTTTGAAATGGCGGCAAGGTCATAGCAATCGTCTAATTTGAATTGTATATTTTGAAGTTTAGATGCAGAATTCTGGAACACTGCATTTATCGATCGCGTGTTTTACAGGGCAAAGCGTTGGGCTCGAACGAACCGCTGCACTTGCGAATGGAGCTCAGTGTACAATCTCGCTAAATGCAAACCAGAATTAGTTTCGTTTAGCAGCTCGATCACGATTTCCGCAACTTCTTGGAGCGTAAAGGTGTCGTTCTCGACCCAGTGCAATCGGCAACAACGGAAAACGATATTGGGAGTTTCCGATTCCTGCTCTGACAACGTGATATTAATTTTAGACAGTAGTGTAAACCATAACAACACAGAAAACTTACCGGGTTCACTGCGAGATAGTCTGCAATACGGGCTTGTAGACGTTCGTTGGCGACCCGTTGGAGGTTTTGACGAAGATCGATAGGGTTCCCGGTCTCGGTGAAGTTGAAAAGTAATGCATTCGCGTTGGTTACCTGTCGGGAGACGTAGCTCTCTTGATCGGCGATAAAGCGGATTTCGTGGGCTCTTTCTTCACGTAGCAGCCAAAGCGTCATAGCGAATCCGTGCACGATGTCCTCCTGAGCCGGCGCGGTGGTCACTCTGTTTTCACAACGACGAAGCTGGCGCGCAAGCTGTTGGTGTAGTTGGAGTAGCTGGTTGAGGCGGGTTTCGACACCGTTGAGTAGAAGCATCTTCTCGCGGTGGTGGGAGGTAATTAGGCCTGTAATCCGGATGTCCTTGAGGCGATTAGTCTCTCTGAGGTCAGCGATGGTGGCGTCTCTAGTGACTATAGTAGCGTCTCGGGCCACGATAGTGTTCTCGCAGGCTTGAAGATCATCCCGAAGACGCTGGTTTTCAGCTTGGAGTTCCTCAATCGTCGGCATGAAGGGCTAGCCTCTGTGAGGAGGTCTGAGGGGCAAAGCGAGCGGTATAGATAAGAAGTCGGAGGGGGCACAGCGTCGAGCGAGAGAATTTTGATGAGTGGTGAGCATGTACCGAGACAAATATCACTTTGGAGGGGGCAATTTACAGCCAATAAGAGAACGACAACGCATTGAGCGGCGTAATATTTGGCGGCATGATTACTCTCACGTTTGCACTGTTGTTTGCTACACTGCGGATTTTACCTTCGGCTTGTATGCCTTGCTCAAAAATGGGGAAGGTTTCATTTTTGGGTATGGATGCGACAACCGCATGTGCCCAGTTCATATGTGTCTCGTGTTTTTGTATGTGGCTCCTACAAATTGTATGTGGAATACATTTTACAAGACGACGCTTACAACTCGCAAATGAACAGCCTGATTGCATCATTGCGCCACGGATATTACGTCCGCTTCCCGTGACAGTGCGAAAACCGTATTGCTCCTATTGCTTTTTCTGATTCATTCTCAAACTTGCAAAGCCATCCACACTACAACCTGCCCGCACGCCGCCTACCGGCACCAACAAGAGCCCAGTGGCCGATACCGTACGAAGCAGCAAGAGCGTCGGGCGCGCACCACCCCACGTGACGTCGTACGCCAGCAACCAGGAGCCCGCGGCCACTGCCGCCACCTTGCAGGCGAACGCATTGACGAAATTGTGGCGGCCTCCACGACAGAGAGCGCCACCAGAGCGCTGCGATCGATACAACTAGAAAGCAGCGACTGCCCGAAGAGCCCCCACTTCAAACGTAGGCATGGCCAAGGCCTGCGAGACACAGGCTGTCTCACAAACCAACGTGGCCACGATAGGATTCGTCCATCAGAACCCAAGCCAGCCACAGGCCACTAAGAACGCTGCACGGATCCACCGCAATGTAGCTGTAGCCATGCCGGAGCACCAAAATACCAACACCAATGGTAATACTGGCTTGATATCCACTCTCGTTACGGCAGTAGCCTATTGTGTTTTTTGGGCTTGGTGGTGACGCCATTGGGTTACGCGCGCGAGACCCTCGCGGGAGACATCGTCTCGATATTGACCAACTCACGAACAACTTGGCACTAAGGTCTAACCGCTACGCATAGCCGCAAGCGGTCAGCTCAAGCGGTTATCCCCAAGTAGCAATGCATATACAGGGACCAGCCCCGATAGCTCATACTACCCATGCGTCACTGCCCGTGCGCTTGCCAACAAGTCAACGATGACAGCAATGAAGGCCCGAAGCTGTCTCGGTGTAGATGCAGGCCACTTCCACCGCCATGCGCTCACTCAGTAACAGTACTGTCGTAGTAGCCACAAGAGCAACTTTAATTGTAATCATAGCGCAGGCAGCAGGACTAACTCAATCCACTACCCGAGACCAGCACGTCCACGAAAATGTGAATGTAGCCATCCTGCTGAGTTTCACCAGAGCCCAGTCACATGCGTTGCCCAGTTCAGCCGTAGTCGCAGGCAGCGACAGCGAGTGAAGGGAGCACTCGTTGATCCTGCACGGGTTGCTCCTTGTAGTGGTGCCTCGCACCTGGTGTATTGCAGAATGAGTTAAATTGGATGATGCTAGGATGTCTGTGCTAGGCTAATATGCATCGGTAGTTTCGTGTTGTGTAGCTGGAGGGGTCATTGTGGTCGTCGCAGGCCGTTATCGTCGCCACTGCACTCATCGCAGGTGGCGCCAGCTCTTGCGATCTCCAACAGTCCTCCTCGACCAAGATGATCCGAGTCTACAGCTTCTCGTTGTGCGGGTTGATAAGCTTGATCATGGCCAGGTTGCGCCCGTGTAGGGTTGCGCCGAGGGGCTTCGTGAAAATGTCGGCCTTCATCTCAGTCGTAGGGCAATAGGTCACGCTGACCTCCTTCTTGCGAATGGCGTCGCGTATGAAGTGGAATTTTATGTTGATGTGCTTCATGCGTGCAGTCGTCACGTCGTTCTCCATGTTCTTGATCGCGCTCTGGTTGTCGATGTACAAGTCGATATTATCATCTTTGCCGTCCAGCTCAAGTTCATTCAGGAGCTGCTTCACCCACAAGCAGTCCTGCACTGCCGTCGCCCCAGCGATGTACTCAGCCTCGGCTGTAGAGAGGGCGACCGTAGATTGTTTCTTGCTGTACCACGAAATGGGCATGGCGTTGATGGTGAGCAGTCCTCCTGAAGTCGACTTTGCGTCCTTGCCCCCGGCCCAATCTGCATCGCTGAAGATGGCTGCCTCAATAGTGTATCGGGGTGCCTGCGGCCGGGGAAAGTGCAACCTCAACTCGTGCGAGCCGCGCAAGTAGAGCAGGATACGTTTGACTGCAGTCCAATGAGTCGACGTAGGCGTTGAGACGAAACGCGCCAGGAAGTTCACAGGCATCGTGATGTCTGGTCGAGTGCAGTTGCTAATCCATAGTAGTGACCCAATGGTCTCCCGCATGATGCTAGTGTCGTAGAAGGGCTCGCTGTCCTCTCCGTTCAGGTCCCGAGTTGACTCCATCGGCGTAGTCACGGGGCGGCTATTCTCCATGCCGAACTTTGCCAGCAAACCGTCAATATTGGCTGTCTGGTGGAGGTAGATGCCGCAGTCGCTCTGCTCAATGTTAATTCCCAAGCACTTCTTGGCTGGACCCATGTCCTTGATCTGAAATTGGTCGGCGAGCTTCTGCATCGTCCAGTCGGAATCGCCCTCACACTGGCTGACGACCACCACATCATCGACGTAGAGGCCCAGTACAGTTAGCTTGCCTTCATGCCAACGAAAATACAAGCACGGGTCGAGTTGGCTCCTCCTGAAGCCAAGTTCCAGTAAGTAGCGGTGTATAGTGTCGTTCCACAACTTGCCGCTCTGTTTAAGGCCGTAGAGACTCTTTCGCAGCAGTAGGCATTTGCCCTTGGGTAATTGGAGTCCGACAGGGGCGCGCATGTAGATGGGTCGATCGAGGTCTGCTCGCAGGTATGCGTTAGGAACGTTTCCTTGTCGAATGACGGCATACCACTGAGATGCGAGGGCCACAATGAACCGCAGGCTCGCGATCTTGAGCACGGGCGCAAAGGTCTCTGCGAAGTCAATGCCAAACTTTTGAGTGAAGCCGCGCGCTACCAGCCGCGCTTTGAACCGTTCCAATTCGCCTTTGTTGTCAAACTTGAGCTTGAACACCCATTTTGCACTTATCAGATTTCCATCAGTAGGAATGTCCACAATTTCCCAGGTAGCGTTCTTCGATATTGGTCGAAGCTCTTCTTCGATTGCCTGCCACCACTCCTGCCAATACGGGCTGTTCATTGCCTCCTCCACAGTTACTGGCTCCTTGATCCCGTCACGCTCTAGTAGTACCGCAAAGGCAGTACCCTCCTTGAGTACGATAGTGAGCAGGACAGATGCCGGAGTGGCGAACTCTTCGAGAAAAGATTGGGGCAGCCGAAAGTCATCGCGTGGTAGTGCTCGTGTACCTCGATTCAGGCCAAAGATGCGCTGGATGGCACGCGACGTAAGTTGATGCTGCTCTGCAGGGCTACCAGCCCGTGCTTCCTCACCATTAGCGTCATGTGGGGTGTTGGTTTCGTACTGTTGATCGCCAGCATCCTCCTCCTCGCCGCTATTGTCTGCGTCGACGGCGTCCATGTATCGCCCCACGGCTCGCGAGTCCAGACGGTCAACGTTCCGGATGTGTGTTGTAGAAATAACACGTTTGGTTCGCGGGATGAGAACACGGTACGCTTTCTTCTTGAAGTCGATGCCAATAACAACTCCTCTTTCAGCGCGCTTTTTCGCTGACGCTTCGTTGCATGAGCGATGTGGCTCGTACACTTCGAGCCGAATTTGAGGATATGCGAGACACTGGGTCGTTTTCCGGAGAGGGCCTCAATGGGAGACGCATGGTCGGCGTTCGCTCGAGTCGGCAGATAGTTGCGAATGTAGCTCGCATACAGAACAGCATCGCCCCAAAATCGCTGTGGCAATGCCGAGGCCCAGAGAATCGCTCGGGCGGAATCCATGACAGTCCGGTGAAAACGCTCTGCTTTTCCGTTTGATGATGACATGCCCGCCTCCGTTTCTTGGTGGAGAATACCCCGGCGGAGGAAGCGGCCGAGTCTGGTGCTGCCAAATTCACCACCACCGTCGGAGCGAATCATCTTCACCTTGGTGTCGTATTGTCGCTCAAATTCGCTAACAAAGTCCTCCAAATGCCCTTCCGCGTCGCTCTTTTTGCGGAGCAAGTAGACGCGATTGTAGTTCGTAGCGTGGTCTACAATGGTCAAAATGTGTTTGTGACCGAGCCGATCCGGGGTCATGTCCGTCTTCAGGTCAACGCACAAGGTAGCGCCCGGTTCGTCCGTTGGGGCAGATATAGAAGTATCCTGCTTGTTCTTCGCGCGTCGAGCTTGTTTCGCTTCAGCGCAGTTCATGCAGAAATCCACCTTCCGATTAGAGGCAACCATGCCTTCAACGAGGTTTTTGTCAATCATGCGTACCAGATCCTGGTAGTTCACGTGCCCCAGGTGTTCATGCCACTGCTGAAGCGTAGAGGTCGTCATTGCTGCGAAGGAGGCCGCACCTTGCTCAATTCCAACAGACCAAAGCCCAGTCGAGGCTGAATTACCCACTTCGGCAACAATCTTGCCCGTCTTGTTCGTAATTGTACACTGCTCCTCACCAAAGGTGCAGGTGTAGCCTCGAGCGGTGAGTTGAGCCACTGAAATCAGGTTGCGGTCAATACCTTTTGCGAAGTACACGTTTTCTAGCAGGACAGTACGAGGCACTCCTTCTGCCATCGTCGTGATGACAGTCTTTCCCTTCTCAGTAGCGGCGACAAGATCTCCATTCGCCACTCGCACCGACAGGAATGCTGGCTCTATCGCGGAAAGTTGGTCACGGTCGATGCAAAGGTGGTGAGTTGCTCCTGAATCCACTGTCCAAACATTTCCTCTCGTGGCAGAAGCGCCGCGCTCGGCACCGTCGGCAGCGACCCAGACATAGCCTTCATCATCAGAATCTCTGGATGTGTCGTCATCATCAGCAGCGGCTACGTTCGCACTTCCTCTGGTGGTTAGTTGTTTTGCCTGTTCCACGAGTGGACACGTGAAAATCTTGTGACCAGGCTTCCCGCACACATGGCAATGTATTTCACCACGATGACCAGCGGCGGCAAAGGCTTGGCCGTTATTTTGCTGCTGCGGACGTCGATCCGAGTTGTCGTTGTTGTTTCGCTGGTTACGCCAATGCTGATCATCATTGTGGCGATTTCCGCTGCGGTGGCCATGTGAATTCGGGTTCCGGCGGTCAGCATGACGGTTTTTGCGTTCATCTCGCTTCGCACCACATCTGCGCCCGTCACCTTTCAGCTTGTATAGCAGTCGCTTCATGCGATCGGTTTCCGCAACGTAATCGCTTGCGTCGTCGGGCACTGAAGACAACAGCGTGGGCGCTAACTCGGGGCATGCATTGTTTCCGAACACCTCCATGACCATCTTGGTCTGATCACCTTCCATGAGGCTCTCGATGAAGTTCAAGTATTCCAGGTAGTCATGCCACGTATCGCCTTCACGCTTGTTATACTGCATCTTCGTGCTGAGTTCGAGTTGGCTTAGTTTACAGCCAAACTCTGCACGCATCGCGCGCTTCACATCTGAGTATGGCATGCTGTCACCATTATGACGGCGCAGCCACTCTGAGTTCTTCTTGTGATAGTACCTAGACGCTTTCCCCTCGAGGAAGTTGACAATCACCGATGCCTTGATGTCGTCGGTCCAGGTGGATCCGTTCACGAGCTCCTCCGTCCTTATTGCATGCTCGAACTCGTGGATGAAATTCTCGAAGCCAGCTCCTAACCCAGGGTAAACCTCGTTTCCCTTGAAGTTCGAGCAGCGTACGTCCTTGATTTTAGGCTTCTTCGGTGATGGAGGTGCGGTTTCCATGCTAGTATCCGACATGGAGGGGAACGGGGCGCTCGCGTCGCGAGCTGCTTCTTCAGTTCTGCCAGCTCGGACTGCAGTCGAAGGATGAGCTGGAGCTGGTCGTGCTGCTCCATTGTCTCTTGGTCCGAAGGGTCGAAGTGCAGGTCGTCTGGCAGTCCTAGGCGAGTATTCCTTCCGTCTTGGTGGTCTTCGTCAGCCTCGTTAGCACCTCGTGCCTCTGAGTATTCTTCAAGGTCTTCGTTGTCGCCTCGCGAGTCTTCGAAGTCTTCACTGGTCGCTGCAGAAGGCGAGCCAGTTGGGCTCATAACCTGAAGGGAGCACTCGTTGATCCTGCACGGGTTGCTCCTTGTAGTGGTGCCTCGCACCTGGTGTATTGCAGAATGAGTTAGGTTGGATGATGCTAGGATGTCTGTGCTAGGCTAATATGCATCGGAAGTTTCGTGTTGTGTAGCTGGAGGGGTCGTTGTGGTCGTCGCAGGCCGTTATCGTCGCCACTGCACTCATCGCAGGTGGCGCCAGCTCTTGCGATCTCCAACAGCGAGATGGCGTCCACTTGCATCACGTCACAGATCAACTCGTTGACGACAACGCAGCCGTGCAGGTGTAAGCCCAGCGACACCAGGCTAAAGGGGGTATTGCGATATGACTGCGATTGAGGTGCAGGCCATGCAGATTGCTGATGTAGCCATCCTACATAGACATATACAAATTAGTACCACCACCCACGACACACTTCAATCGTAGTTATACCCCAGCAAGCAGGTCAAATGCAGGTTCGTGTGCTCGGTGGTGAAGGCGTTCAGCTTGCTCGATGTATATGTTAGGCGGTGGGAAGCGCACGTTTGGACTGATTTTCCTCGCTTCTCCACCCGAGAGCAAGCAACTTCCAGGAATTTGTAGAAACGGCAACCTGTTTGCCGTTGTCGCCGTCTTTTCAACAGCAAAACGCCGTTGGCTGTTGCTGTTGATGTATAAACGGCTGGAGGACCGTTCCAATACCGTATGCTCGCCATCTTTCGGCAAGTTGCACGTGCGAGATCACGAGAAGGCCAAGCCTAACTTTGCCGGCTGCTCATAGCTGAAAAATATGTAGAAACACTAACGTGCCGAGGTTCATGTGAAGATAGCGCCACTTCCTCTCATGACACGGGGTAGTCTGTGGCGAAAGCAGCACCCAGTTTCTGTTGCTAGGACGATGATATATATATATATATATATATATATATATTGAGAGAAACACAAGTTGAAGTCCACAGAGGTTTCATTTTTGTCGCGGAAGAATGAACTCACTACCACCATACCTAAATTTGCGCTCAGCAACCTCCCTAAATGATAGTGAGCCGCCATGATTCGCGTCCGCTCTGTGAAAGACTCTGCAAAGGCCACCTAAAAGGGCTACGCGTGAATGATTGCGTCGCCCGTGCGATTGTTTTGTTTGCTGTGAGCAAGGCAACGACCACGGAAGAGCTGGAGATGGTGATTACAACAGTCCTAGAAGACCAGTACGTGAGCGGTGTCAGGAAGAAGATAACGACAGCAACCCTCCTCAAGAGCGGCATTGGGAAACATGGGAACGAGGTCGAGCCACAGAATCCAGAAAGCTCGCTTGTGACGGACCTCTACCCAGTTGACCGTATTATCAGGACCATCACGGACGCGAACGGCGTCGAATCAGCGGACGTGAAATGGGAACCAACAGAGGAAGTATACAAGCCCCTCCCGAGGTTCGTCAAGTCAGCGTTTAGGAAGGAACAGAAAAAATGGGTTAAAAAGTTTTTTGAGTGGTAAAATAGAGGCGTGTAGGTGGTAATGAGGTCACGACACAATGTACTTTGCTTCCATATTGATGTCATTGATACCACTAAAGAGAGTTTGTAGTCACACGACCACTTTAACAAAGGACAGACGGATCACTGAGAAGTAGGCTAAATCATTCAAGTTCCCATTGCCGACCGCACACACTGTACGCATCCTTTGGTGGACAGAGGGGAGCAATGATGGAGTGGAGTGGGTGCGCGCATGTGTCGCGGACTTCTGCGATGCGGAGTTCACGTACGGGTTGCCGCATGGGCTTATACCTTCCCGGGCGTCCACTTGCGGTGTCGCTCGTATTTCTTGCGGGCCGAAGGCTGCGGCATCGGGGCCAAAACGGTTTGACACGAAGTTTTGACGCGGATTTTGAGCTTGTTGCTCCGAAATCAGCTCGACTGCCTCAACGGGATATTCGATGAACACGGGCTCACGATCCACGCGTCCGGGGCAATGTACTGGATCACGAGGTTGTTCTTCATGCTGATACAGGCGTATGTGGGCCGGCTCTTGATGTATGCGCTGTCGAGTGTAGAGGTGGTTCCAGTCCTCTGTGTGCTCTACTACTCGATCTACCTGTTGTTACGGGTTTCAATCATCCAGCCTTTTGGTTGTAATACCTGACAGCTCCGCAGAAGTACATCATGGGCATTCTCAACGCGCTGGCCTTAACCCTTTTAACTAACTGCAGTAACGGAACAGCGCCCTGGAGGTAACTTGTACGAGAATGGTGGCTTCGAGCGGGCCTGCTAGCAGCTGGAAGGCGCCCCTCACTCTCAGTCACACCACCATGAAGAACTTCGTTGATCACTACCGCATGAAGCATTCTGATTTCTGGAGCAGCCTCGGCTACGTGTTCGTGTTCCTCGCCGTCTTCCGAACTCGCGATGCTGACGCTTCGATTAATCAACCATCCGAAGCAGCTGCAATGCATTATCTTACTACGTACTACGTATATTGCAACTTTGTTCGTGGCCCTAGGGCCAGCTCACAGTTTTGATAAGTGCTGTTGTCATTACCTTAGATACAGTGCTCTTTAGCAATTACATTTGTACTGTACGAAAGAAGAGACTAAGTCTGAAGGGGTAGAAGACGGTGTGTAATGAGCCTGCCAATCAAGAAGACGTAGGCGAGTTACGCTCACCGTTGAACTCACGAAGTACCAAAACCAATTGTAACTTTGCGATACTCACTCGCGAAATCCCGGGCTCTCGGCAGATGCGATAGGAAGTGTGCCAGTGAACACCGTTGAGCAGCTTGTCCTAAAGTTCATACCACCGAGTTGATCTGGTATGTCTTATAGTCCTTCGCCATGAAGGCGAGACACCAAAGACGATTGACTGCATCAGCGAGATCGCGAACCGAGTGATATTGTACGAGGGTGTGCACCAGTACCGGTCGTTGAGCCGCTTCACCAGAAACCACAGCTGCGTCAGCGATCTCGTCGCGCGCTTCTTCGTGAAGATCATTTCTGGGACCCCAGGGGCTGGGTGGTTCACTCCGGGTATCTCCAGCGCTGCGTCTAGCATACCCTTCTCCTCACCCCCTTGAAGTGCTGCACAAAATCAGTCGTAACCTTGTTGTTCAAGCCAGCGCCGATCACCAGGTGGCTGGATTTTGGCGCTCTGGAAGAAGCTGCGTGCCTGGGATTGCTTCTAGATAGTTCACCGGATTTTCGCACTTCTCGCCCAGTTCACCAACAAACACAGTCTCGCCACCACGCGTATGAAGCCGTAGGCGGCCGAACAGGAAAACACATCAGACGAAGGTTGGTGAACCGTGCACACGATGGCGCGTCCATCCACTGTCCACCACCTTACAAACGCCATCCGTGATTAGCTTGGGTGAGTGCGCATCCAAGCAACTGGTCGATTCGTCCAGGAACAGCACGCTGGGCTGGGTCGCAAGCCCACACCGATCGTCAGACGCTTCATCAGCTCCATCGATGGTTGGCGATGCCGCACATGCCCAGCAGGCCCGACAACACATACTTTTCCAGCACCGAATGAGCCACTGACTCCCTTGAGAAGTCAACACCCTCCTTTGTATTTGGCCACGCTTTTCGTGGGTGCTTGCGGGCAGTAGCTGATGCCAAACGCGTCGATAATGTAGTCGTCGGGGCTGTGGTCCAGCAGTCCGGGGAACTTGGGTCGTTCTTGGTCTCCTGCTTGCAGGAGCGTTCGTTCTCCAGCAGCACGATGCCGCCGTCTTGCATCGCGCGGATGTCCGTGTCCACCTGGGAGCGTCCACCGTCTTGATGGGGCGGCCTAGCATGGACGTGAACGGCCGGACTACTGACTGGGAGTACCAAAATCTGGGTACCACCAAGTCGAGCGTTATTGTCAAAACGATGTGAATAGTTGACAAACGTCAATTTCCCAGCCTTTTCTGCCTGCCTCCCATTCGCCAATATTTTCTCAATACACTACGCTGACTGGCTGAACATGCAGGTCCTGCAAGACCTTTACGTACAAACCGGTACTGTAAGGGTTAAAACTCGCGATGAACGATGCATTTAAAACCAATGCAAGGATGATAAGTAATCATTGTGCGGTCTATTACATTTTAGTTTGAAATCGGCATGGTTAAAACAGCGCTGCATGCTTGCCCAATTAACACCGGGTTCTGTGTGAAGGCAATCAGGCGGGTCTTGATAACTCGCTGCGCTATAGCTTGGACTTGTGGCTGGGTCTGCGGAGGCAAGTGCTCTGCGATTGCAGCCGCAGCGTTAGCAGCTATGTCTTGGATGCGCCCGAGGAGGCTGTCAACCTCCTGCAAGGACTGACGGTAGTTCTTCACCTCGTCATCTTTGACAGGGTCGAAAGGCAGCGTAGCCAGAGACGTGTGCTGGAGACTGTCGTCGTTGTCGTTGGCTGTGTAGTCGAGATCTCCAGCAACTTCCAGCGTTGCGAAGTCCTGGTCGATGTCGGTGGGAGCGTGGCGTCGGTCGCCCGAAAGCGCAGCGGACTCAGCGCGAACGGGGTGACTGCGGCCGTCGCTCAGGAGCTAATCCGGGAGCTGGGGCTCATCCAGCGCCGCAATGGCTTGGTCCTGGTCGTCGAGGACTGGAGAGTCGAAGCCGGCGTAGGTAGTCAAAGCGAACTTTACAAAGTCGGTGAGCTGGATGGACTAACGTGGATTGATAGACTCCATTGCTGCAGTCGTGCGGGTTGGGGAACGCAGCGAAGCACATGGCGCCGATTACCTCGGTAGATCTGAGCGCGAAGGTCGGGAAACAACTGTCCCCATCGTCGTCGTAATTGTATTTAATTTCGAACCCCCCCACGCGTACAAGCGGTACGCGTGGATGAAGATCCGCTTCAAGGCGACGTGTACATGAGTACGTTCCGCCTGCGGTGTTTAAGGATAAAGCGGTTTCTGTTTGGTCACTGTTACTCAGAATGCGGTAAGTAGTGCCCATGTGCACGTAAAGGAAAAATAGTGTATTTATCAGCCCCACATTATCCTTTATATTTTGATGATTTTCTGATATCGCAAGTTTCCGTAAAACTTTTTTTTACTATTGTTTTCAATACACTGCTATGTGCTTTCAGCTTAAATGGTGAATCAAGTTTAACTCCAAATGCTTTGTCGTATATTGATTTTGAGCTATTAAAATGTTCCAACATTTTTAACGATCCCAATGATTAACATAATTTATGTTGTCAGTGTGGCTTATACGTACCATCCCAAACATCAGTAGTTTTTTTCAGTGCAAGACGCCAAAAACACTTCACTATTTTTTTTATATATTTTGCAATTAATGTTTGCTCGTTTTAGTCTTTGCTTCTTTTCTACACTATCATACTACTACTACTACTACTATTTCCGATGATCCCTCTTTTGTCCTGCTCAAGTTTTCGCTTGATTAGGATCGTTTGTCCCTCTTAAGAGATTTTTATTATTGAGTTTTTTTAAAGATTATAGATTTGCTGATTCCCGTTTTATTGTGAAAATCAACTCATTGCACAGAAGTTATGCATGCAACCTCCCAGAACAAACACTTTTATTAACTCATACCGAAGAATTTTACACGCCAACCCTCATGTTCACGCTACCTACTATTTTGAGAGCAACAACGTCGCCATCGGATAAATACTGAGCAATCTGTGACGTCAAAAGCAAACGGGTCAAGTGATATAAAGCGAAGCGGTAAAATGTACATATTTCATTTAGGAACTACCTAGTGAAAATAACTTATATCTCGTAAGTATTATAGTTGATAAACAAGTACGCTGCTAACACGCGCTTTTTTTAACAGTAAGAACCATTCTAAAGGCTCAATAAAATACCGTATATGTTCTTTTTTATTTTGCAATATCTTAAAGATATATTTTAATATAAAAAGAACGGTTAAGGAAGCTTGGTGTGAAACACGCTCGGGTATACCTTATGAAAAGCAATGCCTCCGGCATATTACCCGAGTTCGGAATTGTGAAACTGTCGTTCGGAGTGTGTTCAGCTTTGGAGAACTTTCTGCTGAGCCAAGACGCTATGCGCACGTTGTCATTGTGGATGGCAGTCACTATGACCTCCTTTGAGCGATGCTCCGGTCATACCTCATATAACCACTTCACCACCTCAACATGTCCTTCGTCGGCAGCCCATTGCATGGAAAACTTCGAGCCATTTTGCGTCCGATTGGTGTGCAATCATTTCACCGCCCGTAATGCGCTGCAACTTTCAAAGTACCTAGTAATGAGCATACCGGGCGTTTGCGGTGGCAGTGAGGTGGTGAGGAACGCCGTACTTCAGAAGACCAGCTGGGGCGACGCTTCGTACCTCTCAAATGACAGTGGTGTTGACTTTGCTCGGCGCCCCCGGTTAGGGCTGATTCGTGCAGTGGTTGAAAGTGCACTAACGTACTTTCGTGCAGATTCATAAGTCCTTTATTAGGAGGATAGTCCATTCAGAACATCAATTGCGTTTTTCTGCTAAGCTCGATTAAAACTCTTGAAAATACAGGCATAACCCCACTAAAACCGGTGCCCGAAAAAGCCCTACCCCCGATAAATATAAGCTAGCTTCACCCCTTCCAACTGAAAACAAGGGCTGATTATTTTCCGAGGTTGTTTGTACTCCGTTTCGCCTTCGAAATTGTTTTAGTAGGTGTTATCACGGTTATAATAGAAAGTATGTTTGGAGTAGGCCTTTCGACTAATCAGATCGCTTCAAATAGGGGTTATCGATGTTTGGAGTAGGTTTTTCGACCAATCAGATCGCTTCAAATGTATTGTCTGTTTTCACTGGGGCCCGTCTCTCTCCGCTGAAACCTGCTGGCAAAAAGAGGGAAGTTTGAGTTGGGCACAAAGAATCCAGTTGATTGGCTGATTAAGTAGGCGAAGGTTTGATTCGATTCGCCAAAACAAATCCGTCGAATAGGAGCATGATAACCGGGTTATCATACCCCCCAGTGTTTTCAGCGAATCAACTCAACTCAAAGGTTCCCAATCACATAATGCTCTCATTGGCTAAAATACTTTCTACTTACTGACAGTTGCGAAGCCGTGCCCCATACACCTCATCGGTCTTCAATGATTTGGATATTGAACGCAGTGCGGACGCTGGCAGCGCCGCCATCTGCACTTCCAGCGTAATTATGACCTCACTTCAACTTCGTAAGTTTTAAATAATAAAATAACAAGAACTTTGCCATAATTTTACACTTGGAGGCAATAATATTAATGGCCTTTGCGTCCAATCGCCGTGGACATGTGTGGGTAGACAGACCCACGTACTCGTAGATCATTTCCTGCTGCTGCTTAGTCTCCGTTATACCTCGCCATGAAGTCACCCATGCCTGGGATAATCACCTGTGTCGCTGAATCGACCTTGCTGTCGATAGCACTCGTGATAATCTGCACACCTGCATGACATGACCGAAGCACGTGAGATCAGTGGCCCCTCCCTCCCTTCCTTTGTAACACCGAGCTGCGTACCTGGGAAGCGGCCGCAGATAGTCACGAGGCTGTCCGTGGAGCACAGGATAATCACGAGAGTGATGCGGCTCTCCTCCACGCCCAAACTGCACAGCGCCTCAATGGCCTTGCACTCGCCGCCACCCGTGTTCACCGTCGAACTGAAGAGCAGTATCCTGTACCGCGTGATGTCGCTCGGCAAGTCCACGTGCTCCAAACGCCAGTCGCTCTGCCCCTGCTGACGCGTTTCCAGACCAATGTGGATAGAGCCTTGCGGTGCGTCTGGCTCCATCTGATGGAATAGTACCAGGAACGGGAACCCTTCCGCGCCGACGGCCACGCCGCAGAACTCGTCGGTGCGCTGCAATCCGTACGTCTGGTGCCCCGTCGAGGTGGTCATTTCAATCGAGCGCGCGCTGATGGTGGAGAGCGCCTCCTCTAGCAGCAGCCTGTACGCAGTAGCAACAAACAAATGGTTAGTTGAATCATCAGAATGTTGGCAACCCCAATCTGACTTGCGCCCTTACATGATCAGCCTGCCAGCAGCGCGACGGAAGTCCGCTGGACTCGTTCTTCTGTCGCGCAACGTCGTCATGAGCAGCAGCGCGGGGCTGGAGCGGATCTCTCGCACCATCAATTGTTCACCTGGCGGACCAGAGAAGTTCTCGGCGCGGTCGATCTCCTGCGTCTGCTTAATCAGCAGGTCATAGCGCGTGATGATCTCCTCGCGGTTCTTCTTGATGTGGCAAATGGCTGCGCGCGTGACGCCGTACTCGCGCGCCAGAGCGGCCTGCTTCTCGCCCTTCTCAATGCGTTTGATGATGTTGTGGCGCTCGGTGTCGTGCAAATACCGCACGCGCTTATTGGGCTTGTTGTGCGGCGCGTTGTTGTCCTCGTTCTCCTCGGTCTTGGACTCCTCCTCCAGCTCAGCCTCCTTCGTCGAAGTTGTCGCCGCAATGGACATCTGACGGATGATACCATTGGCTTCGGCGTGCAGTGCCATGAACTCACCCATTGGCTCGTGCTGCCCCTGCATGTTGCAGCCAAGCGGGGCTTCAACTTGAGTTGACGCAGTGCGACGCTCGGTGATGTTGTGGGACACCTGGGTGTCTCGTTCGGATGTAGCCATGATAACCGATCCCTGCTTGTGAGACGGTGGACCGAAAATGCCCGGCGTTTTGCGATGTGGGCTCACCGCGACGCAGTGCTCTGTTGCCCTTGCGAGCAAGCGAGCAAATTGCCTGGTGGCGAGCAAGCACGCCCTTCCAGTGGAAGTGGAAGTTCCAGGCGCAAAGGCTTGCGCTTTTGCTCGGCGACAAAAATACGTGTTGCACAGGATGGGGGAAGGGCAACGGTCCCTTTTTCGGGGCGGCCACACGTGGACGCTGCTGCTCATACAGGCACCGCCTGTGACGGTGTTGCGGTAGCAGCAGCAGCGTTGTCGCGGCCTACCTCGATTGTGCCGCATGCTGGGGGGACGAACGAGATCTATTGGCGGTGGCTTGGACCCAAGGTATCCGCTGCTCGGAAAAGAGCTCGTTTCCCATTTGAACTTGCATTTGATTGGTCGCACGCTTCCGTAGAGCAAAATTGAGTCCTTTTGAGTCAAAATGACGCGAAAAAGCGCCTCGAAAACAGGGTGTGTTCGCAAGGAGCGTGCTTGGCGCTGGTTACGTGCCATTGAATGTCGGTCGGCTCCAGCAGCGTCAATAAACACGCGCTTTACCGAAGTCAAAAGAATATACGAGGCATAAACGCGCCGGAACCTCTACGAATCGGCAGACAAGTCCGTATTGAAGATGACGGCCTATCGGCTATCGAAGTTTGTGCAGAACGTTTTGTGCCGGCGAGACGGTAAGCACTTGCTCTGAGTGCTACCAGCGCTAACCGCAAGAAAAATGGCTGCATTCTCCTTCTGATTACATGCACGCTAGTACCCTTCACGTTCTGAAACTTTCAGTTGTCACCCTGCCAAGTAAACAGTGCTGCTGTATCCTCACTCAGCACGTCGATCATCGACAGTTGGTTCATCGACTCGCCACACAACCCTGTCACTTGTGAAAGCACAATCACTTGAAACGGCGCTGACGACGGCTGATGCTTGAGCCTAAAATGCATGAAAACAAAAAAACTCAAAAAGTAAAACAAAAACACAATATTATGAATTTTCAGAGGGTGAATCCCACTGTCCCATCTCTGGCACATGCTCATTCCGAATAAACGCAACAGTAGGCGCCTGTTCCGCACTGGACGCTTCGTACCATTTTTCATTTCCTTTCACAGTTACAATATCAAAACCTGAAATCATCATTTCTCATGATGCTTTTGACAGGAAGACACTATGCTGTCATTTATAGATTTATCAAGTTTGCACAGCAAAAGGTACCAATATACACTCCCCCAGAGAAGCGGAGTGCCCATTTGCCACACAGCCAGTCAGGATTTCCACGAGTTGCAACCTGGACGCGAAGGCTGAAGGCTTACAAGGCCCCCAAGGACACCTCCCCCTTAGGCTCAGCGATGGCGCAGCCCCCGCCCAACCCGCGGCCCATCGGCGGCACGTCCGTGGCCCGCAGCTTGGCGCAGGCAGCTGCGGCGCTTCGCGCGCAGGAGTGGCGCACCAACGCTAACGCTAACACCACTCGCCTGAGCGTCAACGACACCGATGAAGCTAATGACACGAGACGCCGAGCGTTCGCCGCCCGGTCGGATGGCGCCGCGGCGCTGCAGCAGCGACGTCAAGCGCCTCGATACACGCATTACGCGCCGGAGCAACAGCCCCCGCGCTACCAGCAGCAATATGAGGAGAACGACGTAGAGCAAGAGCAGGAGCAGGAGCAGGAGGGCGCGGCCGCCATGTACGACCGCGAAGCGTTCTACGCGGAGCTGCGCGAGCGCCACCGCAACCTGACGCACAGGCAGCGACTGGCCCGAGAGTTCTTCGAGCAACAGCAGCGGAGACAGCAGCAGCAACAACAACAACAGCATCAGGTGCAGAGGAGAGCGGAGACGGCGTACAGGCAGCAGGAGGGCTACGAGGTGCAGGACCCGGCCAAGAGACAACGCGTTGTCATTGACACTCGCGCGCAGCAGTTCCGACGGCAGATGCAACTGCAGGGTGAAGCTGCAGCTGCATCCAGACACTTGCGGCCGCCGTCGTACCCTCCGCCAGCCTCTCAACTGGTGGCGTCGATGGTGCCGAGGGTGAATGCTCCTTTATCATTGGAGAGGAGGTTTCGAGAACCTGACCCACTTGCAGAGGTGGATGCAGGCAGCAGGATTGGGCGGGTGGACCAGCAGAGGCTGCAGATGCAGGCGCAGATGCAGATGAGAGCTGCGTCGGCTTTGGCGTCCAGTGTGAGGCCATTGTCGGCAGGGTCGGTGCAGAGGGCTGCGTCGCCAGGGCCACGACCTCCTCGGGCGTCCCCCGTGCAGGTTCCGAATGTGACGATGTTGGGGCCTGTTACGACGAGCAAATCGCCGTCGGGTGCTGGAACACCGACGTCGAAGAGACCCGTGGAGAATGAGGACAACAACGCGCAGAGCGCGCCGTTCGTTATCGAAGACCCTGCTAACGACGACGATGACGACGCTGCTGATATGGAAGACGACGGCTCCGGCGAGAGTAAGAAAGCGAAGAAGCGGGTGAGGTACCTGCGCGACACGGACCGACGCAACATTATAAAGCGTATCGAGAACGGAGAGAAGCAGGCGGCTCTGGCGCGGGAGTTTGGCGTGACGAGAGCAGCCATCTGCCACATCAAAAAGAACCGCTTCGAAATCCTCTCGCGCTACAACATGCTGGTCAAATCTGCCCAGGAAATGTACGCCCGCATTGTTGGTATTGTTACGTGTTCTACTATGGTGAACTGACGTATGCTCATGTGTACACAGGAATCGCGCTGAAAACTTTGTTGGGCCTCCAGGCGTGGACATGATGGTACATGAAGTGCGCGCCAACTCAATCCTGCTGCTCATGACAATGCTGCGCGACAACCGCTCCAACGGAGCGACTTTCCGGCGCGTGGCAGGCCGTCTCATCATGTAAGTACTATGATCCCTTCAACGTCGCTCTTGCAGATTTACTAAAGGCGCGTTAATGGATGTAGGATTCTGCTGGAAGAAGCTCTCGCTGTTCTTGGCACGGAGAATGTGGAGGTAATTACAGGCACTGGCCACTTGTACCGAGGCCTGGAGCGCAAACACCAGTTTTGCGGCGTAGCCATCGGGACCGAGGGATTTCCGTTCCTCGTGCTCTTCCACCAAATGGAGCCGGATGCCCCACAAGGGTCCATTCACGTGACAAAGGCGATAGATCGGCGAGGACAGCGAGCGTGGCTGCTGGACCACATGGATCTGCCGGCGAATATCGTTCACCACCGAGTTCTTCTCTTCTCTGCTACCTGCAGCACAGGCGACGCAGAGTGCAAGGCCATTGAGGTGAGCGAGCTCCTTCCCTCTCTGGCATTATGTCGTGTAAAGATGCTCATCATGTGTCGTTGTGTAGGCGCTCTGCAGTGTGGGCTGCGATGAACGAACCATTTCGCTGGTCGTGATCCTCGTGACCGGCGACGGGATCGTCAACGTCAGCAACCGTTTCCCAAGTAAGTGAGCTGCTATCATCGACAGAGCGTGTCATTCCAAACTGACAGTCCTCTTCATTCGTACAGACGTGAAGATCATCACTGGTGGCATCGACGGTAAAGTGGATCCGGAAACGGACGGCATCATCCCGGGCTTCGGCGACTTCGTCTCGCGCTACAACGACTCTTAGGCCGTCGCCCAACCTCAGCCACCATCGCCGCCATACTACTCTCCTCGTCCCTGTCAACGTCTTCGCAGTTGGTTATTCTACATTCGGCGTGCGTGGCTGCGACTCGCGACTATTATTTTATTGCTGTATCGTTTAATGAACCCGTTCGAAGCGGACCAAGGTAATGCACGCAAAGCTGCCAGACGGACGGCAAAAAAAAGCAAAGAACTTCAACGTTCATTTCCAAAGTAGCCATCTCCCATCATCCATCTTGATTGGTCAAAATCACATCCTAATTTCCTCCCAATAGCAGACGCGAATCACCCCAATAGCTCTCCATCCATTCCTGGCCTCACAGACGCATCGACACCAAGGAAGGACTCGGACGGCCGCCGCCATGTTCGCGCTCTCCCGCCTCGCCCGCGCCTCCGCCGCCACCGCCGCCGTGGCGCGCGTGGCGACCCCTTCGCTGCTGCTGCAGGCCGCGCGCTGCGTGTCGTACGTTGCGCCCCCGCGCGTGTCGGCGGACAAGAGCTACCGCTTCGGACTCAAGCTGGACGACGTGAAGCCGCAGGACGACGAGGAGGAGAAGGCACTGGCGCAGCTCAAGGCCGTGCTGAGCCTGCGCAACGCGTCGCAGCACGAGCTGAACAAGGCGCAGGTGGCCACGGCCATCGAGACGTTCCAGCGCTTCCCGGGCGACACGGGCTCGAGCGAGGTGCAGATCGCCGTGCTCACGCAGAAGATCCTGCGCTGCACGACGCACGCGCAGCAGCACAAGAAGGACCACCACTCGCGACGAGGCCTGATCGCCATGGTGGAGAAGCGGCGGAAGCTGCTCAAGTACCTGCGCCGCAAGGACCTGCACAAGTTCCGCGAGGTCGTGGCGGCGCTGGGGCTCCGCTTCACGTAAGCAGCACACACCGAGCAGATAGAAGAGACTCACAGGGACTGGCAACAGCGAAACAGGAGGGGGCTTTTTAACTGTGAGTGCGTGTTTTGTTTGCTTGTTAATTGTTTCAGTAGTTGCTGGCGTCGTCGTCGTACTCGTCTTCGTCCTCTTCGAGCAGCGGCGCCTCTTGGCTCTCCATGAGCAGGGACAGGATGTCGACGCACTCGGCAAAGGACACGAGCGTGTCGGGCGTGGCGCCGATCTCCTGCAGCAGCTCGGCGAGCTGCTCCTCGCTCACGTCGAGCTGCAGCACGTCGATGAGACCAGGTAGACGCGAGCAAGGGATGCAGCCGCTGCGGGTCTTGGTCGACTGCTTGTCCGGACTCTCGGCCATCGCCGCGCTCTGCTCCGCCAGCAGAGCAGCGAACTCGCTCTGGATCGCACGCAGCATCTGCTCGTCGAACACGACGACGCCCGGATCGAGGTCCGTTGCAGTCATTGCGCTGCGTCGAGGCTCCTCATCAACTGCGTCCTCGTTTTCTTCGTCGTCATGGAAAGCTCGGTCCCGCACGCGGTCCTGGCGGATGCCGGCCACGCCCTCACTCAGAACTTGCTCAGGGTGGGCGAGCTCCAGCTACAGATCGACAGCAGCAACGTCAGAGGGGTCACGTTCTTGAAGCTGTTACAGCAGCATTGGACTTACCTCTGGCAGCTGGAACGTGTTGTGGCTCTCGTTGTCGTCGAGATCGTCGTCGTGCATGCGGAACTCCGTGTCATCGTGGTAGGTTCCGCACTTGGGGGCGTCGTCGACCCACTCGCCTTCGTACATCTTGCGTGTCGCCTTGTAGAAGTACCGACCGGGGCCTTCCTTCTTGTCGTTGAGCCAGTGACCCTCGTACCGATCGCCATTCGCTGTTGCAGAGCTCACCCGTTAGTGAGTCATCATTCTGGAGGACAACAACCACCTCAGCTCGACTTGACTTACCCAGCACTAGCGAGCCGCGTCCGGAGCGCTCGTTACGCACCCACTCCCCGTCGTAGACAGACTGGTCCTCGCCGTAGATCATGCGTCCATGTCCGTGCCGCTTGTTGTTGAGCCATTGACCCTCGTACTTGCCGCCATCTTCGTGGAAGGACGTACCACGTCCGTGACGATGGTCGTTGAACCATTCACCAGCGTATTGCTTGCGCAGCTTCTTCTCCTCGACCCAGTACACGCCACGCCCCTGCCGCTTGTTCTCCACCCACTCGCCCTCGTACTTGTTGCCGTTCGCGTACATGAGCGCGCCGTAGCCATGCTTCTGGCCGTCCTTCCAGTCGCCAGTGTACTTGCCCAGCAGCGTATACTCGATCTTCTTGGCAGACGCAGCCATGTTGGTGGCCTCCATCACGTTCGCGTAGCTCGGTAGCTGGGTCTCGCCCCTCTTGGGTTGCACCCAGTACACCGAGTGTCTTGGGCCATTCCGAGCTGCCAGCTTTTCGCGAAGCCGGCTAGCCGTCAAGGCGTTGCTTCGATGGCCAATACCAGGTGTGGGTCCCATCGTAACTCTGGCGCTCATGTCTTCGAGAGTGTCGATGTCGGACTGGCAGGAGAATGCCAACTGACCTGCAGGAGACGGTGGGTGTCTGGGATCACTTCAACTTAAAATACACAAGGCGAACAGGGTCAAGTTTGGCACAGAGCTACATTTAGAGGGCTACCTTTGCTTGTGTTGTCTTGGATGTTGCTGCGTGCCGGACGATACGTCGACGACATGACATGGCTTGGCAGGCCAGCACCTGCTTTCTAAGCTTCTGTGGATCGGTAGGACTTGTTCGCTGAGTTGCAACCCTCGAAGCTCAAAATGCCGTACCCCCTCGTGAAGGCGTGGTATTTCGAAGAGCTTTACTGCGGCCCGTCACGCGTCATGAGAGCGCCGTACATGTTGGGCCGGCGGTCGCGGATAAGGCCCCAGCTGGCTCGTCGGACGTGGAACTTTTCGAGGTCAAAGCTCTCCACGAGCACGCCTTCAGACTCGCGGTCAGCGATCTTGAGCTGATGCAAGCAAGAAACAAGCAAGGTAATACGTTGAGAACGTTAGCAAGGACTCGTATCATACTCTAGTATAGCAACACATTGCGCACCATTTCGCCGGTCTGGCCTGTGATGAACGAGGAGCCGACGAATGTGACCTGAATACCGTCCACCACCTCACTGCCCACGCGGTTGGAGCAAATAACGGGCACCATGTTGGCCGCCGCATGGCCCTGCATCACGCGCTGCCACTGGTCACGCGGGTCGAAGTTCGGGTCGTACTGGTTGCTGCCCATCGCACTCGGGTACAGCAGCAACTCCGCGCCCTGCACCACCAAGCTGCGCGCCACCTCCGGGTACCACTGGTCCGAGCCGATAGCCACGCCAATCTTGCCGTAGCGCTGAAATAACACAAACACAAATTAGCGCCCTCAAACGACAAGAGCCATCTCCCCGCTGCTGTTATCGATCTACTCACTGTGTTCCACACTTTGAAGGAGTCGTCCGACGGCGTGAAATAATACTTCTCATTGTATCCAAGACGGTCTGCCCAGGCATTTCGTCAGCCAAGTTAGTCCATGGGATCAATTGCACTGGCACCGCAACCACCGTACCTCCGATGTGCATCTTGCGCGTCACGCCCAGCACGGTTCCGTCGGCGTCGATCACGGCGCACGAGTTGTAGTACGAGTTCTTGTAGCGCTCGAAGAAGCTGATGGGGATGACCACGTGCAGCTCCTTGGCCAGCAGCGCCATGCCCTGCACCAGCGCCGACTCCTCGAGCGTCGTGGCCAGCTGGAAGTTGCCGGCGTTGAGCTCGATGGGGAAGTACGAGAACTGGAACAGCTCCTGCAGCAGAATGACCTGCGCGCCGCGGGAGCTGGCGATGCGCACGAGGCTCTCGGCCTTCTTGATGTTCTCCTCAGGGTTGCCGCAGCTCATCTGCGTGGCCGCCACGGTCATCACCTGCGCCACAATAACAACAATAACGTTAGTGCGATTGAGCAGCTCCGATAGCAGATTTCTATTGGGTTTGTACCCGCTCGACGGCGGTGGAGGGCGCCTTGAAGCCGACGTTGGCGGAGCTGGAGCCCAGCGAGCCTGAGGACGAGCCGACGCGGCCCACGGACGCGTGCATGACGACGGAGAGGAGGAAAGAGAGCGACTCGGACAATGGATTTGGACAGACGCGAGAGCGGTACTCGCGACCCCACGACGAATGTGTCAACGAAGATAACAAATCTTCAGTACATTGATGGTGGATACGAATTGAACAACTTGGTTGCCGTATTGATCGAAGTTCGCAATATTAGTAATAACGAAGAGTACTGCAGTAAAATATTAAACGTCAGGATGCGCAAGTGAGCATGCAGTCCAGTATGACCTTGCATCGCTAGGCCGCTTGACCGCGTGCAGCAGCCTGCAGCGCCCTCGCTGAAGTGTAACGACAAAACCACAATCTAAATGTATTTAGCTGGTACAGACCGCGGCAGCGGCCCATCCTGACGCATTTTCGTCTTCGCGGTTTCTCTAGCAAATGACGCCCAGGTGCTTCGTGCGCGGGTACTTGGCTTGCAGCTGGGGCCACTGCACAACGAACTCGTCGGCCACGTAGTAGAGCAGCTTGCCAGTGAGCGACAAGTGCTGCACGCGAGCGAAGCTCTCGCAAAACACAATCTTTGAGTCGCTCTGAATGCCCAAAACGCGGAACAGCAGCACCGCCGCACAGATCGGGATGCAAGTGCCTGCGAGAGCAACACCTAAATGAGCTTCAAACCCTCAGGGACACCCCACTCAGCGTTCAGAACTTCCGTACCAGGTCCATTGCACAGCACCAACTGCGGACGCCGATTGTAGACTAAACCGAGACACGACTGGAACGACCGCAGCGTAGTCCACACCGTAGACGACCACGACTGTCCAACCTGTTGCCACACGAGCACAATGCACACAAACAATCAACAACTTTGCAGCCATTGCAGCCTCCGCTCTGCATTGTACTGCAGCCGCGCACCTCTCGACTGCGCGGGATGATGGCGAACGAGTCGGTCTCCGTCGGCTTCCAGTCCAGTTCGGTCTTGGCCTGGCTGGTCTTGTCGGTCTCGGCCACCACGAACGTGATGGGCGTGTAGACCTCCCTCTTGAGCCTCTTCATGAGCTTCAGCAGCTCCGTAGTGTGGCCCCCGGAGCCCAGCACCGCCATGACACGGATCTGACGCTCAGCAGCCTTGGCATTCCTGCTTTTGGCCGCGTTCTGGTGGTGGAACAGCGGCTTCGAGTAGCTGGCCACGCTCGCCTTGACGCGCTGAGGCACGACCACGTGCCAGACTCGAAGTGCGAGCAGCACGGCCACCAGGAGCAGCGCTGCCGCGAGACGTAGCAACAGACCCAGCAGCTCCATAATCGTGCCACGTTGGGTTTTGCGGGTTACACTTGGGGTACATAGCCTGGTTACATGGGTACATATAACCTGGTTACAACGGGTACAAAAGGCAACTTTGGCGCATCATTTCCGAATCGTCCTCGTCCAGCACAAGCCGCTTCAACTGCCAACTGATACAACACAGCAATGGGCTCCTCGGTGCTGCAGACGTACGTGGTGTGCACGAGCGTGTTGTACCTCAAGTTCCTGCGCGTGACCATGATCCAAGCCAAGAAGACGTTCGAGGCCGGCGGCCGCGCGCCCGAGGACAAGAGCCTGCCGCTGGCCAGGGGCCACCCCAAGCAGACCTACGGCATGGACCCCGAGGCCGAGAAGGACGAGAAGATCCTCAAGGCCCGCGAGGTGGAGCACCGCTGGCGCCGCATCGTGCAGAACGACCTGGAGTCCATCCCGCTGGCTCTGGTGGTGTTCGGCATTGGCGTGGCCATCGAGGACCGCATCAACCCGACGGTGCAGATCGGAGCCATGGCGACGTACACGGCGCTGCGCTGCTTCCACACGATCGCGTACGCCAACAAGCTGCAGCCGCACCGAGCTTGGTGCTGGCGTCTGGGCGTCGTGGCCATCGTGGTGGGCGCCGTCAACGCCGTCGTGGGCGTGTACGCGTAGGAGCATTAGGTTTACGACCCCGAGCTGAGTAAAACCGAGCTAATTTTATGTCGCCTTCAACTCACGTGAGTCTGCTTCACGCACGCAGGTTGCAGGGAAAGACCAGAGCGCCGTGATCTTCTGCGCTGACAAATACCCTAAACTACGTCAGTCAAGCGCCCAGCAGTTGCAGCGGCAACCAGACATTCGGTAGCGGCATCGGGCCTCGGATCTGTCGGACCATGTTGAACCTGTACCCATCAACTTTAACGGGAGGTTATCTGTTGACGTAACTTGCTCTGCGATTGGATAAAATAGAGGTTTTAACGTAAACACTTCAAGATGGCTACAGGTCTGACGTAGCGGAATGAATCGACACAAGACGTTTAACGCCGTAGAGCGCATACCCCCGGAACAACCCGTCCACCATGAGCGGATCTACCGAATTGAAGGCCTACGTGGTGTGCTCCCTCATCCTCTACCTCAAGTTCGTCATTGCGACGGGTATCCAGGCCACAAAGACGTTCGACGCCGGCTGCCGACCGCCTGAGGACAAGAACTTGGCTCTTGCGCAGGGCCGACGCGAGCAGAACTACGGACTGTTCAGCGACACGAACGACGCCGAGCTCATGAAGGCGCGCGAGATCGAGCACCGCTGGAAGCGCATCATCCAGAACGACCTCGAGTCGATCCCGCTGGCGCTGCTGGTGTTCATCGGAGGCGTCTTTGCCGGCGGCAACAAGGAGCTGTTCGTCATTTGCTTGGGCATCTACACGTTCGTGCGCTGCTTCCACACGTACGCGTACGCCAACTCGCTGCAGCCCCACCGCGCGTGGTGCTGGCGCATCGGCGTGCTCATGATCATCGTCAGCGCCGTCAACTCCACGGTCGGCGTCTTCAGTTAGACTGCAGTCAAGTAGCTAGCGTTAAGAACAACAGTACAGTATATGTACAAACTGTGGTGCTTTGGTCTCCGTTGCTTGCTATCCTGTCTTCATCGTCCACCTTGAAGCGGTCCAGGAGATTAAAAATCGGTCCGGCTATCTCCCGATTAAGTTGACGTTGGGTTACGCTGGGATAGGTCAAATGACGGACAAGTGATTCACGCCATCAGGTCCTCGGTCTCCGCAGCGTTCGAGATGGTGACCGGATTCGCGTGATTGCTACGCCACCGACGCTGCAATCGCAACAGCAGTCACTCATTCCGTCTTTCACCTCCAGCTGCAGTAGCACCACCAGCAGCAACAGAAGCCGCACCATGTCGGCCTCCACCGAGCTCAAGACCTACGTGACGTGCGCCGCCGTGCTGTACGTCAAGTTCGTGCTGGCCACGGGCATCCAGGCCACTAAGACCTTCGAGGCCGGCGGCCGCCCGCCTGAGGACAAGAAGCTGCCGCTGGCCAAGGGCAACCCGGTGCAGAACTACGGCCTCGTCACGTCGCCCAACGCCACCAAGGAGGAGAGCGAGAAGCTGCAGCAGGCCAAGCTCACGGAGCTGCGCTGGCGGCGCATCGTGCAGAACGACCTCGAGTCCATCCCGCTGGCGCTCGTCGTCTTCGGCGCCGGCGTGATGGCCAAGGGCAACCCGGCCGTGCAGATCGGCGCCATGGTCGGCTACACGGCGGTGCGCTGCTTCCACACGGTGGCCTACGCCAACGCCATGCACCCGCACCGCGCGCTCTGCTGGCTGTTCGGCGTCATCTTCATCACCACGGGCGCCGGCAACGCGCTCTACGGTGCCTTCTCGTCCTAGACAGCAGGCGTAGCTAGGCATTAAGCAGCAGTATCATCAGTTCAATCCAGTTCACGCGTGTCGTATCCATCCGTGCCTTGGGGCCGCGAGCCTGGAAGCCTTGTATCCATGTCAAGTAAACGTCGGACAGCAAATCGTCGTTGCTGTGTGTGGATATTGACACGGCCGCGTCAAGGACTTGGTTGTGCTCTAGACGGTCTTGAAGGCCGCCTCGCTCATTCTCCATCCCGCCGGATCCAGGCTCAACAGTACCCCTCAGCGCAAGACAAAAGCTTCATGGTGGACGGCAACGTGAAGGTGTACGTGGCGTGCAGCTCCGTGCTGTACCTCAAGTTGTCCTCATGGCGCGCGAAGAGGAGTACCGCTGGCGGCGCGTGATCGCCAACGACCTGGAGTCGATCCCGTTCGCGCTCTTCATCTTTGGCGGCGGCATCCTCGCCGACAGCAACCCGGTCGTGCACACCAGCGCCATGATCATCTACACCGTGGCCCGCTGCCTGCACTCGTACGTGTACGTTCACGCCATGCAGCCGCACCGCGCGATCTGCTGGGCCGTCGGCGTGCTCGCCACACTGGTTGGTGTCGGCAACGCCGCCGTCGCCATCCTTAACTGATAGCTTTGGAGTCGTAGAGCAGCTTCAACCATCAATATACTGCTCCCTATGCTGGCCCCACGTTGCGGTCCGGAGCTCTGTGACAGGCTTTGCCGATCAGTCCTCACGTCTTTGTAAACTCCGGCGGCTTCGTCCTGTCAGCCGTCGGAATCCGTGTCGTGCGTGGCAGGTAGGTCACATCCGAAATCGCCCAGGAGAGATCAAGAGTCCAGCGAGCACCATGGTCGAGAGCAACGTCAAGGTCTACATCGCCTGCACGTCCGTGCTGTACCTCAAGTTCCTGCTGGCCACGGGCGTGCAGGGCGGCAAGAAGTTCCGCTCGGGCGGCCGCCCGCCTGAGGACGCCGGCCTGAGCCTGGCCAAGACTATCGGCCAGGGCCGCAAGCAGACGTACGGCCTGGACAAGACGGACGACGAGAAGACGCTCAAGGCCCGCGAGGCCGAGCACCGCTGGACGCGCATCGTGAGCAACGACCTCGAGTCGATCCCCTTCGCGCTCTTCGTGTTCGGCGGCGGCATCCTGGTCGGCAGCAACCCGACGGTGCACGCCGGCGCCATGACCGTCTACACGGTGGCCCGCTGCCTGCACACGTACGTGTACGCGCACGCCATGCAGCCGCACCGCGCGATTTGCTGGGGCGTGGGCGTGGTGGCCACGCTGGTCGGTCTCGGCAACGCTGTCGCCGCCATCCTGTGAGCTCAGTAGAGAGATACATTGCTGAATAACACGAGTGAGACATACATTGTGAGCTCTGCATTATTGTGGTTGGCCATTGACTGAGCTGCTAGAGTCGAGTCGAGTCTGTGAGAGTAGCGTCTCTCTTCTTTCTAACTTACACGATGGCCACGATGGCGTTGACCACGCCGACCAGCGTCGCAGCAACGCCGACGAACCAGCAGTTCGATCGGTGGGGCTGGATCGCGTTCGCGTACATACACGATCAGCGCGCTCGCATGCACGGCGTCGTTGCTGTCGGCCAGGATGCCGCCACCGAAGACGAAGAGCGCGAAGGGGATCGATTCGAGGTCGTTCGCGATGATGCGCTGCCAGCGATGGACTTCCTCGCGCGCTTTGGCCACCGCCTTGTCCTTGGTCTCGACCAGTCCGTAGTCCATCTCGCGACCTTCGGCCATCGGCAGCTGGGCGTCCTCGGGCGGACGACTGCCCGACTTGAAGGACTTGGGGCCTTGGATGAACGTCACGAGCAGGAACTTGAGGTACAGCACGGAGCTGCAGGCAATGTACACCTTCACGTTGGTCTCCACCATCTTGTCTGCTGGATCGAGCGGGTGTAAACTTGAGCCGTCAAAATAAAGTCTGAGCTCCTAATTGAGGTCAATGCTACGGTTGCTTACGTCCCAGTGGTGGTCTGATTAGTTCCATGCGTGCTTACGAGCCAGCAAGATGATGCAGGCAATTGTTTATCTAGCGGGCCTACCGACACGTGAGCTAGCACCAAACCATTGACGGTGGTGACAGAGGTAAATCTGTTCGTGGCTGGTGCGTGGACCTGAAACCATCTTCCGGGTGCAGTATGGATACGGTTTGCGTTTACCGTTATCCTCACGTAATCCGTAAATTGCGGGAAGGCGAAGGCGATACGTAGTCTAGCAATTCGTCTCTGTGAACATGAAACGTCGGTCTTAATTGAACCCACGACAATTCTACGTGTAATGTAAGGTATACGATGAGTTTGCAGCGGTTAACTGAACTTGCGTATCGCGTTTATGACCACATATTGCATGGAGATCGTCATTTGATAAAATGATTCGCTGGACGTTGGTGACTTTCAACGCAGTTCTTCGAAGTACGAGTGCATTCTTCAGCAGCATCGGCCAGATGAGTTGTCAAGATGGCGATAGTTGCGAACCGTTGTGTAGTTATCGCCTTGATCACTCATCAATAGAATGAAAAAAAAGTTCAGTAGATCAACAAACAAAACACTTCACAACTGCATGAACGAGATCCATTTGTGCAGCGCAGAAGGAAAAGGCAAAAAAGGCTTTGAAGGAGTACAACAATGGCACAACCCTACGGATTTTATTACGCGAAAAAGATGTGTGTGAAGTGGTGGCTACACTTCACGATGTTAAAGCCGGTGATCGTGAGGTAGGGTCCTTCCTGGCTACGTTGCAAGTGGAGTCTCAAGGGCAAGGCAAACCCATTGAGTGGCGCGTCGACGCTGAATTCGTCCCGGACACAGTCCGGTTTCGGCTACTGGAGTCTGTAGTTGACAGCGCGCTGGAGCAAATTCTCGGCGGCCTTGCGAAGAACGAACAGATCGAGCTAGACAGTGAGGGCAAAGCCGCTGCAGGCGGCGATTGTTACGTGGCGGCTATTCCTAAGGTCGGCCAGTTCACGCGTGACCAAGTGGAGTCGATGAAGTGGTTGTGGAACCTACAAGCTACATGTCGTGATGCTGTAATTTGTTGCTCGTGGCTTCACCGCGAGGTAAGCGCTACTCATGCCCCTCCCTCTCCGTGTGCCGGTGCATTTACCGAGCTATTGGAGAACTGGCCATACAATGAACTGCGTGGCTTCGGATTCGACCTGACGTACTCGGATCTGTATTGCTTCCGCGACTCGGCCTGGCTAAATGATGACGCGATGAAGGCATTTGCTGTGGTGCTGGCTAGCTACAAGAACAATGTGACGATTACGGCCACGCCGCAAGGGCATGGTGAGGCTACACAGCAGAGACGAAGTCGTAAGGGCCTGCTTTCATCCAACGCACTGGAGGGCGTCATTGCAGGTATTTCGACGTATGTATTTGTACTGCTGCCCGTCAATTTCGGGGGCACTCACTGGGGATGTCTCGTTGTCGACCGAGATGCCAAACAAGTGAAGACGTAATACAGCAAGAATGGCAAGCGCAATAAGCAGAGGTTGAAGAAGATCGCGATTGAGATTATTGCTGCAGATGCGACTATGTCGAGCTGCACGACTGTCGAGGTGACCGAGCCTCTTCAGTCAGACAGTGATAGCTGCGGTGTTTTCGTGTGTCGCTTCTTCTGGACCTGTGTTAGCGACGACGCTCCAAGTGATATAATACCGACGGGTATCACCAAGCTACGCTGGGCAATGCTGGAAGCAATCCTGAAGACGAATCGTCACTAGTCGCAAAAAGATGACGGAAGCATAGTGCATTTTGAGGCTAAACTCAATACATGGACACTACGTGGATGCCATCTGGACAACACCTGGAGTTACGTGATGGAGCCATACTTGAGTGATGGCTTCACTTGCCGGTTCTCGCCATGCCGACGGAAGTCGACGCTCATCACTCTGGCTTTTGCTCAAGTAGCGCACACATGAGTATTCCAGGTATTGATACCTGCACGAAACCCGGACTCTACTGCTGAAGACTGATTGGCTAGAGCTCTTCCGACACGAGCCGAGCGCCGTCACTTCCACTTTTGCTCAAGTTCCGCACACATGATTCTTCCAGGTTTTCCACGCGCATTATACCTGGTCAGGTAATTTACATAGATTACTTTCATCGGATTCGGCAGGGTTTCGAAAAACCTGTAGATAACCTGGAATAAAACTTGGGCAATACCTGTGGAATCAGTTTTCTGAGAAAAATCTGAATCTGGGAAACCTGGGCGCTAAGGCTGTCCATAACGAAAAGGCGAAATCAGCATAGAGCCGACTCTAACTACACTCATAATCATACTTTCATCACTACTTTAATTCTTCGCTGACAACGTGGTATTTCAGAGCCCGTCGACATAACTATTATGTATTCGGCCTCTTAATATCCTTCTCACTCCGTGCATCAAGCTCGGCATGCGCTTTGCATAGGCAACTACATTAACAAGAACCCAAACAGGAAGACGAATGCAGTAGCAAAGCTTAGTCAAGAAATAAAAACTAGGTTATATTGGTTTAAACCAAGGTAAACCAAAAACCTATTTCGTTTTAAAAAAATCGGCAGGTTTTACCAGCCCTGAATCAAGCCTATCTTTTAAGATAACTGTACCGTTTATGGATACGAATAGTCAAGGTTGGTTGTCTTAACGAAATCATTCAGCTTTAATCTCAGCATCCAAGCACCGGCGACGATCGGTGCACTGCGGCAAGATTGCAAATTTAACTGCAAGACACTGTGCAGTACGCTCAATCGTTTGCGGTTGATCTGCGTGCCAGCTACGTAGCCCACATGTACTTCCAAGTAATCTGCTTGAGCTGCATCGCCTTACACGCTGCGCTTAAAAAAACTCAGAACTTCTGGTGAGGTTTGTGCAGGGCTTGATACTGACCACATGCTATTAACAACCCAAAGGTGGGCAACCCATTGCTCTTCTTTCGTTTTTGTTTACCCGACCAAATTGCTGAGCAGTAACGGAGTAATTCACCAGGTTGCTACAAGTAGAACCACCTTTGGTTTGCAATTCGTGAGGAGATGCTGTATTTTGCGTTCAATAAATGTTGTTGGGGTGAGTTATTCCAAGGTAAAATGGTCGCTGGTCGCATTCGCGCGTTATAGAATGTTCGCACGGAATCCCCACTCGCAACAAATGCTACTCTGTGCTTTTCATTCAAATAAACGCGATAAGTTTTTTTGTGGCGTCTTTTTGGGCTCGATCCTGCATTGTAGACGTGCAATATATGCGGAAACGGCAACTGCGTCAACAGCCCAACTAAATCTAACCGGTAATGCAATCATGTTGTAACACTATCATTGGCATCACACTGGTAAGCTTTGAGAGTCACATCTGCGACCCAGTGATTGCGGGCTAGATTTGTGGAGGATAGTGTTTGTTTATGGGAAAGCTATGATTTACGACTGTGTAACCAGAGAGTGCATTCAACTCCTGTTGAGACCACCGCACCTCCTCGCGTTTAGCCGGCACTCGCAAAGATATTAGCTTTGAATCGAGCTGTGATTGTTTCCCGCAGCGCGCGCAGTTTATTGAGATACCGTTGCGAACAAAGGTTATTGCCCCTTGCAAACTACATGTAGTTAGACGGCCACCGAGTTGGTGCCGTCTACCGGCTGAAGGAAGGATCTATAGCGGACATTCTGCCACCGCTTTATGCGTTCGTTAACCTGCTGTCGAGTTGTCGGGCAACAGCTTGCTCAGCGCTGGCCATCTTGGTGCGCTTCAACCATACCATGAAACAAGCAAATATCCGCTGGATAAGATGTGGGTGTCCTATTCTTTTGTACGTATGTTGGCCGCAAGTTTTCATCAACTCACCAAACTGTGTTGATTTTAAAGCTCGAGTAGCCACTGCACGTCATTACACATGCCGATAAGATCTCTTAAGTTTGGAGATTGCGATCAACACCTCAGCGAATATGACATGACGGCACCAGCAGGAGGCATGACTCTGGCGCCGGCATCTGGTGAGACCGTCGTTTGTATTCAAGGGGTGGAAATCCGACTTCCTATTCGAAGTTTGCTGTGGGTTGCGAGGGGCTCCGTTCTCCGATCATTTGACAACTTCTCTTGTCTCGAGCAAGTACCAGCCAACTAACTACCCCTCATCGACCGCCACGATGAAGTTCCCCGTATCCTGCTCGACAATCCTGAGTGTGCTTGTGCTGCTCTTCAGCAGTACTGCCAGCGTCAACGCCGAGTGCTCCGCCGTCCACATCGTCTTCGCTCGTGGCAGCGGAGAAATGCCAGGTCTGGGGATTTGTGGTGGGCCCCTCGTGAGCGCGATCACCTCGAACCTCGGCGGCATGAGCGTGTCATCGTATGCTGTCAACTACCTCGCCTCCGTGACGCAGACGAGTGCCGGCCCTGGTGCGACCGACATGACCAACCACGTCGTGGCAGTCGCACGGCAGTGCCCCAACACCGTCTTCGTCCTGGGTGGATACTCCCAGGGCGCCAGCGTCACCGACATCTCGATCGGCATCAAGACGATGCTCGGTGTCGGCAAGAGCATCCCGGAGAATCTGGCCCCGCGTATCAAGGCCATCGTGACGTTCGGCAACCCTCTGAAACTCATGGGGCAGACCATTGCGCGCTCGAGCCAGCTGTATGGGTCCAAGGCGATCGAGTTCTGCAACTTTGGCGACCCGGTGTGCGCGAACGGGTTTAACACTATGGCGCACATGATGTACCCGATGGACGGCAGCGTGACCAAGGCGGCCCAACGAGCGGCCGCACTGGTGAAGGGTGGTGCGAAAGCGCTGCGTGGATAGAGAAGTCTGTTGAAGTGCTGAGGCAGGAACTTGCCGTTGCTTCTGCTCCGCACCAACGTACAAGTTGTCGTGTGTACGTCGAATGTCATGTGGACCCCAAGGGTTATAGATGTCAATAAATAAGTTGGTTTTTTGTATGAGCTTACAAGAGCTACGATAGAAGATCAATATATTTTCCATATAAGTAAAACAGCTTGTTCATTGAGATCGATGACCTTTGGGACCCACATGAAATTCGACGCATACACAAGTAAAATGGTCATCTTATGCCTGTGCGGCTCTGACAGACCTTAATGCACGATACGCCCCCGCACCACCCTTCACCAGTGCGGCCGCTCGTTGGGCCGCCTTGGTCACGCTGCCGTCCATCGGGTACATCATGTGCGCCATAGTGTTAAACCCGTTCGCGCACACCGGGTCGCCAAAGTTGCAGAACTCGATCGCCTTGGACCCATACAGCTGGCTCGAGCGCGCAATGGTCTGCCCCATGAGTTTCAGAGGGTTGCCGAACGTCACGATGGCCTTGATACGCGGGGCCAGATTCTCCGGGATGCTCTTGCCGACACCGAGCATCGTCTTGATGCCGATCGAGATGTCGGTGACGCTGGCGCCCTGGGAGTATCCACCCAGGACGAAGACGGTGTTGGGGCACTGCCGTGCGACTGCCACGACGTGGTTGGTCATGTCGGTCGCACCAGGGCCGGCACTCGTCTGCGTCACGGAGGCGAGGTAGTTGACAGCATACGATGACACGCTCATGCCGCCGAGGTTCGAGGTGATCGCGCTCACGAGGGGCCCACCACAAATCCCCAGACCTGGCATTTCTCCGCTGCCACGAGCGAAGACGATGTGGACGGCGGAGCACTCGGCGTTGACGCTGGCAGTACTGCTGAAGAGCAGCACAAGCACACTCAGGATTGTCGAGCAGGATACGGGGAACTTCATCGGTGGCGATGCTGTGTGTTGTTACTGGGACTACTGTAAGACAAAGCAAATGTCGAATGACATACGACGTAGAGCCCTTGACGCGGGCGGAACGGCAGACGCTGTCGAGGATGGTGGATTCCGCCCCTTTGAAGATTAACAACGTGGCTTAGTCACGTGGCGTAAAAGTCCAATCGATCTCACCAGATGTCGGTACACAAATGATAGTTTTGCTGTGTGCTGTCATGTACGCCAGGATGTTTGGCCGCAATCCTAGATTAAATACATCTTATCAGGATAGGATCTGTGACGATGCAACTTAACTCAAATACAGACGGTGATTGATATACTTTAGTACAATAATAGATATGGTCCTGCTTGTTCAAAGATTCTGGACAATTGTATCCGATAGCATGGTTGCAGCGCACCAGGATGGCTACTCTCAGAACAGGCTGTCACCCGCTCGACAGCATGTTAATGAAGTAGTGGGGGCACACGTCAGCTACTCGCTGTAGCTAGAAGTATGAACTTAATTTCCTTCCACTTCGTCCGAATAACCATTGGCTATCCATCTATTGCAAACACGGCAATCACCAGCAAGTTATCACATTCTGAAAAATACCTACTAGCAGTCGAGGGGGGATCTGGCCAACTACGAGAAAACTTGTTGGCTGTAATGAAGTTGAAGGCACTCGTTAGCTTATTGAAGTGCTGGATTGCTGGATCCCAGCGGAACAAACTTACGTTAATGTGGTACCGTATCCTGAAAAATTCAGGATGGGAAACAGTCGGCAGTGCGCCCGCGACAGCCTGTATTACCACGTGTACGCTTTGGAGGTTGTTGCGGGAGCCGGTTTTGCGTATATTGCTCCCAGTTCGGCTGCCTTGTATTACGAAGAACCCAGATTGTTGTTTGTGTCAGCTCTATTTTTTCAAATATATCTACTTATTACAAAACAAGCCTAGTTTGCCAAAAAATCATTTTTTACTAGTACTAAAAAAGGTCTTCCAAATTTAGACCTAGAAAGATTCTAGGCTAAATTTGTATGCGTCAAAAATTGGTGCGATAAATCCTTTTTGCACAGATTTTATCAACTCTAGGGGCAACATCTAGATTTTCTATTCGGACGACACACTCTTCAAAAACTCCGCACTACAAACTGGAGATAACACTTTCCTACCACTATTAAGCCACTTATGCGTACGTGATGGTGCTGGGCGAGTAGTTGCAGAGCTTGCCCTTGGGGCCCGCGCCAGCCTCGTCCGGCTCGCCGCCCGACGTCGTGCCGTCCGACCACGAGCACACGTTGATCTTCTTGCCCTTGATCTTAACGTTTCCAATCGTGGCCTCGTCGCCCCAGTTCTCGTTCACCGTGACGAGACTCACGCGGCCGTTGACAGCGTAGACGTTCTTGACGTTGACCTTGAGGCCCTTGTAGCCGCACGTGCCGCACGAGCGGTAGAGCTTGCCGAAGTCCTCGACGTAGAAGCCGTCGATGGAGACGGTGCCGTCGCCGTTGTGCTGGATGACCTTGTCGGTGGCCGAGCGCGCGCCGCCGCCGATTACCTTGACGACGCTGCTGGGCGAGCCGCCCTTGATGCTCAGCGCGTCCTCGCACACAGCGTCCCACCAAACGTTCTGGATCGTGCAGCCGCTTTGCTCGCAGTGGACACCCTCCATTTGGTCCTGTCCGATGATGACGTTCTTGAGCGTGCCACCGGGCTCGACGCGGAACACAGCGGTCTCCCAGCCGCTCTCCGTCTGGCCGGCGCACTTGACGTTGGAGCGCTGGTACGTCTTCATCTTGCCGTCGAACACCTCGCCCTTCTTGACGACGTAGGGCTCGTCGAAGAATTCGTCGCCCTGACTCGTGGGCCACGCACCGGTGGGCATGCCGGCACCGCCGCCGCCGCCCTCGGAGCGCATCGAGGCACCCGAAGCGATGGCAGCCGTGGTGGCAAGGACAACAGCGATGAAAGAGCAGGCGCTGACCATTGTCGTTGTCGGAAAGTCTATGTGTGAAGGTCGGCCGGCGGCTGCTTGGGTTGTGTTGCTTGATGCGAAGAGCGCAAGTTGGATAATGGGGATCAGGCGACTGCGTAGACTTTGCGGTGCTGTGACGGCGGCATCGGCCTGCTACAGTCTGGCGTCCCAGCCAGCCAGCCGAGTTCCTACCAGACTTTCCATCGCAAATCCTGTCGTTGCCAGGCGTGTCGTCAAGCAAAGACTCCGGGATGCCAGATGCTGACCCACATAAGATCGTGGTGTTGGTAAACACATTGATAGGCGACTGGGTTGATGACGATCTTTGCTCCGTGATGCAGCACGGTGCCAGGAACTCAGATGTTAGTTGAACGACTAGGCGATCCGCGTACATATTTGAGCCAAAGAGTCACTTGGATCAACCAAACTTATTAGTTGAAGGTCATTACGTTTCCCGGGCTAAAGGAACGTAGCACTGCGCCGATGTTGATTGAGTTGCTACATGTAGAATTTGAAGTGCATTCATCGAGCAGCACGACTCGTGCTCGGCAGTAGGCTGGAGTAGACATTGCGAGTTCATGCTGCACTCGAGCAACGTGGTGTCTCCGAGTTGCGTTGTGCTTCGTTCCAAGATGCCGCCTGACCTGGTGGACGTGCCGCGCCGATGTGTACTGTACCAGGCTCGCCAGGTGGCGACTACACCAACACCACAAGGAGGCGGACGAAAACGGTGCGCCACGCCAGGGAAAGAGCGGACGGGCGGCGGAATGTGGCTCGGTGGAGTCCTCGTCGCACGATCGGATGAAGTCTCGACTAAAGGGTAAGCTTAGTGTACATGCGTCCGGAAAGTATCGTTGGGTTGGTCTGTGTTTCAAAGGAGAAGACTCTTCTTCTGAATAAATTGAGTGATCTGGTGTCGGTTCTACATGTATGCTGAGAGCCACACGCAGCTGGCTGGATGTACACAACAGTTGGCCCCGGCGGGCTAGTCTGGGTGGGCTGTGCTGTTCGCAGGGTTTACGCAGCTGTGCGGACGCAGCAATTAGCATGAACGATGAGCTCGAGCTCGCTCCGATGGCTACGTGAAGAAAGGAGAAGAGGAAGGAAATGAAGCCGTTTACTCCGTGTAGCAGAGTCGATTCAAGTCCATTGAAACGATTAATTTGTCTCCAGATTAAAATGGTCGAGCGGGTACAGTACATGTAACAGCGTCGTTGCTACAACAACGAGGCGCGGCGTGTTACTGTAGTGTGTGTTCGGTACTATCGAAACATCGGGTCTTCGCGAACGATTTGAGCTAAGGACGAATCAGTCGGACGCTGGTTCCACGGTGGAACCAGCGTCCGACTGATGTGGAACTTCCACGGGAGTGCTGGACACGCCGTGTTGGCGTCAGGTTATCTACTGGTATTAATACTACGTACTGTAGTAAAATGAACATACATGCTGACTACAGCGGTAAACTTTTTCTTTTGATACAGACCTGGAGCTTTGCAAGCATTTTTATATCAATAACTGTACCAGGATTAAATAAATGTATTATAATAAGCAAGCTTAATCCAATACCGGTTCGGCATGTTTGCATAACGAGCATCTCAATATCGCTCCATACTTACGGCTAGCTTAAGTGACACCGAGGTCCATTTACTACCTTTTGATCGTTTGTCATGGAATTTCTACCTGTTGCAATTATGAATTTGAATTTGTGCGGTTATGTCGGCCACCCCCGCGCTCAGTAGCAGCACTGCATACAAGATCACCATAGCGGTGGTCCCGCGGCGGCTGTATCTGCGCAAATAACTTACCATTAATGCTGTGAACACCCGAAGAATGAGGGGGTGGACAGCTCCCAACGGATTACCGTACCTCACAGAAAGAATGGTTAACAGATAGAATGCCAAAACAAGATTTTCGAGCATTTGGTTTCGTTTCATTGCTTTTTCCTAACACAAAGCATTTTCAAATCGCTGGTTAACATAAAATTTGAAGCGTTTGAGCTTCGCCTTCCGAATGTTAGAGCAACAGGCCTCGGTGTGGAAGATAGAGTAACTGTTTAGCCGCCTCGGACAGGCCAGCAGCCTAATAATGAGCTTTTCCAAGAGCACAGGGGTCAACCGCAAGCCAACAAGGTTTACAATTCCCTCCTCTTGAATCAGACAGCTGAGCCTTGTAGATCATTCTCCAGCTTTTGAAGTTACGGAGCTACATTTTAGCAGGAATGTATATTTTCCTTTCTAGCAAATGGTTACAAGAGTGCCAAGCGCGCTACATCCAAAGTAATCTTTGTGTGAGGCGCGGTAATTGCGTGACCGAAAAGCGTAACGCGTAACCTGGTGCAACCTTCGTGCATCATGTAGGTTCAACAGCAACTTTCAGCAAGGCAGATGAGGAAATGCACATCGATATCAACAGCTCCATGCACTAGCTTCAGAAAGAGAACAGCGGCACGCGCGATATTCATGGGTGTGGCCCCGCAGGGGTCACGCCCTTGAATCTCGCGGGCCACAGTTCTCCCTTATCACGGCAATTAGCACCGGTACCCAGCACCAGCGTTTTATACCACAGGTGTCCCCAAGACGATCTAGTTAACCCCAACATTTCTGTCCTTGATTTAAGGACAAAACTCCGCTTAAGTACGAGGTACTTTCCGGGGGTTTGTCCTTAAACCGCAAAAAAGGACCAGAATAAACTCGGCGTTTGTATTGAGTGTAATCACGCCCGGGTAAGTACGAGGTGTCATTTGTAACAAGTACATACTGTGTGAGAGGTGTAACGTCTGGATCCACATAATGAAATCAAGTCAATGTGCGATTTTTGTCCTAGAATTAAGGACAAAAACCGAAATGTGATATGTTATATATGACACTTTTCGATCTGCATTTTTACCGTGATGGACAACAGAGGACAGTGTACAAGGCACCCCCTTTGTAGAACGAACCAAGGGCTTTCTGGTCATAGCAATAATACGGTGTATTTTATTTGGGGCGTGTGACCTCAATATATTTTTTTAATTTAACGTATTGTATATTATCAGAAAGCTAGCGCTAAAAGTAAGCAAAGCAGAGTGTGTTTACGCTTTTTATGTGTGTTTTTCACTTTCGAAAGTTTGATGTCCGGTTATTTCCGAAAATTGATTGGTCAACTTCAAACGCGATTATCTCGACAACACCAAATGGCGCCTAAACATCATTTCGTTTGAAACCGTCTCATATTGTAATTGTATGTTTTACATGTAGTACGTTGTCAGAAAGACTCGTTAAAACGAACAACATTAGCTTGTTTTTCCTTTCGGTTCCGTCTAATAACGTGAGGCCAGTTAACCGCTGTAGTCAGCATACTGTATGTTCATTTTACTACAGTACGTAGTATTAATATCAGTAGATAACCTGACGCCAACACGGCGTGTCCAGCACTCCCGTGGAACCAGCGTCCGACTGATTCGTCCTTAGCTCAAATCGCCACTGAGTACCGCATCGCCCCTGTCCTAAGCGAAGTTTTGTCCTAAGCGAATTTCTGTATTGACCAATGAGAGAGTCATATTATCGACATATGCTTGATGCTAAACTGCTGTGCCAAGCACGCTAATCATAGACGGATGGCGAGCGCATTGACCGAAGAATATGTCATGCTTCGCATCAACGCACCACAAGGTATTCAAATATACAAGGAAGGTCGAGCATAAGGCAAATGACTATAATCGCACAATATATGGAGACGGGCGCGTCGCCGAGCACATATTTTGAGTCGGATGATTTAGCCTATATATAAATTTTAGAATCTAATCATTTATCCATGAAGCTAACCCTAACTTCTAGAATGCACATTGAGGTTCGCTTAGGACAGTGGCGATGCCGTATGTCGACTTTTTCGCGAAGACCCGATGTTTCGATAGTACCGAACACACACTACAGTAACACGCCGCGCCTCGTTGTTGTAGCAACGACGCTGTTACATGTACTGTACCCGCTCGACCATTTTAATCTGGAGACAAATTAATCGTTTCAATGGACTTGAATCGACTCTGCTACACGGAGTAAACGGCTTCATTTCCTTCCTCTTCTCCTTTCTTCACGTAGCCATCGGAGCGAGCTCGAGCTCATCGTTCATGCTAATTGCTGCGTCCGCACAGCTGCGTAAACCCTGCGAACAGCACAGCCCACCCAGACTAGCCCGCCGGGGCCAACTGTTGTGTACATCCAGCCAGCTGCGTGTGGCTCTCAGCATACATGTAGAACCGACACCAGATCACTCAATTTTATTCAGAAGAAGAGTCTTCTCCTTTGAAACACAGACCAACCCAACGATACTTTCCGGACGCATGTACACTAAGCTTACCCTTTAGTCGAGACTTCATCCGATCGTGCGACGAGGACTCCACCGAGCCACATTCCGCCGCCCGTCCGCTCTTTCCCTGGCGTGGCGCACCGTTTTCGTCCGCCTCCTTGTGGTGTTGGTGTAGTCGCCACCTGGCGAGCCTGGTACAGTACACATCGGCGCGGCACGTCCACCAGGTCAGGCGGCATCTTGGAACGAAGCACAACGCAACTCGGAGACACCACGTTGCTCGAGTGCAGCATGAACTCGCAATGTCTACTCCAGCCTACTGCCGAGCACGAGTCGTGCTGCTCGATGAATGCACTTCAAATTCTACATGTAGCAACTCAATCAACATCGGCGCAGTGCTACGTTCCTTTAGCCCGGGAAACGTAATGACCTTCAACTAATAAGTTTGGTTGATCCAAGTGACTCTTTGGCTCAAATATGTACGCGGATCGCCTAGTCGTTCAACTAACATCTGAGTTCCTGGCACCGTGCTGCATCACGGAGCAAAGATCGTCATCAACCCAGTCGCCTATCAATGTGTTTACCAACACCACGATCTTATGTGGGTCAGCATCTGGCATCCCGGAGTCTTTGCTTGACGACACGCCTGGCAACGACAGGATTTGCGATGGAAAGTCTGGTAGGAACTCGGCTGGCTGGCTGGGACGCCAGACTGTAGCAGGCCGATGCCGCCGTCACAGCACCGCAAAGTCTACGCAGTCGCCTGATCCCCATTATCCAACTTGCGCTCTTCGCATCAAGCAACACAACCCAAGCAGCCGCCGGCCGACCTTCACACATAGACTTTCCGACAACGACAATGGTCAGCGCCTGCTCTTTCATCGCTGTTGTCCTTGCCACCACGGCTGCCATCGCTTCGGGTGCCTCGATGCGCTCCGAGGGCGGCGGCGGCGGTGCCGGCATGCCCACCGGTGCGTGGCCCACGAGTCAGGGCGACGAATTCTTCGACGAGCCCTACGTCGTCAAGAAGGGCGAGGTGTTCGACGGCAAGATGAAGACGTACCAGCGCTCCAACGTCAAGTGCGCCGGCCAGACGGAGAGCGGCTGGGAGACCGCTGTGTTCCGCGTCGAGCCCGGTGGCACGCTCAAGAACGTCATCATCGGACAGGACCAAATGGAGGGTGTCCACTGCGAGCAAAGCGGCTGCACGATCCAGAACGTTTGGTGGGACGCTGTGTGCGAGGACGCGCTGAGCATCAAGGGCGGCTCGCCCAGCAGCGTCGTCAAGGTAATCGGCGGCGGCGCGCGCTCGGCCACCGACAAGGTCATCCAGCACAACGGCGACGGCACCGTCTCCATCGACGGCTTCTACGTCGAGGACTTCGGCAAGCTCTACCGCTCGTGCGGCACGTGCGGCTACAAGGGCCTCAAGGTCAACGTCAAGAACGTCTACGCTGTCAACGGCCGCGTGAGTCTCGTCACGGTGAACGAGAACTGGGGCGACGAGGCCACGATTGGAAACGTTAAGATCAAGGGCAAGAAGATCAACGTGTGCTCGTGGTCGGACGGCACGACGTCGGGCGGCGAGCCGGACGAGGCTGGCGCGGGCCCCAAGGGCAAGCTCTGCAACTACTCGCCTAGCACCATCACGTATGTGTAGCTGCGGTAATTTTACTAAGTTGGTACTTACATGCGCGTGCCACTCCGAAGCACGGGCCAGTAGAGTTGTAATTTGAAATAGAGAAACTAGATGTTGAACCGACAGATTCGTACTATCAGTGAAGTTGGTAAGCAACACGCCCTCGGTCGCTTCGAAAGCCAAACCCGTTGCTTGGACAGACACTCTGTTGGGGCAGTGGGTTCTTCAATGTCGAATTGCTCGTCCCCACTTCACATTGCCCACGTCCCAGCATTGAGACGCCGGTCTGTCGTCACAATTGATTCTCCGAAGACCCAGTGACCAAGAAACCTGTTGCAACGAGAATTGACGCGATGGTGACCGGGAGCGTGAAGGTTTACGTGGCCTGCACGTCGGTGCTGTACCTCAAGTTCCTGACCGCGACGATGATCCAAGGCGCCAAGAAGTTCGTCACCGGTGGACGCCCACCAGAGGATACGAAGCTCGCCGCAGCCAAACGCAAGCAGACTTTCGGCATGGACAAGACCAGCGACACCAACACGCTGGAGGCTGCGCAGCGTTGGGGGGGCATCGTCATGAACGACCTCGAGTCCATTCCGTTCGCGCTCCTCATCTTCGGTGCCGGCATCATGGCCGGAGCTGACCCCGGCGTGCACTACCGCGCGATGATCGCGTACACGGCGTCGCGCTGCCTGCACACGTGCGCGTACGCGACTGGCATGCAGCCGATGCGTTCGCTGACCTACGGCGTGGGTGTGGTGGCTACGCTGGTTGGCTTGGGCAACGTCGTCAACGCCATCCTATAAGGTTGTGTGGAGGATCCACAAGAGAGAGCAGCGGCCTCCCAGCGAGTTCAAGCTTTAAGTTCATTTAACGAGGGCGTAGCGTTATGGTAAGGATCACTGAAAATGAGAACGCTCAATTGGATTCCCCGAGGTGATGGCCAGGACCCTTTTTGATCCAACTCCTGTATCCCCGGGTGCGCGGAGACGCGCCCCATTATTGTGTAAAACGCCGCCAAGAGCTCAAGCAGAACCCTCCGAATCTCCCACTAACATGACGGCGTTGGTCGCGCTCAACGCGGCGGTCAAGACGTACTCGACGTGCTCGCTGATCTTGTTCATCAAGTTCTTCATCACGGTGTCGATCCAGGGCGGCAAGTCCTTCGCCGCTGGCGCGCGGCCGCCTGAAGACGAGGGTCTCCTAAGTCAGGACGGACTTCCTGCTCAAACCTACGGACTGCTTGAGGACGACAAGCCCATCTCGGAGCAGCTACGCAAGGCTCGCGCCGAGGACTACCGCTGGAAGCGGGTGGTGCAGAACGACCTGGAGACCATTCCCCTGGGTCTGCTCGTGTTCATCGGCTCGGTGATCGTCGGTGGGCAAGAGGAGATCAACTGCGTGCTCATGGGCGTCTTCACGGCTGCTCGCATCGCGCACACCTTTGCGTACGTGAACCAGAAGCAACCGCACCGCGCGCTGCTCTGGACGCTCGGCCAGCTCTGCGTGCTCGCCAGCGGACTCAACGGCTTCATCTCGTTCCTCATCTAGGCCACGCCCTGTACTGTACGCTTGTACGCTTGTATGGGGAAAGTATACACTTGAATTACACGTTCACTTCTTACTTGAGTCTTGCTGCTGTTAAAAGGTTGCAGTGCGGGTCCTTAGAGCACTGTGTTCTCGAGTTGGTTCATGTCCTCCTCGATCCGGTTATCGAGCTTGAGGTGGCCGTGCTTGGTCATGAGCGACGCCTCCAGCAGCTTCATGGCTACGAACGGGTTCTGCGCCATCTGCAGCATGCTGTTGCAGAAGTCCACCTGCGACTCGTGCTGAAACACGCGGCCGTGCTTGAAGTGGAACACCTTGTCGTACTGGATCGCGTACTCCTTCCCGATGAGCTGCTGCGCCAGTTCTTCGTCGTCGATGATGCGCGGGAAGAACTTCTCGAGCGTCGCGCGGCTCACGCGGAAGCGCGCGGTAGCCTTGGCCAGCACCTGGATGGCTCCGTCCCTGGACGACAGGTCTTCGTTGATGACGACAATGTCGTGGACGAACACGCGCATGGAGGTGTGGCCCTCAGTGCACACCTTGTACTGGTTCAGGAACAAGTCAACGCCCTGGAATTCGGAGCAAATGGCGTCCTTCCTCATGATTCCTCGAAGGAAAGTCTCGGCTTGTCTGGACTGCTCGGGATGGTTCAGCGGGTCGAAGCCGTTGGAGAAGTGCACGTAGAAGCCCTTGGTGAGGTTGATGGCATGCGCCACCGCGTTGGTGCGCGCAGTGACCATGGCCGAGTCCAGCAGCAGTCGGCGCTGCTGCAGGGCCTCGATCTCCATCTGCATGGCGCGCACCTCGCCGCGCAGGGTACTCCTGGTATCTCGCCCCACCTCGAGCACTTCCTCCTCTTCCTCCTCCTCCTGGTTGTCCTCGGCTTCTTCCTCGAGCGTGAGCTGCGGCTCGTTCTCTTCTTGGTTCTGCGTCCGCCGTTTTGCCGCGCTGGCGTCCCGCCTGGTCGTCTTGCAGCTGCGCGACTTGCCTCGATCGCGCGGTCGCCGTGGGCCGATGAGCTTTGGCCTTGTGACGACGAGCGCCGTGGCCCCGTCCCCCTCGCGCGGCATCCACGAGCGGCGCCGTCGGTAGGCCGCCTCGCTCTGGAACAGCATGTGCATGTTACTATAACACTGTGCGAGGCTGACCTGGTGGGACGGCAGTGCGACGTTGGCGGCAAAACTGGAAATGGCCCGGCGGGCGTTACGCGTGTGCTAACGCGATACCTATCTTTTGAGCAATTGTCGAGAGTTGTCAGCATCCTTCCGACGTGAAGCGGGAATGCGGGAGCTCCAGAATGCGCTGGAAACGCTGCGCTACGTTGTCACCTCAGCACATCGTATCTTCTAGAGCCGATCTTCTAGAGCCCAGGCAGCGCAGACATAAACATCCTAAGGATTTGGTTCCTCGACTGGAGGAAGGACAGCTTTCTGCAATCGCACCGCGTCGCCATTAGACCTGCGGAGCTCCCGGCCAGGTGAGTGTTATTCAACTGGCGAGATTTGCCGCTACGCCGTCACGCATCGCATGATGCCCGCCCCAACCGCGGGGGTAGCTGTCAGGCGCGACATCGCGAGAAACGGCGCTGCTAATGTTGTTTACAGAGCCCACACAGCGCATATCCCGGCAAGCAGATGAGATACAGGTCAACACGTAATTCTGTTTCGAGCTGCAGGGCGAACGCAAAACCTCAAAACGGGCTGATCCGCTTACATCGGGCCAGCTCCACTCCGGCGCCTTGATTAAACTAACGCTCTGGCGTGGCGGGCGGTACGCTCGGTTCCAGCACACGCTGGTCAGCAGACCACACGAATCCTCTACAAGACTCTTCTCTATATTCTCGCAGCTGCACTCAAGCCCAGCGGGGCGCTGGCCGTAGCATACACGCGGGACATAACTCAACTAGACATCATGCGCGTGCTGACAGACGCACTCCTTCCCTTATCACTCAATATCGTCCTCGACGTGGGGACGCCGCTTTTTCGAGCGCGAGCTCGATCCGGACTTGCGGCTGCTCTTCTTCGACGATTTCTCCTTGGGGCCGTCCTCGCCCTCCCTCTTCTTGTGCTTGTGCTCCTTCTTGTGTTTGTTGTGCTTGTGCCGTTTCTTCGACGAACTGGACTCGGCGTCGTCGTCCGCGGGCGCGGAGGCGGTCGGGAGCATACGCATCGCCTCTTCCTGTGCCTTTCGAATGGCCTCCATCACGTCCGACGTCCCGAACGACGTGTCCGAAGCTGCAACGCCAGTCGCCGACGGAGTGAAAGGCTCGTTTTCCACTCCATCCCAACCTGGTGATTTGTCCAGCGCGGCATTCAGCTGGCGGAGGTCTTCCTTTTGCTGGCGCCTGCGTTCAGATCTGCTTTTCTTGCTGATACTGTAGCTGGCAAACCGGTCCTGGTCGTCATCGTCGTCGTCGCTCGACTCCACCACTGCTCTTCTGCTGCTCTTGCCTTGCTTTGTCGACGGCGCTGCGTAACTCGGCGGGGCTGCGTCCTCGGAATCGCTGCCACTTTCGTTCAAAAACGCTTCCAGATCATTGCTCGGCACGACCGTGGAGAAGTCGGGCACCGGTGTTGTAGTGGAAACGACCTGAAGATCTGAAATATGCAAAGCCGTCTCGGTGGGGCGCTCGTTGTGAGTAAAACCAGCATTTTCCTGCGTTGTTGGAGGCACAGGTGCCGCACTTTGCCCAGGCAACGGTAGAGATGCCTGAAGAGCAGATAACGAAAGGAGGTCACCAGCGTCCTGAAGGTTCCGATTGTGGTAGTTCCCCATGCTTTGATCCTGGGGAGGGTTTGCCGGATTCGGTGGAGCCAGAACTGAAGTAGCCGACGGCGATGTTTCAGGAATCGGCAAGGACGCTTGGAGCGATGACAGTGACAAAGATGGCGAGTCGCCCTTGTTGTCGTCGTTGCTTTCACTATCCTCATCGCTCATGAGTACATCTGGACGTTGAACTGCGGGACTGGGAACCGGAGCAGCCTGTGGCATCGGTTCTTCCGCTACAGTTTCCTCTGCTTGAAGTGCTTCGGGCGTGCCATTGTCTTCATCACTGTTGTCTCCATCCGCGAGGAATGAGTTCAATTCGTTGTGGTTGTTGCCCAGCCCAAGATCCTCATCGTCACCACCCACCGAGACTCGATCGGCCTTATTGGTGGGGGTATCTTCGTGGTCGTGTGTGGGAGCTTGGGAAACATCCTTCGGCTCACACTTGGCGTCATCCTCTGTGCTGGTTGCTGTCAGAGTGGTTCCATCAAGCGAGCCAGGCAATCCGCTGTCCTCCGCCTCGGTCTGCGCACCATTGCTAGCCACCTCGGAGTCGCCCGCTAATGCTGACGTATGTGTATCATCCACTTGCTCACTGAAAGCGTAGGTGTCATCATCGAGGTGCTTCGGACTCTGGTGTGTGGTAATTTCCTGAGTGTTTTCTTGAACGTTCTGGTCAACTGAAAGTGCAGCGTCTTCTGTGCCCGTCAACTCAGGTTCTTCTCCCAGAGATACATCACGCTTCACTTCACTTTCATCTACCTGAACGGGCGATACAAATTGACGTGATTCCGATTGCGGGGTCGTCGTGATGTTATCGCTTTTGTTCCGTGGACTCGAATGGCGAATCGAAGAAGTCGAAGGAGACGTAGGTGGAGACGCTGGAGGTGTCGGTGTAACAGAACCGGGAGCACCACTACTGGGAATAGACGGCTGCTGCTGAGATAGCACGTCTTGCGAATCCTTTGCTGGACTGCTCGGCTGCGCTCGCACCCTGCTTCTTTGGGTCGGTCGAGGCAATGACTTTGGAGGGTGTGGAGATGGTGGAGACGGTGACGAAGATGTAGGCGGCCTTGGCATTTGTTGACCAGCAGAGCTAGTTTGTTTGACGGCGGTGTTGCGAGGAGATTTTCTGCGTGATGCGTTCGCCTTTCGTCGGCTCTGCGTTTTGGATGTTTCGCTCTCATCCGAATCCGAAGAATCGGAGTCGAGAAAGCGTTGCTTGTGGTATACACCACCGATGCTTGCTTTCTTGGCTCCACCAACCGGTGCCACCACAACATCTTCGTCAAGGTCTCCAGCATCATCATCACTTTCATCCTCGGAATAAAAGTGGTCCAGGTCACTCATACGTGCTTTTGGTACTTGGAAATCTTCAAGGTGCATCACTTCCTCAACCGACGCTTTCCGAGGACGGCTTGGGCTTCCAGCCGCAGCGGTATCAACATTTCTTCGCTCAGGCGACACCGGATTCTCTTCGACACTGGCAGAAGCTGTTCCCACTACACTATCTGGGATAGATGCCGCGCTTTCCTTGTGCTCGAACTTCAACGGAGGTGCTGCTTGAATAACAGCGCTGCTGCTTCGTGCAGGCAAATCTTCTGCGTCAACAACCTGTGGTGATTCCTGTGATTCTTGGACCGGTGCATTCGCTGCGGTGGTCGCTGGGACTTCTGGTGCAGGTTTCGGTGGTGTTCCAGCCGTGTCCCTCTTGCTTACGACGCTGACATCGTCATCTGCACCTTCATGCTGCGTCGTGGGAGTCGATTGATTGCTTGCCCGGGGGGATATTCTGACCGAGTCAGTTCGTGATGCAGCGGTTGGTGTGTTCCCGTTACCAGAACCACGCCTTCCCGTGCGTATATCTGAGCCAGTAGCCTTGATATGCTCGACATACTCGGCATAGCGCTGCTCACTGATTGTCGCCTGTACATCGTGCTTCAGATGCACGAACTCACCCTCCACGATGCGCATCTGCTGTCTGATCGTCGCCAACTTCAACTGCAAGAATGGGATACCGAAGTACTGGTGCAGCGACTTCAATCCGTAGCAGTTCAGCAGCGAGCACTCAAAGTACAGCAGCTCGGTAGGTCTCCTCCACTGCTGATGTTGCGGTCTGTCACTCGATCCATACAGCAACTCCTCGATATCTTCCTTGAAAATCTTCCTCTGCGCGCCTTGATCTCTAAAGTTGCCAAGTACCAACGTCGGAATGTGCACGGGGACGCTGTCCAGCTGCTGCTTCACATACTCCAGCGTGTCCCACTTGGTCACATCCAGCAGGAAGATCACGCCGTGAGCCTCATGATACACGTCCACCGTCGAGGCGTCCACGATAGCCACCGAGTGCGTCCCATTCTGCATTGCAGCGGCCGCAGCGGCGGCTGCAGCGGCAGCTTCAGCCGACAAGCTGCCCCCACTCTGCAGCCCTCCGTGTTCAGCGCTGGCCCCGCGCGCAGCGTTCTGTTGGGCCGAGGAGCCGTCTTCAGCGTCGCCCTCGGGGTCCACAGACACGAAGCCGCGGTCCACAACGTCCCAGACCTCGCACTTGACGTTCTCCTCCAGGTTCTGGCGGAAGCTCCAGTTGATCGTGGCCGACTGCAGCTGCGGCGTGGACTGGTGCGTCTCGGGGATGGGCTCGCCCTTGAGCCGCTGGAAGAGCGACGTCTTGCCCGTGCCTTTGGCGCCGCGGATCAGCAGCTTCATGTTGTACGTGATGCCGCCGCGCACGCGCCGTCGGATGGCCTTGTCCATGCGCTGGATCGTGCGCTCCTTCTTGGGGTTTAACGCGGGGCTTGACACGCCTGTGAGGCTCGCGCTGCTACTGGAGCGGCGCTGCATCGGCTGCGGCGGCTGCTGCGCGCCCGGCGACGGGGACGGCGGGCGCGAGTTGAAGCTCTGCGCGCGACGCGACGCGCCTCCCGTCGGCGTGTACGGCGAGCGCGGCGGCACGGCGCCCGAGCTCTGCGGGCTCACGTCCTCCGCGGGGCGGCTCACCTCGTTGCCCATGGCGGCTCGATAGAATGCGGGGGATATGAGAGGCGTCAGAGTGATGGTCGGTGGAGGTGGTGTGGCGCACACAACCTGAACTTCAACTTGCCACTTGCCGTCGATACTGGGGTCATCACCGGCTCGAAGTTGCCAACTGCAACTTTTTCTCGGCGGCAACTCAAAGTGAAATTGACCCTGGAGGATCCACTCACTCACTCACGTGACGCTTGACGATGACGAAGAAGGCGACGCTGGAGCAGCTAGAGCGACTTTGCGCCGACAGGAAGGACGACGAGCTGCAGCTCGCCTTGAAGCAGAGCCGCTTCGAGGACCTGCGCGCGTTCCTCGGCGCACTGGGCGTCAAGGTGCGCTCCAAAGCGTACGCGGGGTACCGCAACAAGGAGGATCACGTGCAGCTGCTGACGGAGGTGCTGCAGCGGAAGGTGGCGGGCAACGACGCGCCAGTTGTCCCGACGAAGGTGACCCCACTCAAGAGAAGCGCCGACGAGGGCGAAGGCAACACCATGGTTCCCAGCAGGGAGGAGCAACCTCCACCGACGCCAATGACACCACCTTCGCCACCGCAGCTGCAGCAGCAGGTCAAGCGCAATGGAGTAGACCGCGTGGGCGGGTTTCTTGTGGCCGGTGCGCCTATGTCCAGCAAGGACGCGGAGCGGGCGTACCTCGTTCAGTGCATCAACATCGTGGACGACGCCCTGACCAACGTCGAGAGCAAGAAGGAGCACGTGTCGGGGCTCAAGCGGACGCTCACCTGCGAGCTCGCGTACTACGTCAAGCGCTTGAAGCGCATCCAGGAAATGGACGAGGGTGGGAAGGCGTAGTCTAGCTCAGATGGAGCTTAAGGATATGTACGCGTCAAGTTTCCTACCAGCAACAGGGTACGCCGACTAATGGTTAATCACGAAAATCTCATTACCACCAGAGACTGCTCTTGGAGTGGTAAAATCCACGGTTGGATCGCTGTTGTGAAGACAATCACGCTCCAGACTTCTGCACTGCATCGCCCTCCTCCAGCTCGGCTGTATTAGGATTCGCAGTGCAGTCTTGCTCGTGTTCCTCGGCTTCTTCTTTCGTATCGAAGCTCTGCAGGCAGTACGAGCACAAGAACGACGCGAACGCTGCAATTTCACTGGAATTCTCACTCTGCGGGACGCCCCAGACGCGAACAAAGCAGCGGAGACAAATGTTCAACTCGTCATAAGCTGCCATCGACTGCACCATGTCACCTCGATAGAAGAGGATGTCTCCGGGCTGGAGGGTGACGCAAACCGAGCTCTTTCGTCCGACAAGGCCGCCGAACTGATCCGGGTACACGATAAACTTCGTATCCGGCATCAGCGCCACGATCACGGTCGCCTGCACGCAGCGCTCGCGATAAAAGGCCAGCCCGATCTCGCGACCCGTGAAGTCTCGATGAATGGTTTGCTCTTCCACGCCCGGTTCAGACTTGATGGCTTGCCACGTACTGCGCGCTACTTCCCAGGAAAAGCCGAAGCCTTGCGCCAACTGCTCCACACGACCATGGACTGCCTCCATCTCATCGGAGAATGGTTCCGGCATGGAAGCCTGCAGCCTCTTCTCGTCCACGGGGTTACTCATAACATTGAGAACGAGTGGCTCGAAGTGCAATTGAGCAGCTTGGTCCTTCACTGAATTGGTGATCGCCTCCGACAGCTTGTTGCTAAACACGCCAACCCCTTCGTTCCAGAACTCTGCACGGACCCTCAGCCGTCCCCTGCTTTCAGGAGTGTCCGAGATGATCATCGTGTCCCTTTGGCTTGTGCGATCGGGATCCTTTCCGAGAGTGAGTGGCGTAGGAACAAGTACAATTCCTGGGAAGATGCGCAACGTTCTTGCAGAGTTCTCAACTGTATTGCTTGACTGTGTCTTTTAACTACGCAATGACGAGGAAGTTGGCAGCATCGTTGACGATGCGAGCAACGTCGTTGACGTGCGCCTGCATCGTGGTGCTGTTGTCGCCGAAAGCCACGCTGTCCGAGATACCCGGGAAGGCAGTGCCCAGGTAGCCTTCGTAGAAGCCCGGGCCGAAGATGACGTGCTTGTACCAGGGGCGGTGAGGCAGACCAGTCTCGTCAATGAGGTGGCGCTCCAGCAGCACCAGCTTCTGGTTCCAACTACGCAGCAACTCGTCGCTGCTGCTGTCGTCCGCAGCCTCGAACTGCTGGATGTGAGCGTGGAAGGTGTTCGCGTTGTCCGTGAAGCTCGCGATGGCCGCGTGCAGCTCCGTGAAGTCCACGCTGCGGTTCATGGCCACGATCTTCTCCTCGAAGCCGGCAAGGTCCTCCTTCATCACGAGGCCGTAGGTGGTGAAGTCGAAGGGCACGACCACATCGGTGGCCAGACGCATGGTCATGAGCCCCCACCACTGAGCCATGTTGGCGTGGGTCGCGTGGTGCGGGTCGCCCAGCGTCTCCATATACATGAGGCTATCCATGTTGCTGTGGTAGGTGCCGTACACCGCGCCGTTGAGCGTGAAGCCCAGGTTAGCCGAGATCACGCCAAGGTGCTGGTAGAACGGGGTGAAGTCCGAGCCAGAGCCCATGAACTGGATCAGGTGGTCGGGTGCCAGCGTGCCGTCGTACACGCCGTAGATCTGCGAGCGGTGACGCGCGGTCTGAGCCGCCCACTGCGCGTACAGGCTGTCACCAGGCTCGTTGCGCTTGTCGCCCTTGCCGAAGAACTCGTTGGGAGGCACGGCCTTGGCAGTGTCCTCGATGAACTTGGCGATCGACGGGGTGCCCATGGCCAGAGCCAGCGGACCCACGACGTTGTCGACGTTGATGTACGCCACCGCCTTCTGCTTCAGCTCCTCGGCGCGCTCTTCAGCGAACTCAGTGCTACCGAGCAGACCGAACTCCTCGCCGTCCCAAGAGCCCAGCACAATAGAACGGCGCGGCTTCCAGCCCTGCTTCAGCAGCTCACCCAGACCACGCGCGATTTCCAGCATGACAGCAGAGCCGCTGCTCGGGTCCACAGCGCCGCACACCCAGGCATCGCGGTGGTTGCCGATCAGAACCTGCTGGTCAGGCTCAACAGAGCCCTCAATCGTGCCGATGACGTCCCAGATCGGGCCGACCTTGTTGTCCATGAGCACGTCCAGGTTGAGCACGAGCGATTCGTCGTCACCGAGACGGTAGCCCTCCGGGTAGGTGAGTCCGCCGTGCCACGCCTCCGGCGCCTTGCTTCCGCCGATGGAGCGAAGGATAATGTCCGCCTGCTCATACGACAGCGGGAGTGCCGGAATGTGGGGAATGCTGTCAACGTCCTCGTACTTGAGCCGCGGAGCTCCAAGCACCGAGGCCCAACCGGGCGTCAACGGATCACCCGACGCCAGCGACAGGTACTGCAGCGAGCCACGCTGGAAGGAGCCCTTGGGACGGTAGATGCCCTCGGGATACACCGGTCCCTGCACGAATCCGTCGTCCTTCGGGTCCGAGTAGATGATAACCGCGGCCATGCCGTGTTGCTCAGCCAGCGCGACCTTGAGGCCGCGGAAAACGCGGCCGTAGCGCACAAGAGCGATTTTGCCCTCCAGAGTCACGTTGTTGCTTACCAGCCAGTCGAAGTCCGCCTGGGTGCCGTAGTTGACGTACACGACCGAGGCCGTGACGTTGCCCGAGTCCGAGTACGCCAGGAACGGAGGCAGCGCGTCCGGGTCGTTGGTGCAGGCGTCCCCGGGCACCGACGCCTCGGTGAGGTTGAGCTCGTGCACGCTCTGCTCGGGCGACACGATTGCCAGACGACGGTGGATCGGGTACGACAGCAGCGTGTAGTACTCCTTGATCTCGGCCTGCAGTCCGAACGACGCGAACTGCTCGGCCGTGTACAGCGCGGTCTTGTAGTCCTGCTCGGTGCCGCACGTGTGCGGGACGCTGGCGTACGAGTGCAGGAACTCGCGCATCTTCTCGGGTTGGACGCCGTCCACAAAGGTGCGCTCCGAAGGGGTCAATACAGAGGCATCACGCTTAAGGGAGACCTGCTTGGCCACCGGAGTCGACGAGCTCTGGAACAGCAGGAAGCCGCCCACAACCACAAGCAGGGCACCTACCACAGCGCCGACGCGAAAGCCGGTGGACGACAGGGTCTTCTTCCAGCGGGGTTGACGCGGCTGCGCCGACGGAGCCGACGCCCCGAAGGTGCCGTACGCTTCAGACATGCTGCTCGGAGGTCACGGCGAAATGCGAAGTGAAGCAGCAGATGCCGTCCTAGCCCTCTTCGCCACAGCCAAGCAAGGACGCAGGAAGGACTCAACCCCCACGCACTTTGCGAGTGTGTCAGCTGGAACGGTGCCCGCATGATGTGTCCTCGTACAGACGGGTCGAGCACATTGGCGCCTGCGGTCTCCACTGTCGAGACCTGTTGCGGTGATCCCGTCCTGGCAGGTCCACTTTGCTGAGGCGGTGCGAGCGGCGGTGCTGTCGAAGGTCACGAATCCAGGTTCGTGGACACACCAAGCGCTGTCGGCCACCCAGCGAAAAGTCTTGCGCACAGCACATTCACGGTCAAGATTCCTGAGCAGCGGTGACTGGCAGTCACTGACTGCTGGGCCGGCGAGATGAGATTGCAGCAAGGCGTCCCGTGGTGGCGGTTTGATCCGCCATCGGAGTTTCCTTGCGTTGGTGCGAGACGATGGAGCATGGCTAGTATAATAAGCTGACTCAAGACTTGGCCACCCACGTTGCCTCGAGGCTGGTTCATGCAAACAATGTTTCAAGATCAATTATCTGCACCTTTAGCGCGGAGTTCGTGCTGGTTTCAGGGTTTCAAAACTCGTGATGCAAAGCGTATTATGCATGTGTATTCTTCTCAACTCGTTGGACGCTCGAGGCTTCGGCGCGACTCGTGGTTCCGACTAGATCAAGGCTCGGTTCAAGCTCCTGATCACCAATACCAATGGTACGTTTCTCTCTTTCGTCCAAGATACCCCAGGTAGCCACAACACCAGCTAAAACTAAAAGGTTTTTGGTAAGGATAAGCAAGCGATACTGTGTTTCTCATGCTTTGATGGATGCAGGTTGCCGCCCGACAGTTGATTCAGTGAGAACTCTTCAAGATCCAGCATCGCACACGTGAAGATGAGTGGTCATCTAGGACACCCCGGATCCAGGGAAAGACTTTGGGTTTGCAGAGTTCTGGAATGAGGGGGTTGGCGTCGGAGGCGATCACCAATTCAGTGAAGGACCAAGCTGCTCAACTGCAGGCTGAGCCAATCTCTCTCAATTTTATCAGTAACCCCGTGGACGAGAAGAGGAAGCAGGCTTCCATGCCAGAACCTTCCTTTTCCGATGAGAGTGTCCATGGCCGTGTGGAGTACTTAGCGCAAGGCTCTGGGTTTTCCTGGGAGGAATTGCATCCTTCGCGTCGCTCGATATATACGAAAGAAACACGAGCAAAGCTGAACCTCAAATTCTACGACTGCCGAGCTGGAGGAATCACTACGATTAAGATGAATTTACGGAAGATGATGTAGATTGAAGCGCTATGCATTCAAATACACCGATGCGTGATGCTACAAACGCACATGAACTTAACAAAATGAAGATGCAGGCTTGAACCCAGTCTGGACGGAGGGGTTGGCCCCTTCTTAGTACGCAAGGGCTGCGTTCACAACGTTCTGGGCGTTGATGCGGCCGTAGCCGTACTGGTTGTTCGGAAAGACCGAGTTCCCCGTCCCGCCGCAGGTCGTGGCAGCATTGGGGAGTGTCTTATCAGTCGAGCTCGTCAAAACCGCCTTCATGGTATCGAAGCAGAATCCGGGGCGCGCACTCAGAGCCAACGCGATCGTGCCGGCGAGGTGCGGAGCAGCCATACTCGTGCCCGACAGTGAAGTGTAGGCGGTGTCGTTGCTGTTCCAGGCAGAGCGGACACTCACACCAGGACCAGCGAAGTCGGGCTTCACCAGGCCATTGACAGAGGGGCCCAAGCTGCTGAACGAGCCGAGGGCATCATTCGTGTCGGTGGCACCAATAGCGAAGGCCTTGGCCGAGTCGCCGGGGGATACGACGGAGCTGCAGCCGTTAGCTCCATTGTTTCCGGTCGCGAAGACTGGCAGGATGCGAGCCGCGTACCAAGCGTCCAGGCTCGGCTGGAAGTACGTCATGCCCTGGCCGGCGCCCCAACTGTTGCTCACGATGTGCGGCGCTTTGGCGGCGTTGCAGTTGTTGCCGTTCGTGTCGGTCGGGCACAGCATGAACTGCGCGCAGGCCGTCAACAGTGAAAGCGTGCACGAAGTGGCTCCACAGCCCTTGCACGTCATCCACTTGACTCCGGGGGCAATCCCCACGCCATTTCCACCCGCGATCGTGGCCATTGTGTGAGTGCCGTGGCCGTTGGCATCGTACGGCGTCGCAGTCTTCTGGTCCGGGTCGTACCAACCGTAGGCTCCGACCCAATTATTCCTCAGCACCTCGTGCGTGCTGCGAACTCCAGTGTCAATCGTCCCAACCACCACATTCTGGCCGGTGTTGCTTGTCGCCCAGACGTTCGTCGCCTTGATCTTGGTGGCACCCCAACCGGCAGTGGGCGTGTTGCTGGTTGAGTCGGCAGTCGGCGTCGGAGGGTCCAGCGTGATGACAAGGTCGAAGATGATCTCCTTCACGATCACCAGCGTGAGGATCTGCTGGACGAGGGCCAGTGGGGCGTTCAGCACCTCGATGGTGTTGGTGATCCATCGACTCTTGAACTGCACGCCGGCGGCCGCCAGCAGTGTGATAATCGGGCCTTGAGTGTCATCCGCGTGCTGCTTTAGCGCAGTGACAATGCTCTGGATGTTGGCAATGCGCTTCTCCTCGGTCCAAATCGCTGTGCTGTTGTCCGCGGCGGCCTGGAGAACGGCCGTGTTGTTGTCGTTCAGGACAATGATGATCCGACGGAGGTCGCACGGGATACCGGCTACGGTCTTCACCACCGAGGTCAGTGTTTGTGTCACCGTCGTGGTCACCGTGCCCACCGCGCCCAGGACATCCCCTAGGAGGCCGTTGGGGGCACCCGATACTACGAGCGAGAGCATGGAGAGCCCCAGCAGGAGGGACACAAACCCGAGACGCGTCATGGTCGTGGTGAAGCGGCGAGTGTTCAGGTGTGAACCTTGAGCCGAGAGTGTTGGAAGGTCAGCGAGTGAAGCTGGTTAGACACCGGCGGGTGAATTGAGGAATGAGCTGACCGTCAGGCTGCAAACGTAAGGATCGACAGACAGCCACGAGCGGGCCGTCGAGGAGGTCACCTACTTCACTAGCATCGGTTCAGGAGCAGTCTCGCACGCTTGCCTGCTGTGTCCGTGGTGCTGGTCGAGAAGGTTTCCAGCGAGTTGGTAACGGTGTTAAACGCTTTTCCACGGGGCGGTCATCGCTCGTTCGTCGTCAAGTTCGTCTCCAATTCGTTCGAGCTGCTTGAGTCGCTTTGCACTGTACCTCATCACAAACCCTGGAAACCCTGGAAACCCTGGAAACCTTGTGCAAAGTAAGAAGTTGGAGCCACCGACGATAATCTCGGTCAATGCGCACCTGAACTACCGCGATTCATCTTGTGTCGTTGAGAACGGGAATCAAAACAACTGAAGGTTGCCACTGTTCGCACTCCCTTGGAGCTTGTAAGGCTGACGAACGCTTTGCGTGCAACAGCATTTAGGCTGACGTTGAGTGCCTTCGCGCACTTCTTTGGGTCCAGTCCGCCAAGCAGCTCACCGAAAACAGCGAAGTTTGCTGACATTACACGCCACAGCAATCTCCGTCTCTTCGAGCGCAAGAAACCGAAGCAAAAAAATCGTCTTGCTGCTTCGTGACACGAGCTTGCTTTCTTCGGTCGCCACCGAAGTGCCGTCTGCCGCTTGTGAACTCCATCGACTTCTCCCGGACGACCAACGAAGACTATGGCTTGCCGACGAAAGCTCCGTGAACGAGTAGCACCCAGGGCCACACTTTCGACATCATTACAGCACACTGTTCAGCCCCTTGACCCATTCAAGCACACACGAGGAGAAAAAGTCGTAGAGTGGAAAAGATTGATTTACTTAACCCCAGCAAGTCTAAAGTAAGCATGTACTACAGTAAGTAGTATAAAGTTATTGATGGGTCGGATCAGCAATCTCATGTAGAATTTTGCTCCTCCACGCGCTGCGCGCCTCAGGAAGCGTTAAAAGTCATGCTCATCATTTCCGACAGCAGTAAAATAGCACACAAATACACATATAGTTACGACACGTTCGCATAGTACAAGCCCTTCACGCGCGATCAGCCGGTAAGTGCAGCTTCAGTGGAGAGAGAAGTGCTGGACGCGCACAATGCACATCGCAGACTGTAAGATCACTGGCTGCCAGGGCGGGATGTACTGTACTGGACAAAATAATTTGATGGCAACACGGTTCGGACCGTATGTTGCTGAACCGAGTAACCGTCCTGTAACGGGTTTATAACCGTTAGATACCTTTGACGACCACCGAAAAGCAACTTCTTGTTGAAGTATACGCTGCCTCTGCTGGCTTCCCGACTGACTGCTCTCCCCACGTGAAGAAGCACCGCTGCGTGCATGACACCATGACCAGTAGTACTCAGCTCTCGGGCTAAGTGAGTCCCACGGCGTCCGGCTGGCTTCTTCGAGCTCGACAGCGTCTACAGAGCTCACAAGCGGCAGACGGCACTTCGATGGCGACGGAAGAAAGCAAGCGCGCACCGCCTGTTCTGCAAGACGAGTATTATCGTAGTACGCGGATCACGAGGATGCGATTCCTCTTGAGTTGAGTCTAGTGTCGCGGAAGGTGCCACCGAAGCGACGTGTTTTGTCAAACGCCGCAGCTTTGCTCCGGGTCTGCACGCTACTGGGCGTAGTGCTCCCAGGGTCGCTGCTGGCGGCAGGCGGTGCTAGCGCGTTGTGCTTCATATTCAGGTCTAGCTTCTGCTGGCTGCGCACGAGCCACCACTCAACGCGCTGGTGATCCAGAGACCGATGCAACTGATGCCTCGCCGTTCGCAGGCAAACCTCGCGAAACGCTTGCTACTGGATGGCATGGCGCATTATTACCCCTTACAGAGCACTCTTCGAAGCAGTAAAGTACTTGTGAAGACGTGAGCGAGACGAATGCGTGTTGCTGTGTGACGCGTGACAAGGACAAGGCATTCCACGCTCGTGTTAGGAGAATCAACGAGCGGAATTGCTCCGCCATACACGCCAGTTATCGCTCCATCTCGTCGACCGACAGTCCTCCACGCGAGACGTTGGCCAAGAACTTGGCAGCTTTGAACGTGTTTTGTAGTGGCTCACCACTTAGACATCACTTTCTGCAACAAGGCAGCCTCGAGCTGGTTGCAACGTGCGATGGCATTGGCCGCTGCAACATGCCTTTAGCTTGCAGCGTCGTCGGAAGTACTCGTCAGCCTCGCAATGTCACCACCTCAACGTATATGATACCGAGTCAAATAAATCCACAGCGTCTATCGTTCTCGACGGCTTTGCGATGGAGGCCAACGGTCAGCCCAAACAACTTCTTCAATAAAATCTATGGAGTATTTTGCGATGGGGAGCATCTGCACGCTCCAGTTCGCTCAGTCGTTGCTATTTTTCTTCCATTGAGAGAGAACGCCAGCTAATACGTGCCGCTTATAAACTGAGATCCCAATCTGTATCCGCGTGTTTTCCAGAGCGAAGTAGTGACCTGCTCGTGTAATTGCTGCGTTTTAATCGCCTTACCTATTTCCTGTATCTCGGCAACATTGGGCCAGCAATACCCAGCGTTTCCAACGCAAGCGAAGTTGAACCAGCTCGATACGTGTAAGAGTTTGATCGCCATAATATCAAGCTGCCTCCTCTTCTTCAGTGCGATTCTTTCCAGAGCCCCACCATTGTTTTTGCCAGCCCCCGGTGATAAATTGCTGTGCTTTGCGCTATCACCTCCTAGCGCTGTCTGGCAGACCTCGCTTGAGCTCGCGACACTGTGATAATATATCGCAGTCTTCTCACCGCAACGCGCATCGACAATACTTAGTACTTTCGAGTCAATACGTGCGTCTAGCACTTCAATCAACGTTCCTGCCACGAGAACCCTCAAACTTCTTTCATATTCAGTGGTCGTCAGGATATGGGGAAAAATGGGAAATCCCCGTATTGCTAAAGGTCTGTGATCGTTCGCGTCAACACCGAATGTTACGGTTGCGTCCAGTTTTTTTTTTTTCCGGGGAACCATGGGCTGACCAAACCATGAGTATTTGGTCCACACCTTCTACGAGCCCGGCTCCTGGGCTCTTGGGTGAACCCAAAAGTCGCGAGCTCGGGCTCCTGGGCTCTTGAGTTCAATAGGTTAAGTGAAAGGAGCCCTCCAGAACTGTGAGCCCTCGTTAAGCCCCCCCCCCACCTGTGTTAAATATCTCGCTGATGATTGGCCGTCATTGAAGTATCTCCAGGTTCTAACCTGAAAAGGCATAGGGAAGAGGGCTTCTCCTTGAGGGGAAGGAAGGACGATCGGCGACGCTGGGGTGGCCTCGGAGCGGCTGTACACATATGAGCGGCACGAGATCTTCTAGTGTGGTGATCTTTGAGCTCGATCTTCTAGCGTGGCGCATCGATCACGCGAAGTTGCTCGCCTTAAGTCTAGGTAAAATTGGCCAATCAGATATTACTATGAAGAGCCCGTCATAGCTTTGAAGCTAAATTTGGGGAGCCCTGGAGGGGAGCCAATGGGGAGCCCGAACCATGATCTCGTACTTACCATGAGGGAGCCCACTTTTGAAGTTGACGGGCTCGGGCTCGTAGAAGGTGTGATTTGGTTCTTCGCAATGCTGTATGACTTCCAAAGAGACACACATTCCAACGTTCGAGGGCTTCACACAGCCTCACAGTCATACAGCAAAACGGCGAGCAAGGCAGCTGAGAAGACCTATGTTGGTGCAGTCAACCAGCAAGAACACCGACGTTTTCTGTTTTTGTTTTTGCGACAAATCCAATTACGAGTCCGTAGAAGCCCGTAAAGCAAACGCATTTTGGATGAAACCTGCCTGTGTTTCGCATACACAGGAGTAAGGAGTCCGTAGCAGGCTACGCAAAATGCAATACGATATTAATTGGACTTCCAAACCCCTTCGTTTTAGCTTACAAATAGTGAACCCCAGTAGTTTCTTATCAACATTTCATTGCCTGCATGCGTCATCAATACTGGTAGGTGCGTGACTAGCCCATGGCAGCGATCACACCAAGGATGCACCGCCAAAAGCCTCAACAGGTTCTCTACGATTCGCCAACCTGCTTCATGGCGGCGACAGATACATGGATTTGAGGCCCCGAGGTGCGTCGGCCACCCGATCTCCCTGACCGACCGACCGATTTCTGGAGGAAGCCCGAGATCTTCCGTCGCACATTCGCAGTCTCCGCGAGACTATTGTCGGTTTTCCGTTTCTCCCTGCCGCTGTTGCCGGAGCTGACGTTGGTGTGGTACGTAGCCGTCGCAACTGAAAACTGTTTGATCTTGGTTCGCGCCGTTATAAGCAAGCAGACTGTGAGGGTAGTGCGATGCCAAATAGCCTGCGCGAACTCCCAATTGAGGCCGCTAGCGCTAGACAACAAGTCAAACGGCATTTCGTGCGTAGCGAAGAGCAGATAGCAGCAAGCCTCGAACTTCCGCGTCTTCCAGATACTCCGCCATCCGCGCGATATTCCAATGTAGTAGAAGCGGAAGATGAAGATGAACGCCAAGTTCGCATTCTCAGCAACGTTGGAGATCTCTTGCCCTGTGCTTTCGGACATGACTGCGGGGCTGACCAGTACTACGAACGAGAGCAGGATTGATACCAGGTCGGCCATGATCAGCACCTCCGCTGCGTACGTGAGAAACATGACGGAGCGCATTTTGAACTTCTTGTTGAGGTCGTAGCCGATGATGGTGATCTGCAGTAGGAAGGTCAACACGCAGCACGCCTCCGAGATGTCGTTCACAGTCTCCACGAACCCTGGATCTGGCCGCGCGAATGGAATTACCGCGACAGTGCCCAGAGTCCCGACGAACAACAGCAACGCAACTCGCCGCTCCCGTCGCCGTGTCCAGTAGAACACCGCCAGGTACATCAGAAGAGTGTAGTTGAGCAGCAGCACCACCGGCAAGAAGGCTTCGAGTGCTAAGCGGTCGATCTGCTCCTGCGTGACAGAAGTCCACATTGCCGCTGCGTGTGCGCGGTTCGACAGAGTGGGGGCTTGTTGAGAGGCCACTTCCTTTTAAATGAGCGATGGCGTCAAGTTCACCACTAAAAATATAACCCGTGGTTGTTTCTCTCGTCTTTCCTCTCTCCCTCAAAGTGGTTGAGAACCGACGTGAACATGTATCGCTACATGTACAGCAGCGCTAAACGACGTTAACTGAAAACCCATCATTCGGCGTACTCTATATAATAGGTTCAAAAGTTGAGCTGTAGTTTTGATGTAGTTCTAGTACGAGTTTCGTAATTTTAACGCCAGATGCATAGTTATGACTAGCATACGTTTACACTTGCTATTGCAAAATAGCAAAATTTGCCAAAACCCTATCATACAGCATATACTATATGATAGGTAAAAGCTAACGTCGTTTACGTCCCCATCAAGACCTCCTTTATTCCGGCACTTGAAGTTTATATATGGCAATGTGCCTATTTGAAGTTTTTTCGAGTGCCGAAATAAGCGACCGTTCAAAATCGCAGAATTCAAGCAGTGAACGATGGAGAAGCTAAAGCCAAGCGTCTCTAAGAAGCCCCCCTCGCGTAAAACCCCGTTCCAAGACGCTCACAAGCTGCAGTACGGACTCGAGGTCGTAGCGTGTGACGCTGGGGGAGCGGCTTGCTCGGTCCGCTGCCTGTTTTGCCGATATTTTGGTAGAGAGGAAGCACCCAAGGGCAAACGAAAGCGTACTCAAAATATCAAGTACTACAAGGCTCCTTTCCGACCCCAGAACTACATCGAGCACAATACTTCCGCGCACTCAGCTAAGTGGGGAGAATACACAGGTCTCAGGGACGCAGATAAGGCTGTATTTTTTGCTGATCTCACTTCTCGAAGCAACCAATTGGTAGCTCATTTTGACACAGAGAGTGCTGTGTTGCGGTTTTCTTTTCCAGAGTTGATTGTGACTGAGCTGATTGGATAGGTATTTTTCAATGCTGAAGATGAAGATGATGGTATGACTGTTGCGAGGGCTCTTCGTGCTTTCGGCTCGGTAGTGGATGGGGTCTACACAGTGGAAATTAAGACGCCTCTGCGGTTTACTCTTTCGGTCAAACATCTCTCGGTTGGGTTGTCGTTTCGGCAGACGGCAGCAGTAATTCAGCAGCACTACAACGCCACAGGGAACTCGAAGCTTTACGGTATGACCGACGCTATGGCAGGCACTTATGCTCGTATTCTAGTTGCCTATTCGTTTCAACGCATCAGCAACCTCATCGCAGACCCCAATATGTGGGGGTTTGCATTTGCTTGCGACATCACAACCCACACCGATCGCTCTTTCATGGATCAGCGTGTTCGTGTTGCCGTCAATGGCGTGCTAGTCAACCTACACTTGCTCGCGGTCCCTATGTTTGACCGCCACACTGCTGTGGTCCAAGTTCACCTGATTGTTCGAGTACTCGATATTTTGTTCGCTAACTGGAGACAGAAGTTGGTTGGTATTTCATCGGATGGAGAGAACACTATGACAGGCCGTCATGGTGGGTGGTCACTCTTTTAGAGAAAGAGGCCACCCACTCGGTGCTGAGAGTGTGGTGTGCTGCTCATCAGATGGACCTGGTCATGAAAGCCGGTTTTGCCATTGTTGGGAATGGAGACTTTGTGAAGAATACAAAGGATTTAATTGTTCACCTTCGCCGCCAAAAAACGCTGATTACTGAAATGGGAGGTGCCGCCAAAAAACTAACTAATCGGTGGCTGTACATGGGAAACGCATTGCCGTGGATATTAAAAAACCATTTTCGCCTCGAAGAACACCTTGATGAAAATGTGTCTGCGGCACCAGCGCCATCATGGTGGGTCATTGCAGCTGTTGTTTGTGGGATAACGGTGGTGATGAACGTCACGTTTGTCAAGATACAGGGGAAGGATGTCCTGCTCTCGCAGCAAATGGCAGAGATTGAGCTCCTTGTAGACCGCCTTCGCAAACTGGTACGAGTTGAACGCGTACCTAGCTCTGAATTCCAATCTAGCGCTAATGACACGATTTCTACGAAGTACTGGCTCAAAGAGCAACACTTGCTCGAGTTTATTCAAGACCAGGGGACGTTCGTCAAGAATCACATGAATAGTGTTGCAGATGCCGACAAAAATTCGATTCTGAGGCAGCTTGGCAAGTTTGTACTGCATCTAATTGAAGGTATGGAGCATGTACAAGCTGAGCGAGACAGCAACAATGACGCTGCCGCATCTCCGGCTCCGCCAGTAATGCCAGCTGAGCTTGTCACAGTCCCTCCCCGCCAGTTTGCAGAAGATATTTTGAATCCTCGCCGCGATCAATTGGCTTTGTTTTGGAGTGAGGCAAAAATTGAAGCCGTTGAACGGGAGCATCGAGAGCTGTGTCAAGCCAATCTGCTTGATGAGATGGTTCGCACAGCCCTGGAGGAAGAATCGTATGAGACCAGCTTCAACGACGCCTGGGATTCAGTGCAAAACGCTGCTGCTCCAAAGACATTTTCACATCTCCGCCAGTTCTGCTGCGGATTGGCAACCGTATTCGCGAATACGGCGTCCGTCGAATCCGATTTTTCCGTATTGAAGTGTGAACTGAACGACCGGCGCACTTCGTTGACTTCTCTAGCCCTTGAAGGCATCTTCCAGGCTAAACAGTTCGATATGCTAGAGAAATTGTAGTAAATTGCATACTTTATTTCCTTAAACTGGCACTGTGCCGAAATAAACAAAACAAGAGTGCCGAAATATAGCTAATCCGACACATCCCGGCAGGTGCCAGTACAGACAACGACTTACAAAGCCGGCAGACACAAAAAGCCGGCAGACGAAGTCAAGCAAAGCTTAACATAAGCAAACCAGCCAATCAGATTCAATCAAATGACTTCATCTTTGTATACCATCTGGTTTTGTGTACTTTATATGCTTTCTTGTGTACTTTATGCAACACGCCGTGTGTTTTATGACAGTTTTACAGATTTGACGGGAGGGAATTTATCGTTGTTTTTATATAGGAGGATGGCATTAAGCATGCCGGCTTTGTAAGTCGTTGTCTGTATAAGGGAGGTCTGCACTAGACGCGACGTACAGTATGAATGCATCCAAAGGATAGGAATCTGAACTGTACATGAGCTAATTCCCGGGGGCGTGATGAAAACTCTACACAAGGCGGGAAAGCGCTTCGTAGACGTGAGTAGACATTTGTGCGCGAAGCTATTTATTGGCGAGCCAATGCCTAAGCTAAGCGTAGTATCCTAGCTGCATACACCAGCTTCAGGCCATGACCATCCAGTGCGCCTGCATTCGGACACCTTGGTGACCCCATCCGACGATCCGCTCCAATGATGGGACGGCCTAACCAGCAGGCCCTGGAGCAGCCTGGATCCGGCGCTGTTCGCACTCTAAAACTTGTCTCGAAGCGCGCACTGCTCTTCTCGATGCGCTTCAGTCAAGCGATACTCGTGGCGGTTTTCACTTACCTCGCCAGCGCTGGCACTCTCTCGGCGGCAGAAGCAGGTGAGACGAAGAAGACCTTAATAACTGGTCGAGAACTTGTCGCTGGAAGATCGTTGCGGGTCGGCACACGGGTCGATACAAACGACGACGAAGAGAGAGCCTGGATCAACCTGCCATCGAAAGTGGGCAAGTTTTTTTCGAGAAAAGCAGGCAAAGTGCAGCTTACGATCCCGAAAGACGCGCCCGAAGAAGTCTTGAAGAAAGAGTTGGTGCTGAACGCGCTCCCAAGGAAGGTCCGCAAGCCGAACGGGAAGTACAAGCACGTCAAGATGACCGGGCAAGAAAAAATCGCCATGTTTGAGAGCTGGGCTAAAAAGGACATCACTTCATTCGATGCGTGGGGGAAGTTGGGGATGCGTAATGTCCGTGAAAACCAGCTCGACGCCGTCATGGATAGCAGACACTTTGCAGACTACTTAGCTTACGTGAAGATATACGACGACGCTGTAATTGCGAGAATGAAGGTTGGTGGCAAGCCTCCGCTGGTTCATCCGGAGTCCACGGCTGCAGAATTGACGGCCAGAGCTGTCGCGTTGGGAATCAACAAAAGGGAAGACGCATACGCGAAATTGGCTCTGGGGTTGGGTGGGCTGGAAGGAAATGCGTTGAAGCAGCACACGAACTATGGGTTCTACGAAGACTACTTGAGGGTGCTGAGAGACAATTAGCATCTGAACTTGGGACTAACCACGAATGGAGAAACCTGGCTGAGTTCTTCGGTTTAAGTGCAATTGTCTCCTTGATCTGTGCATTAGATACAACATGCATCTACATTGGGTGCACTCTCCTGTCCCCTTGGTCACAGTTAAGCGGACGTCAGATAAGCTGCTGCGGTGTTGATGACAGCAGCGACATCGTTGACGTGCGTTTGGATTGTTGCGTCGTCATCCTCAAACACGATGCAGTCCGAGATACCAGGGAAAGCAGCTCCCTTGTAGCCCTCGTAGAATCCCGGTCCGAAGATCATATGCTTAAACCATGGTCGGTGCGGCAATCCCGCGTCCGAAATCAGGAATCGCTCAAGGCTTACGAGTTTCTCGTTCAAGAAGTGACGCTCCGCCTCACTCTTGTGACTCTCTTTCTTTTTGGCAGCCTTCTCGGAAAACTCAGCAACTCGGGCCTGGAAAACTTCAGCGTTGGTGGTGAACGTCTCAATTGCTTCGTGGAGAGCCGAGTAGTCGACGATGCGGCCCATTTTCCCGGTGATCTTCTCGTAACCAGCCAAGTCTTCCTTCATCACCAGACCGTACGTAGAGAAGTCGAACGGCACAATCTCGTTGTCCACCAATCGCAGAGTGATCAACCCCCACCACTTCGCGATCGTGGTGTGCGTAGCATAGTGCGGATCACCTACGGTTTCCATGTACGGGATGCTGTCCATGGTGCTGTGGTACGTGCCGTACATTACACTACCGACAGTGTAGCCGAGGTTAGCAGATATGATGCCCAGGTGCTGGTAGAACGCCGTGAAGTCGGTGCCAGAGCCCAAAAATTGGATCAAATGGTCCGGAGCCAGAGTGCCATCGTCAGCACCAACTGCGAGACTTGATCGCCGAATAGCCGTCTGACTCACCCACTGCTCGTACAGACTTTCCGAGACCTCAATACCATGGAACGGGTTGCCTGGAATGAGCTGGGCAGTATCCTGCAAGAATTTCGCAATGGATGGTGTGCCGCCCGTGCTCACAAAGGGTCCAACGACGTAGTCCACGTTGACGTACGCCACCGCCTGCTTCTTGAGCAACTCGGCGTGGTCCTCCGCAAACTCAGTGCTTCCCAGCAAGCCCATCTCTTCTCCATCCCACGAAGCAATAACGAGAGTACGGCGAGGCTTCCAGCCATCCTTGAGCAAGTCACCCAGCCCACGAGCAATCTCCAGCATAACTGCAGAGGCACTCGACGGATCGACGGCACCGCACACCCAAGCATCGCGGTGGTTGCCGATCAGCACCATCTGATCAGGTTCTTCCGCGCCTTCAATGGTACCGATGACGTCCCAAATGGGTCCGATGCTGTTGTCCATGGCGACATCAAGATTCAACACCGTGGCTTCGTCGTCACCCACAAAGTAAGCCCCGTTGCCAAGGTTAAGCGCACCCTGCCACGCCTCAGGAGCCTTCTTCCCGCTCAGAGATTCGAGAATGTATCGAGCTTGGCCGTAGGAAAGCGGCAGGGTCGGGATATGCGGGATGGTCTTGCACTGTTCCTTGCTCAGGTACGGCTCACCAGGCAGCGACGGAAAGCCGGGCGTGAGCGGGTCACCACCGGAGATCGAGTTGTACTGCACCGATCCGCGCTGGAACGATCCCTCCGGGCGCCACGGGCCGTCCGGGTACACTGGTCCTTGCGCGTAGCCATCATCCAGTGGGTCTGAGTAGATGAGCACGCCCGCCATACCGTGCTGCTCTGCCAGCATCACCTTGAGTCCGCGGAAGTTGCCGCCGTATCGTACGAGCGCGATCTTGCCCTCCAATGTGACATTGTTGTCCTTGAGCCACTGAAAGTCCACGGGTCGCGCGTAGTTGACGTACACCACCGAGGCCGTGACATTGCCCGAGTCCGAGTACCCCAGGAAGGGGGGCAGGGCGTCCTCATTACTGGTGCACGAGTCTCCAGGCACGGAGTCCTCCGTCAAGTTCAGCTCACGAGCCGCTTCAGGTGGCGACAGGATGCTCAAGCGGCGGTGGATGGGCAGCGACAGCAGCGGATAGTACTCTACGATCTCGGCCTTGATGCCGAAGGACTCGAACTGCTCGGCCGTGAACAGCGCCGTCTTGTAGTCCTGGTGGCTGCCCGCCGGGTGGGGGACGCTGGCGTAGGCTCTGTGGTACTTGCGGATCTCGGTAGTGTCCACACGCTTGAGGAACTTGCTCTCGAGCTTGGAGAGACCATCACTCTGCTCCTTGTGACTGAGCGTCGTGGTGGCCTCCTCCACGCGTTCTACCGGCTCTACAGGGTTCTCCGCCTCGCCCACGCGTTCTACCTGACTCGCAGCAGGCTCGTAGTGGCCCTGCATCGACATATAGCTCGCCAGAAGCAGCAGAACCGCCGCCACGCCCACCGAGCGCCAGAGCTTGCCAGGCACGCGCGGCCGCTCGCCCACGTCGGGCACCACGCGCCCGTGGAAGGTCCCGTAGATGTCTGGGTTGTCGGTTGCCTCATGGTCCTCGTGGCCAGCCGCAGCGCTCGCTAGCGGCGTCGAGAGCGGCATCATGGCGTGCGTCCTTGGCGGCGTTTAGCAGAATGAGCTTGAGGAGCTTCAACGAGTACTGTACACACATCTAGAAATCAGATACACGCATACATGTACTGGAATCTAGAATCTGGAATCATCATGTGGAGGCGCCCGGCTCTGATTGGTTCATGTGCACCACATAAAGTATATTATTATTTGATGTACGAGTTGCGTGTCACTTCCGTGCGCGATGGCGGGTGCCAATGGAGCGGAGGACGAGACGAACGCGCGGCTGGGCGTGCACGTGGAGGACCTGAGCCGCGATGCACCGCCCAACCCGTTCCTGTTCCCGCGCAGCTTCCTGAGCATGCACCTGCTGCACGACAAGGTGGGTATCCACCCGTTCCTGCCCGCGTACCCGCCGCAGATCCTGCAGTGGCAGCAGCCCAACCCCATCACCGAGTCGTGCGCCGGCAAGTTCTTCCTCTCGGCCGCCATGGGTAGGGCAATAGTGCATAATTTAACATAATTATTGGGTATTGGAGGCTGACTGTTGTTTATTCATTTTGACACGCAGGCTACGTCATGGGCAACGTGTTCGGACTCGTGCTGGGCAGCTATGAAGGCATCACGCCGCCCGTGCCGCTCCCCGGACAGCGCGAGCTGCCCAAAGTACCGTGGCGCGAGTCGGTGCGTGATTGCAATGGAGTTGGCTCTATTGGAGGTTGAACTGTGGGGCTGACTTTGTTGTTATTTGCTGCTGCAGATGTCAAATTCTTGGCGAGTCACAGCTGGCAAGTGTCGTTACTGGGGCAACAACTTCCTCGTCATTTCCGGTGAGTTGCTGTTGCTGTAGTCTAGAAGGTGTGCAGTTGCAGTTATGCTAAGCTGGATCGATGTTTTTCTGTTGCGGTGCAGCCATGTTTTCGGGTCTCGAGTGCGCGTCGGAGAAGATTCGCGGACGTCACGACGTGGGCAACGAGCTGGTGGCGGGTTGCGCGACGGGTGCGGCGCTGGCAGCAGGGCAGGGCTTCCAGGCGCAATGTCTTGGCTGCGCAGGTTTCGCTGCGTTCTCGTACGCGATCAACGTTTTTACGGGCGGCAAGTTCTAACTGGACCAGCTTCCGTGTTGATAGACACTGTTCAATCGTGCACACATATAATACAGACCGACAGACAAACAGGAAACAAGACGACCATGGATTATTCTGCAGCTTTTAACGCTCTAGCTGCGAGTTTATACGGGTCTTACGAAGCCATGTAGCCGCCGTCGACAAGCAGGTTGATTCCGTGCACATAGCGGGCGTCGTCCGACACGAGGAAGGTGACGGCGTTGGCCACGTCCATCGCCTTGCCAGGCTCTTCAGCCGGAATCCGGTTGTTCGAAGCCGGCGCGAGGCAGTCGTCGCGACTGATCGAGTCATCGATAAAGCCAGGAGCCACCGCATTGCAGACAATTCCGCTAGAAGCGTACTCCGCAGCGATCTGACGGGTGAGCTGCACGATCGCCGCCTTGCCCACTCCGAACGTGAAGTGACCCTTCCGCGCCACCATGCCATACAGCGACGAGATGTTCACGATCCGACCTCGAACCGTTCCGTTGTCCTGCGTCAGCATCTGCTGCACCGCTCGCTTGCAGCTCAGGAACACCGCCTTGGCCGAGACGCCCATGGCTTCGTCCCACGCGGCAGCGTCCACATCCACCAGAGCGGTAGGCTTCACGCCGCTGTCCTTTGGGGCCGGGACGCAGTTCACGACAAAGTCGATGCGTCCGAACTCCATGGCAATGGCTGCGTACGTCTTGTCCACGAAGCCCCAGCTCTGCAGCTCGCCCTCGAACACTTTGACGGGCATCGCGCCCTCCAGCGCCTGGATCTGAGCCTCCACGTTCTTGGTCTGCGGCGAGTTCAGTGCATCGGCGCCCCTGGCTCCAATAACAGCGAGCTTGGCGCCCTCCTTGGCCAACTTGACGGCGATGAGCTGTCCCAGCCCCACGTTTCCGCCCACCACGACGCCCACGCGGCCCTGCAGTCGCTCGCCGCTCTTGCCGCTGGTCTGCAACACGTAAAACAACGGCTATTAGCATATACATTCATAGCAAGGGGGCGAGCAATTATTAGCTGGCCGACGCACCACGGAGGCGACGGCCTGAGCCGCCCTCGCCGCGTTCTTCTCGTCGTTGAGCTTGAGCGCCGCCGCGATCTCCTTGGGCGTGAGCCCCTTCTTCTCCAGGAACAGCAGGCGCTCCGACAGCGGCGTGTCCTGCACCTTCGGGTGCTGCAGGAAGCGCACGCCCTGCTGCACAAGGTCGTCGCGGACGGACATGGCTTGAGGTACTGTAGACTTGGCTTGGGTGTTGAGCTGCTCAATTACCGGAATGATGACCCGCTTCAAGCGCGAAACCGTGTCAAAAACGTCGAAAACGTTGACGTGCATTTTTTAGGGGGGTGTACACTGATTTTGACAATTCGTTTACGTATTCGAAATATTACTGGAAGGTATTGTGCTTTGCAAACGTTTTGGCAATATTTGCCGGATTTAAATAGTGTACCTGCTATTAATAAATCGAGTGCATAGAACTGCGTTACTTCTGAATTACACCGCAGATTAATCGTCCACCCCCAGAATTGCACTTTCGAAAGTGCAATTCTGGCCATTGTGGTATAATTCTCTCCCGTCGGGATAGACTGCGTCTTATCTGCCCTCCAACGGCGTTCACTTCGAAAGCGACCGGAGAAATAACACTTTCGCTGGCGCGCCATCTTTCTGATGCACGTGTTCAGCATCAGCGTCGGATACGTGAGCTACATATTTGGACCAAAAGCCCGCAGTTGATACAGCCTCTTCCTATCGACGGGTGTTGTTGAGAAGAAGCAGGACCGCGTGAAAACGTCTCGTTGGCCTTTAGAGGTCATCACGCGCGTTAAGCAATACGTGAAAGAGAACCCAACGTTTTATTTGGAGGAGCTTAAGGCTTTTCTGATACATTTCCAAACCTAGAAAATGTTTCCACTAGAGGGCTCTCAACTTTGACATGAACTTGAGCCGAAAGGTTCTTACAAAGGTAGCTCGAGAGTGTGTTCCGCGAGAGGTTGAGGTGTACAAGGCCAAGCTTCAAGCAATATACTCGTACCCAGAACAGCTCCTGTTTATCGACGAGACGTCTAAGGACGGGAGACACGCGTATCGCCACTACACGTGGTCGAGGAGAAACCGCAAAGCCGTCGTGCGTTTGCCTTTCGCTAGAGGCGAGCGGCGCTCGATACTAGCGGCTCTGGACCACCAAGGATTCGTCGCATGGTCGTCTACACCAGGAACTTTTACACGAAACTCGTTCCACCGAGCTTTCGTGATCAAAATTGTGCCTCTCCTCAACCCGTGACCTGTACCAAGGTCAATTATCATATTAGACGACGCAAAGATTCGTCTTTACAAGGAATTGGAAGAGGTATGCTTCAGAGCGATATTATATGAGTGGTATCACAGTTCTTACACTAATATTTATTGCTGTTTCTGGTGTTTAGGCAATTTATCAAACCGGTGCACGACTGCTTTTCCTCCCCCGTATTCACCACATCTCAACCCAATCGAGGTTTGCTTCGGGCTTTTGAAGAAAGGGATACAAAAGCATGCAAACCTCGTGTTCCCACTGTATCCAGATCGAGTGCTGGACGTTGCAATGCGCTCCTGCTGCTCCCAACTCTCCCAAAAAGAAGATCAAGCTCCTGGTGTCCTCAACTTGTATGCCCATTGCGGATATGTAAACGGATCGCTCCGTAGTGAAAAGTTTACCGTTCAGATGTACGAGGAAGGTGATGGCGATAAAGAAGACACAAACTAAATTGAACCCAATATATTCATGTTTTTCACCCTATCTTTTTGTTTAAGTGATGTTCGCCCTCTTAAGTTGTCGGTTGTGTAGCGGGAGGAAGATGATCAGAGTCAAGAACGTCTTCTCCACTTGGTTCCAAGAGCTGGGGAGGGTAGCCATTAAGGTTTCCGCCCCTTGTTGTGGGCGGAGACCAGTTTTTCGCTGAGCGGGAAGGCTATTGTGGTCCAAGGACGCTGCTCAGATCGGTCTGTGCTGCATCGCACCAAGTGGCTACATCCCAAATGCGCTGGCGCATCGCATGGATTCAATCCCAGCACCCAGAGGTAGTAGAAGTAGTCTAGCAAGTCATTCGTAGTTTTACCTACAAGCCAGCAGTTGCCGTCCAAGAAACAACCGACCCTCCCGCCCAAGCCCACCTCCCTGAGTCATGGCTCGACCTTCTCTTCAAGTCGGCGGATACCTACTCCTACGCCCCGAAGATGCCCCAGGCACGCTGACCCGTTTGGCTTATGCGTCTATCGTTGGCGTAGCGAGGGCCAAGGTGGTGGTGAAGCTTGCCGAAGACCTCAGCGACGACGGTCCCTCGCCGCGTAGCCGAGCTGCGCGGGGTCCCACGGTCCGAGACTACAGGATCCCAACTGGGGAAATGGCTCAGGCAGGCGGTGTGGGTTTCCGCCGGAGGAAGTTACCGGTATGGCCAAGTTCGAGGATACTCCGGATCTAAACTGGACATCTGGACTGCTCAAGGCGCCATGTCCGTTACACGACGCCAGCTAGTCGGCGAAGTGCACCCGCTACTTGCGATGACCCTTGGGCACCAAGATTGGCCAAAACGCGCGTGGCCGAAGACTCGGCTTCAGGAGCTACATGAGCGTCTGATGGCCAAGCTCGGGACGCTCGGAGCACCAGCGACTACACCACCGACAGCGCCAGAGTGGCTGCAGGAGCTAGCATCCGACATGGATGTAGAGCGGCTTGCGACGGCTCAAGTGGAATGGGTCAACGCGCTCTCCTAGGCACAACAGCTCGTCTCGCTTCGACACGCACTGCTCTACGTGCTCTACAAAGAGCTGCAAGGCCAACGCCGCACGGGTTGCTACGCAAAATAGGCAAGTCCATAACCGAAGAACCCCGCATTTTCCAGGCCTGGGTGGGCCAAACGTCAAACCCAGACAGCGTTGACATCGACCAGTACCCGTCAATTACTACCCGTGAGTTCCTTGCCTCCCTATCCGAAGGAGATGAGTCAGATGCTGAAGTCGAGAGAGCGCGTGGTCAACAGCAACCGACGCACACGCCAAGAACGCCACTACGGACCACTCAGCGACATGCACCCTCGAGCGCACGGCAAACGGTGGCAGTTCCCAACCTAGCCACTGAGCCTAACGTTACCGACGAAGATGCAGCCGAGCTGGAACTGATTGAATTCATCCGAGATCAGAGACCGCACCTCCTAGTTCCCAACCTAGCCACTGAGCCTAACGTTACCGACGAAGATGCAGCCGAGCTGGAACTGATTAAATTCATCCGAGATCAGAGACCGCACCTCCTGCGAACGTACTTCAGCGATCACTAGGGCAGCAGTCCATCCAGAGTCTGCCAGCGACCCGAGTACGCACAGCTTCGAGTGACATCAATCCAGCACCAGCCAAGCGCAACAAAAAAGCATTCTTCGCCACCGCAGACCAAGAGAGAGTCCACCAAGTTATGACCTCGGATGCTCACAGAGGTAAGAGCGGAGAGGAGTACATGGAGTATCTGACTACTTCGTCGCTACCCCTTGATTTTCACCCAGGGATGCTGACCCGCCTGTACGACATCGGCTCGGTTCTAAGGGGTTGTCACTAAGTCACTTCGGTCACGTCGGGTACCTCGATCGGCTTCGCAACGCAGCCACCGGCAGAGTGGACACAACCGACTTCACACTACCGATTCCGCGGCCGCCGGTGATGACCTCATGGAAACAGCTGCACTCGGCAACGCGAGGTTTCCTCCTGTACTGCAGCGAGATGTGTGATCCCACAACGATTCGGGTGGCGGCGGCTCTCGACAACTTTGCTCTGCAGCTAGAAGGCTGGAACCACTGGTTGCCTGAGGAGATTCCTACTCTCGTACTTTGGATCAACGCCACCTTGGAACGCTATCGCTATGCTGCGGCCCAGGATGCACTCTCAGGCGGCAATTCCCGTTTTGAGGCAACCGGGTGGTTTACCAGACCTTCAGGCCCTGTTAATAACCGCACTGTCAGAACGGTCAAACCGACCACAGAGCACGTCTACACGCGAAGATTCTCGGCGGCGACCGCAAGAAGGGAAGGTCCGACACGTCAAGCAGCCGTCGGAGCGCAAGGTCCCCCAGGCAGTCGTCGCAGCGCTACCACGCAAGGACGGAAAAGAAGTGTGCCTTTGCTTTCTCTCGAAGCGAGGGTGTGCATCGGCGGACCCAACAGTGTGCAAGTTCCCCAACTTGGTACACTTTGAACCAGCGACAATTGACTCCATCGTGCGAGACTACATCAACACAAAACTGGGCGGGATCAGCGACAAGTTCTCGCAGTCCAGCTGATGGCGTCCGGGTTGTGATGATCGCTCACAACTAGGACAGTCCTCGTGTCTACTCATACACAAAGCGCAACAGTCCAACTGCACCTGCAGAACGCCCAGGATAAAGGAAAAACCTCCTGACTTCGCGCGAGAGCTAAGACCCAGCGATCCGCCCACCGCCACGGACGCAAGCCTCCGTGGCTTAAGGGCGACTGCGTATGACAGCAACGCAACCATCAACGACGGGATGTACTCCTATTCAAGCGCCGTTCCACCTGACTATGCCAGCAGCCATGAACACTGCGCTGCCAAGGCCCCAGGCATCACGAAGCAGAAGCTGAGCGCCCACAGTCCGGCGAGAGAGAGCTGCAAACCGCTATCTATCGAACGGACTAAACGCGGTAACCTCCCAGAGCATTGGCGCTCGAGTGTCCACACCATCAAGGCTTCGGACAACCGGCCAGCCCATGTCAGTCTTCGATGCCTTTGCGTCAAGGTCCAGGCCATTCTGGAGCACCAGCTGCAGGCAGATGAAACCAAACGCGACGTCCGTGCTACGGAGAGGAGGAATCGCAGTGCCAAGCGCGGCGCCGAAGACCTCTGATCACACTGGCAAGGTCCCTCGATACTGCCTAGACTTGCCTAGACTACAAAAAGCAGCATGCGTTCTCCCGCCTCATATCCCAAAGTCAGTTCACACTTGAACAAGTCGTCGAGCTCGCAAGAGGCCAGTCTCCAGAGGACCCCCGCCCGAACAAAGCGCTATCCCCGAACCGTCTTCATCGACTACTGGAGGGATTCGAGCACCGCGACTCACTATGCAGCGCAGCACGGTTTGGCATCGATCCTCAATGGTCCACGCAAAATCAAGAGCAGCAGGAGCAGCAGCGCATTCCAACAAATCACAAGTCTGCCGATCGCCACCTTAATACAGTGGTGAAAAGCGTCCGCGAAGGCCAAGACGGAGGACAGTATTTGGTACTGGACGCAAACGTGTTCGAAACACTCGGCAACATTCGAATCAGCCCGCTCGGTGCAGTCCCGAAAGCAAACACGGACCCCCAGCTCGAAACTCGCCTAATTCATGACCTGTCGTACCCCATTGGCAACTCAACCAACGATGCATCGGACAAAAGCTCGTTCCCAGAGGTGCGGTACCGGCACGTGGCGGCAGTCGCGAGAAGAATTGAGGAGTGCTACGCGCAGAACCCAATGATCACCATCTACGTAATGAAAGGCGACGTGAAGGGATCGTTCCGGCACATCATGTTGATCGCACGCAGTGTCCATTGGATGGGAGCACGCATTGCACAACTGGGCGCTATCATCATCGACATGTCGGCCCCATTCGGATGGACGGGATCTCCAGCCTTTTACGGGATGTTCGGCGGAGCGATATCATGGCTGCTTGGACGCGAGAGTCCTGCTACGATGGCAGCACATCCAGCAGATCCGACCCCATTCTTCGCAAACGAATGGGTCGACGACCACATTCTAGTAGAGCCCGAAACTCCTGGTCGCCTCAAAGCAGCAAGCTCAGCCTTACGAATCGCTATGACTGCAGTACTTGGTCCACGAGCCATCAATGAAGGAAAATTTTCGGAGTGGAGCACGAAGATAGAAGTTCTCGGGTTGGAGCTCGATACCATCCAGCGCACAGTCTCGATGCCACAGGCAAAGCTCTTGAAAGCCCAAGACCGCGTTCGAAAGACAGCCCAGAAGAAAAAACTGTCAAAGCACGAGATGCAGGGTCTATTGGGGAGCCTTCGCCACGTCACTACGTGTCTTAGGAGTGCAAAACCCTTCTACCAGCGCCTCCAACGGTCTATCAACAAAGTGTCACGATGGGGGAGCATTGTGATTGACGAGTCGACACGGCAAGACTTGGAATGGTGCGACGTCATCCTCACGCACGGGCGCTGGTGGTCCCTGCCGACATCAATGTTTTGCGCCGAACCCGCCATCGATGTCCATTTGTACATGGACGCCAGCAACCAGGGCCTCGCAGTTCTCGACCCCGCTCGACGACGGTTATCCAGTTGCTGTATGACGAGCACGAGCACCAGCTAATCGAGCAGACCTCCGGATCAAATGGGTTCAACATAAATGTCCGAGAACAATTCTGCGTGGCGCTCGCAACATGGATCTGGGGTCACCAATGGAAGAAAGACGGTGTACATTTACTTCACGTGCGCTGCTGGACGGACAATACCAGTGCAGCAGCCTGTACCAACAACCTGTACAGCTCAAACCATTTCGCCCAAGAGCTGAACCGTGCTATCGGGTTCGCAGAAGCAACCCTCGGACTACGTATTTCAGCTGAACACTTGCCTGGTGACTGCAACCTCCTTGCCGATGCCGGGTCACGGGCGCGGACAGCATCCCACGCGAGAATATGGACTAACGCAACTTCTTCGTGGACACAGGACAGCGTTCCGGATCAAGTACGACACATCTACAAAACGTTCTCGACGACCTACAGGCCCGATCACTTGCAGATGACAGCCACCGCAAGTATGCCGGAACGTGGACAGAGTGAAGCAGCTGGTGCAACACACAAGGCTTTTCCCCGTGGCTGGCAGGTGAAAACGAAGCAGACTCTCGACAATTGGCGCTATTTGCTGTTTCCCGGTGGCTCCCACACGACAACAAACCCGGAAATGCTGTTGTCCAAACTCAGCCAAGTATCATGGTATCATCGCCGATACCGAGGACTCAAGGTTGGGCTCCACGCGGGGCACCAGCTCGCTGTGCAAGGGATGCTACGGCTGTCACCACCTCCAACCCAAAAAGAACCTGTTACCCCACGCATCCTCCGACAACTCCGCCAGGACCGCAACTTCAACAATGCCCGTGAGTGCGTCCTGTGGGGGGCTGCTCTCATGGGCTACTTCTTTATGTTGCGCCGCAGCGAATACCTGGCGGACCGAGGTCAAGTGAAGCCGTACATCCTACGATACGCGGACGTGACATGCATCACTCAAGACGGAAAACAAGCTCAACATGAAGCTGAAGCGACATCGGTTCGAGTATTTTTCCGTGGCAGCAAAACGGACCAGTGCGGGCGGGGCGAAACCAGTATCCTCGAGCGCTCTGGACTCAGGTGGGCATGTCCCGTTCGCGCCGCGTGGCTCCTAAGTCAGCATCAACAACGTATCGGCGTCTCCAGAGAAGAACCAATATGCAGCATGACACAAGGCGAGTTTATTACGGCCAAGGACATGACGGTGGCGATCAAACATGCAGCAAAGTCAACCGGTGAAGATCCTGACCGGTACGGCACTCACTCGATGCGAAGTGGGGGTGCGACCTCTCTTTTCACGACCGGGATTGACCGCTTGGCCATAAAGAGATTCGGGCGGTGGAAATCCGATGCGTACGAGCGGTACACTCGCATCGACGGGCACACTCTCACTGGCCTTGCAGCCAACATCGTCTCCCACATCTCATCGGGCCCCAGCCTTCGTCAAGCGCGGCTTCGCCAACATACGGGGGGGGGACTGCTCCAGACGGCACCGGCCCGGAGCGCCTTAACGAAGTCGAACACGAATGAATTGTGGCCCCAGCCGTGAGCGATAGTGGAAATTAAGGTTTCCGCCCCTTGTTGTGGGCGGAGACCAGTTTTTCGCTGAGCGGGAAGGCTATTGTGGTCCAAGGACGCTGCTCAGATCGGTCTGTGCTGCATCGCACCAAGTGGCTACATCCCAAATGCGCTGGCGCATCGCATGGATTCAATCCCAGTACCCGGAGGTAGTAGAAGTAGTCTAGCAAGTCATTCGTAGTTTTACCTACAAGCCAGCAGTTGCCCCACCGCACCTCACCCTGGGACTGCTCCAGGCCGCACCGGCCCGGAGCGCCTTAACGAAGTCGAACACGAATGAATTGTGGCCCCCAGCCGTGGGCGATAGTGGAAATGAAATACTCCACTTGAAAATATATCGTGGTTGGGGAGTCGAAGTGCTGCTCGAATTGAAAAAATGCGTACAGGAACTTTCACCCATGACCAAATTAGTTGCACTTCGATCTCGGCATAGTCATCATCCCTAGCATCCTGGCCTTGCTGCTCATCAAGACGAGCCATTTCGGCGTCTAACGCTTGTGCTTGCCTGGTGGTATTGTCGGTTGGAATTGAGAGAGGGACGTCATCTGGCTGACGAGCGTGGTGGACTGCAACATGATGCGCAGTGATCGGGCTAAGCGTAACCCCCTGCTCTTCTTGCATTGCAGCGACCTCTTGTACCGCACGTGCCATACGAGATGCAGTCGCTCTGTACATCGTCGGCTTCTGTTTCTTGGGGGATCTAAGTAGACGAAGACCTCAAAGTCGAAGACCCCCACTGTTGGTCGGCACTGAACCGATGCTTCCAACGCTAGTTTGTCCTTTTCGGATTCTACCACACACGCCCATCGAGAGTGAAGGAGCTCCCAAAATTTATGAGAGCTTAGCGCCTGGTAATCAACTTGTCTAGCTGAATTGGTTTGCTTGAAAAAGATCGCCCCATTTTCTGTGATCTTAGCGCCACGCCACTTCTCATCGCTACTTAATTGCTGCATCACCGTGGCCTTCAACACGTCAAAACCTTCGATTGGAATAAAAGCCAGAGTGCACTGCTTTCTGTTGCGTGGAGCAGAGCTTCGGAGACCATGAGCAAGCCACGTAAAGTGTTTGGCGAGAGTAGCTCCCGCGTGTCTTCTCTCACAGCATCGTCAGTCATCGCGCTCGTATTCTAATAGTCCCATCAAACAACCAAAGTAGTTAAAACAGTACTTCAAATACACCGATTTTTTAAAGCAAATAATAGCTGTAAAAGCATCCATTACCTTTGCCTTAGCTTCAGATGCCCTACGGCACAAACGCCCTGCTCACCAATAGCCCTCACAACTAGTCTATGAAAGCAATAGAATTATTCCACGTAGCATACTACCTTGTTCCGATCAATCACATTGCTTGTCTAATGCACCTTTGCTGATATGCCTGTCTCCCGAACTCTATGAAAGACAGCATAGCGTTGATATAAGAATGACGAGCAATTGTAGAGCGTTAGTCAACGTTCACACCAATCGAGGTACTTACTTGGTCAGTGAGAAGGCGCAGCGCACGGTCGAACACCACCTATGGCATCAAAATAGTGTCAGTAAATACTCGGCGCAACTACACTTGGTGACGGCAACTTACCCCAGGAAGTGATGATTGCGCTCTGTGTAAACTTGCAGGCCCCGTCAAGTAATGTGAGCGCAGATCTTGTTGTATGCGTGCACCACGAGCTGACAAAGTCTCAGTGCAGGTGTGAGGGCTCTGCAGTAGTCGCTCCAGTGCAGGCGAGCACGTACGTCGTCTCCGTGCAGACACGAAGGGCTTCTCGCTCGTTGTCTCCTTGCCCGCGCACAAGACTTTGTGGCAGTCGTCTCGGTACAGGTGAGCGCGGCTTCTTGTCCGTCGTCTTGGTCCAGGTCCGTGGGTCTTCTCGCTCGTTACCTCCTTGTAGGCACACGGGGTCTCGTTCGTCGCTCGGTCCGTTGTGCAAGCCTTCGCTCCACGCAGCCGCACGAGTGGGCGGTTGGCTTTCTAAAACTGGACGATTTAGCGCTCAGATTACCTCGATGCGGCTTTTCTACAACACATATTTACAGAAACAGCTTGCCATAATAGAGTTCTAAAACCGTCGGCAAAATTACTGCAACGCACAATTTATAATTTGCATATCGTGACGTAAATAAAGGCATCAGCCGACAACAATGATGAAATACATTAACTCCGAAGCTAGGCATGTTTGGCGGTATTGACATCTTACAACATTGCCGGTGTGCCCTGAAGTGCGGTACGCTTTCTGTATTGTGAAGAGTGACCCCTGGCATCATGCAGAGAATTGTATTTGCAAGTGATGAATGATCTTTGTATTAAAAGTCGTTAGAGATCGAAGTGACTACAATACAAAAAAAGTGATGAATGACACGAATATATTCTAGCTAATGCACATAGGTGCTTAGATGCCACCACAATAATTACGCAGTGGATGCTCTTTTTGGCGAAGAAATGCAGCAAAGTCGGTGATTTCGCTCGAGACACTCCCCAACACCCGTCCATCCGTAAGAAGTAACTTGAGGGATCGAGTCATGTTCCAGATTGAAGGCGGGTTTCTCCCGCATTTACTGGTGGGCTTAATCTCAAGTAAATACGGGCGGTGATCTGAGTAATTTTTAAATAATGGCAATTCTTTCTTGAAAGAAATCACACAAGTAGCCACAATTTGATTGGCAAAATGCAGAATACACGGCCTGTCAAGTTGCTTCTTACAAATGAACCGGTGTTGGGGAGCGGAAGAGCAACCGTATGTGCTTCATTTCTTCCCAAAAAGAGCACCCAAGGACCATAACATCTTCAATGTGTAAGACAGTCATACTTCAAACCGCGAAGATCCTTTTCAAATCATTTATGCTTGTGTGAATTCGAGCTAGCTGAACGAACCTATTGGGCGTTGCACTACACGATAATGAGCGAGGTCATCTCGCTGGAGGTGATGAACAGTGATTCAAGAAATTCGTTGGCAATTGCGAACAAGAGCAAAGTTTGCCCGATTACTACAATGTTACGACGCAACTTCCGAAAGATCGCAGACTGGCCTTTCCTTCCTCATTCAAACTTTGAGCGCCGGATTCCAAGATGATGAGAGGCGAATCCAATTCGGACAACCAAGCATTGGGCAGGAGTAGTCCCATACAAACTTCTATATTAAAAGAATGAAGGTCACTTGACGTTAGATGAATGGAGGTGTGGTGAAGCACCGAACAAGAATTTCCAACTGCGATGACATCAAGCGACATGGTGGCAGAACGATAGGCAGGGATCAGGCTGCGGTCGCGGATCAAGAGGGTCTATCGAGAGATCTCAAGCGATTGGATAACGTCGACGCGTAAGGCAACACATATGTCAAGACAGATTACGGGCGATCGCGCTTGGACTGCGGCGTGATTCGACGTAGACCCAAGCCCGGATCGACGACCAATCTCGCAGATCTAGGGCGGCCGAGGACAGAAGAGGACGGATCGGCAGCGCACGGCAATTCGCACAGGTCATCGATCGGGAGTTGATCGCCGATCGCCGATCGGGATCGATCGTGGATCAGGAGGCGATCGTGGATCGCCGATCGGGGTCGAACGTGGACTGGGAGCCGATCGCCGATCGGGATCGATCGTGGATCGCCGATCGGCGTCGATCGTGGATTGGGAGCCGATCGTGGATCGCCGATCGACCCGGATGGGAAGCACATGGGGGCGAAGCCAGCGCAAGAATCCAGTAATTGTTTGGTTGTAGGATGGTAGATGAGATGGCAGTGGTAGAGAGAGACCAGCTAAATATAAATCAGAACGCAATTTGCACAGAAGACCACAAGTGCCCTCAAGTCGTCAAGTCCCAGGAGCTACATTGGCCTCGGCAAGCGTTGACACTTCGGGTAGTGAACTAGCGGTACGGTTAAGACTGGATTAATACATTAGCCATCTTGACCTACTCTAGTGATCTTCCTCTCGTGTGCAAGTCCTCGATCGACCGCATACGGCTTGGCCGGCGATCGCTGCGTCTCTCAATCGATCTCGATCCCGCTATAGGAAGCGGCAAGCAACTCAGGAAAGGAAGGAGCACACCCGGAAAGGCAACTACAGGCCTTGGATCTACTCCAGGCCGACCGATCGAAGCGAAGAACCCTCGATCGGAGCGTATACTCGGACGCAGAGCGAAGACTACCGCGCTGCTCCACAAACTATCCCCGCGTCACGCCAAGACACTCGATCTTCACCAAGTGCTGCATCTTCGGAGCCCCGAGAGAGCAGATCCAGCCCGCCGACGGGTACACAAGGTGAGAACAAGTTCAGCCGATCACGGATCGTTGGGGGACCCCCTCCGGTAGTCGGTGCCTGGGCGCTGGTGGGAAGCTCGATCAGGCCTTAACCAGATTTTGGCCGATCCCGCTACACCACAGAGGAAACGTGCTGCCAGGCAGGTTGCTGCGGTGGCTAGCGCCCCTGTGTGCCTTTCATTTTGCTTCTTGCAGGGGCCGCGGCAAAGCCCTCAGCAACCAGGAGTACTGGTGGATCATCGGGCTTCACGACGGCGGCGTCTCTCTACACGAGATCGCACGAAGGACTGGCCGAGTACGTACCTGTGTGCGTAAGGTTATCAAGGCAGAGCGAGGGCTGCTCCAAGACAGCGCCAAACCCTCCCCAAGACCAGGAAGGCGGTCGGCACTCACCGAGAGGGAGGTCCGGCTGCTAGTGCGCAAGGCGGCGACAGGCGACCGCTTCGCAGCGGAGCCGAAGACGGAGCTCGGACTGAAGGCGTCCGTACGCACGGTGCAACGGCTGCTGCAGCGTGTAGACCATCTGGTGTACACCAAGATGGACCGCACGCTGCCCCTCACTGCGGCTCACAAGGCAGCGCGGATGGAATGGGCGGAGGAGCATATACTTAACCCAGGTACAGTCTCTAAATTGTTTTATCTTTTGCTTCGGGATGCTAACGGTTGTTATATGTGAAGGAATTTGGAAATATACTGTATTTCAGATGAAAAAAGTTTAACCTGGACGACCCGGACGGATTCAAGTACTACCGGCGCGTCATGAGGCAGCCCGCGCAGTCCTTCGTGCTTCGCCAGAACGGCGGAGGAAGCGTTATGGTCTGGGGGGCATTCAGTGCTCAAGGTAAGAGTGACCTGGCGAGATTGCGGGGTCACCGAAACTCGAGCCATTACATTTATACTGTGTCTGAGTATATGCTACCGTTCGCTCACTCTAACCATGGTGTCGACTTCGTATTCCAGCAAGATAACGCGTCGATTCATGCCTTGCGTGAGACGACGAGTTTATTGCAGGAAATGGAAGTCAACACCATGGCTTGGCCTGCCCGTTCCCCCGACTGTAACCCAATTGAGAACGTCTGGTCGGTTATGGCGGCTCGGGTTTACGCCCATGGCCGCCAGTATCGTACCGTGGGTGATCTCGAAGAAGCAATCATGACAGCGTGGGCCTCCATCGAGCAGGAGTACCTGTGCAAGCTCGTGGAGTCCATGCCTCGCCGCTGCCTTGCTGTCATTAAGCAGAAGGGCGGCCTCACTAAGTACTAACTTTAATATAGAAGTTTGTATGGGATTGCATAAAACTGTGTCATTTTGTCAGAAAAAGGGTCTGGTACTAATTTGTGTCGCTGGAGCCAAATTGGCAGTTTGTATGCCAGCCCTTCTAAGGACTTGGAAATTGCAGTTGTTAACACATACTGCTTCTTAGTATAGCATGTACCAGCAACATATCTAAACAGTAACTGGTAACTCCTCCTACAAGCCGAGATATCGGCAAAAGTGTGTCGCCAAATCAAGGGTCCTAATGATTTGGCGCGCACTGTACGATCGAGTATCCCCTAGTCAGTAATGAGTCGGCAGCATCCATGGTTTATATCGTAGAAGCGTGGACCACTCTTTATTATGTACTCGTGCACGAACGGGCGAGGCCTCTATGATTCTGGTACAGTAGATGTCGTGTCGTATTTAACGCTGGGCGCTACCGCACCTCACCGCAGTTGAGTCTGCTCCATGTAATACAGCTATGTCATGGCTGCCATGAGTCATGGGCCAAGACTCATGCCAGTATCTCATGGCAGATTCTCAGGCGAAGTTTTGGCAGCGCCGTGAGCGAAGATGACGTGGATACGCATCTGGATAGTTTTTAATCAATACATACCATACAGTAGACATCTCCCATGACGGGTGGATGCCGGTACATCTCTACACCATTTCCCAGGCTAGTTGAAAAGTTTCTCAAGCAATGTGAAAATGGGGGTAATTCCCAAAATACGGAGTGCTGGGGAAACTTTTGACATTTTCAACCTTTTGCGACCAAACACGGAGTTGTGGGAAAACTTATTCCCAAGACCAGCCTATAGAATCGTAGAGGTAGCCTTCACTGCAGAAAACACCAGAGACTCAAGAGCCCACGTGCTGGTGCACGCCGCTCCGGACGCGCCGCTGGAGAAGACGCTGGCAGTCGCCGCCACCATGGACGGCACACCCTCCGGTGCCTTGCTGTCCACGACCGTGCTGCTGCAGTAGGAGGGCGTATGCAACATCTGAGGTCATATGCATTTTACCAGTCTGTTCACTTTGCTTGGGACGGGTGATGGGCAGATTTGCAAGTCTTGGGAAAAATGCCGTTTTCATAGCATGAAATTAAAAATTGTGTGGCGCCACACAGCATGGAATTAGAGCTAGCCAGGGACGAGCCATTTTCACATTGCTAGGGAAATGGTGTAGATGCCGTGTAGGTACAGACAAACATGAAATGAAATGTTTGCGGTACATACGCCTTGCCGTCGTCGGCTTCATACATCTCGTCGTCGAGGTTGAAGCTCAAGCTGTACATGTATCCATAGGCGCGGACCCATCGTTCTGTAGGAACAGCAGGCGCTCCATCGGCAACAAGCAAAGCTTGCCGCGCACGGACAATGCCCAGAACATGGCCACACCCGGGAAGATTGTAAGCAACCAGCATCTACACATACGTGCTGTACAGCCGGCAGTACAGTATAATTTATACTACAGGCAGAACTTTTATAACACTGCATACAATATAATAGTGTGGAGGCGCTTATTAATACGCGCTTTCGATGCTTTCGAGGTCTCTCGATTCTCTTGACTGCCGTGTTGCCTGAAATGCACCGACGCGACTGGAAGTAACTTATGACAAATTGTAATCATCTTGGCAAAATGTCGGTCAGAACAGCATGCACAAGCCAGTCTCTCCGTTGAAATCATGGCAAGCATTCACAGTCAAGGAGAAAATATGTATGAAAAATGACGTTCCATCCCTGAATAACACACTACAGTACATCTGGATATAGCACACATACACGGATAGTGCATTTGGCAACACCAGGCTACATGTACCGCTAAAGGCAGAAACACGTACCTAAACACAATGCGGCGCCATGCCGCAGTACGGTGCGCATGGTATACTGCGCAGTGTTAGCATTGCTTTTGAATTTGAATTTGAATTTGTAGCGGTTTAGTTAGCTACCTACTCTCGAAACTAACGTATTAATGATGCTTAGTACGTAGAAAACCTAGTGAGCCACCAGTGGTGGCATCAGTATTTCGCACGTAGACATCGCAGACTTTTTTTCTTTTCCGGTGGCGTTTGGCATTAGATGCTTCGATGTAGGCGAGCACAGAAATATAACGTGTATGCAACAGTCGAGTGACACATACTCAATCGCAGTGTGATATCATAGCGCACTAGTGAGTTTACAATCTTGACAATGTATTGAGGCTGTGTGAGAACTAGATGAAGGCAGTATGCTACTTATTCATGTACATTACTCGGAATCATATAATTAGTGAGCACGCAGCTGATAAACTTGCTCTCCACCAAGTGAACGAGAATCTACATGGGCCAGGATATCTTGTACATTTATGTGGCAAGTATGTATTTTTAAGCTAGGCTACGTGCTGATATGCCCTCGTGCGACGTCACTTGTATAATTGTATAATATTGAATCATGATGGACTCCATTGTCATGGTATCATCAAGGACTGCTAGCAGATCCTACTCATCCTAGCTTGAACGCGAAGGCTATCAAGTTGAACATAGCGGGTAGAGTTCGTCAGCTGTGATCTACTTTCGGCTTTGTGAGTTGACGTTCAAGTGCAAGTTGAGGATGCCATCCTGCATGTTAACATTGCATGTTTGTACGAAGAGTTACTGAGTGAGTTGTGTAGGCTAGCTAGAAGAAAACTAGTTAGGGAAACACGTCTAATTCAATCAGATCTCAATTTACCTGTTCAAGAACAACTAGTGCTGACTGCAACGTCGACGGCATCTTGCCCGAGTGCTTCAGCTACTACTACCCTCTGCTCTAGTGCTACCATACCCATAGCGTGACGACGCTATTGTGACATTGTAGAATTTGCAGTCCAACGCCAATGGAGACGCGTCGTCAAGCTGCCGCCCGTCAACTCGCGCTCGAGAATGGTCCAGTGGACCGAACCAGTGAGCGCATTGAGAGTGTTGAAGCGACAATTGCTGAGATAAGTGAACGGATTGGCCAAGTTAACCACCGCTTAGACCAGATCCTCGAAGGCATCGACGCGTTAGTGCAGACTGTTGCAACAACACAGCAGTCGACTGGAGAAAATACTGCCGCCGTTAGTCAAGCACAAGAAGCGGTGTCGCAGACAGTTGCAGCTATCACGGAACTGCAAACCCACATCGGTGCTGTTGGCCAAGTGCATGATCTGGCTCAACAGACCGCTGCCGCTGTTGCTAGTATGCAACAGCAACCGCCTGCCGTGCAGCCACAGAGCGCACCTCGCAGACAACAATATGACGTCGAGATGGCCGCGTCTGCTTCACGCCAGCTCCGTAAGATGGAGACGAAGCCACCAACGTTCGAGGGTGACATCAACGAGTGAAGCTCAACAGTTTCATCTTCCAGTTTGAGTCCTACTTCTCATTCAAGGGCTACGACCTTGTCACCGATGACGCCGTCGTCGGTCGCGAGCTCGGTCAGTGCGTTCGCAAGAATGCGGCCACTTGGTACGAGACGTACGTGATGAACCCGATGACTATGAATACGTGGAGCGCTATGAAGGCGTCCATGGAGAAGAACTTCAAAGAACCCAACTTTCAGCAGAAGTTGAGGAACGAGCTTCTGAATTTCAAGCAACGTGGGTCCTATCAGGGCTACGTGGCAAAGTTCCAGGAAAAACTCCGTCTAGTTCCACTGGATCCTGTGTTCGCCAAGGAAATCTTCCTAAAAGGACTCACCAGCAACAATTTGCGGAAGCAGATCCTGCGAAAGAAACCTGAGACCCTGGAGGATGTGATCGCGGAGGGATTCAGCGAAGTTGAGTTGGAACGACTAGAAGAGAGTAAGCCAGGGCCGACCAACGTGAAGGACCCGCATGGGGGACACGCCCGAGGTAGGGCTGCGACTAAGAACAGTTCTGCGTCTACGTCAACTATGAGCAACAACACCTCTGCTGGGAAGAAGAAGTGTCCTCACTGCGATAAAGGGTTCCACAATCCCGACAACTGCTGGACGAAGTATCCCGAAAAGCGCCCGACGAGCCAACCTGCGTTCCGCAAGCCCACCACTCAGGACAAAACAAACTATAAAGCTAAGTACTTCGCCTTGGTCGACAAGCTGATCGTCGACGATGCAACCAACGATGCAACTCCTTTAAACGAGTAACTCTGGTCGATGACGGGCGATTGACCAGATCATGTCCTAAGCCCATTGAACGGGACAAACACGTGATAGTGGAGGAGGAACGCATTTGCATTCAAGTGGACGGTGGATCATCCGAGCCGTTTATCAAGATGCAATGTGCGGTGCAGTTTGAAGTGGACTCTGAGATGGCGAGTGGTTTTATCGATAGTGGAGCGTCGATTAATGTGGTGAGCCCATCGTTTCTCGAAGATCACTCACTTGAAGATCTTGTTCATGAACATGATGCTTCGCTCAGCTTGACGATGGCAAATGATAAGACGGAAACGGTGCAGAAGAAAACGATTGAATTGTCGGTTCGGATCGATGGCTTGGAGTATTCAACAGCAGAGTTTCTTGTGTTACCTGTACCCGCCAATCGAGATTTGCTGCTTGGTATGCCATGGTTGAAGTCGGTGAACCCTCAGATTGACTGGGTCACTGGTGAAATTCGGCCAAGCCGAGATTGTCTGCAGCAGCGTCTCCGAACTGTACTAGCTTCAAAGACAAATCGACGTAAAGGAAAAGCGTCGGCTCGGACTAATGGGGCATCGGCCTCGTACTTCTCGATGGAGACAGGGGAAACCCGATTGATTTCAACGAAACAGTTTCGTCGCATGATCATGAAGGACAAAACAATCGAGTACGTGTTCGTAATCCAGCCCGGCGGAGTAAAACCTGCTACCAGAGCGACCGACATCGAAGATTATAAGAACCATCCCGTCTACCCGTACCTGCGCAAATATCCGGGGCTATTCCGGCAGAAGCTGCCCCCAAACCTGCCACCTGTAGAGCATGGGCTACATCGCATGGACGTTAAGAGCAATGATCCGATTTTCCGCCAACAGTGGAGGCAGTCTCCGGTTCAGGAAGCGGAAATTACGCGATGGGTGAGAGAGATGGAGGCTGTGGGTTACATTCGGCGGTCGACTTCGCCGCATGGAGCCCCAACGTTTTGCGTACGGAAGCCGGATGGCTGGCGCATCGTGCATGACTTCAGAGCAATGAACCTCAACACTGTACGACGCACCATGCCTATGCCTCGCAAGGACAAAATCCTGGAGACGATGCAAGGAGCGTACTACTACTCGTGCCTCGACTTACTGAGTGGATACTATCAATTTCGGATGAGAGAGGCAGATATTCCGTTTACAGCCTTCCAGGCACCTGATGGTCTCTACGAGTATAGTTGTGCCGATGGGGTTGTCAAATGCACCAGCCACTTTCAATGATAGGATTCGCAGAGTTCTGAGCGACCTGACCGACATTTGCCAAAGTTACTTCGACGACATCTATGCTTTCACTCGGAGCACCAGTATGCAGGAGCACCTCGATGCACTGGATCGTGTGTTTGCTAGACTGTACGAGAAGAAGTTTTTCGTGAAGCTTAGCCAGTGCGTCTTCTGCGAAGCAGCTATTCCTTGGTTGGGGGACATTGTTGGACGAGACGGAGTTCAAATTAATCCTGACAAGGTCCGGGTGATCCAAGAGTGGCCACGGCCAGCGAAAAAACAGGAGATGCAGTCCTTCTTGGGCACCGTCACCTACGTCCAAAGGTTCTGCAAGAACTTCGCTGACGATGCCGGACCACTGTTTGAGATGTTAAAGACACGAAGCTCGACACTGACGTGGACACCTGTGCTCGAACGCCATTTTGAGAGGCTAAAAGAGAAGGTCGACCAGACACCAGTGTTGGCCTTACCAGATTTCGACAAAGATTTTTTCTTACGGATGGACGCTTCGGATTTTGCAATGGGAGGAGTAATCTTCCAGAAAGAGGTCCGTGACGGTGTTGAAATTGAACGACCGATTGCATTTGGCGGTCGCAAGTACAAGGCTGCCGAGTTGAATTATTCGATTCGAGAGAAGGAGCTTTTGGCTATTTTGTTTGGACTTCGGCAGTGGCGTGTTTATTTGCTGGACAGACCTTTTATCGTCGAAACAGACCATAAGAGCTTGGAAACTGTGTTCAAACAGAAGTCGATCTCGCGTCGTATTGCCCGGTGGTATGACGAGCTAGCTGAGTACCAGTTTGAGATCAGATACATCAAAGGCTCTACGAACGACGTAGCCGACGGCATTTCTCGTCGCCCCGACTTTCACGCAGACACCAAGCCTGTCACGCTCGCTACAATCTCGACTCGGAAGCAATTAAGCCGGCGTATGGAGACCTCTCTGTCGGCTACTGTGAAAGAAGCCATGGCGAGATACAATGAGGACACAACTACTGCAACTTTACTTCGACTATTGGATACATCTCAGGCCGAGGACGCTGTTGCTTTGGAAGACGATGGCGAGACCTTGCCTCGGAACCTTGAGCGGTACTCGCTGAGCGAAGGACGACTGTACTATCAGGCTGGTCATCACACTGAGCCACGCCTCGTGCTACCTCGCTGCAAGGAGCTGCTCGAGAGTGTCATTGGCCAATTTCACGACAGTCCTGTGTATGGACGTCCAGGAATTGATCGGACTTGTCGCTTAGTGGAGGGGCGCTACTATTGGCCTCGTATGGTGCGTGATATCACGAAGTATGTGAAAGGCTGCGAAGTGTACATGCGGACTAAGGCTCGAACGGAACCCCCCCCCCCTGGGCATTTGAATAGCCATGCGATTCCACTTCGACGATGGAGCCATGTTGCAATGGACTTTATCACCTGCTTACCGATGACACCTCGAGGTTTTGACATTGTGATGATAGTGATTGACCAACTTACCAAGCGCGCGCATTTTGGGGCGAGGAAGGTGACTGACAAGGCTGAGGATGATGCAGAGCGATACCATCGAGAGATTTTTCGCCTACATGGACTTCCAAACGTGGTGCTTTCGGACCGCGACTCTAAGTTTACTGCAGCTTTCTGGAAACAAATGTGCGCCTTGCTAGGTGTAGAGCAAAAGATGACTACCGCGTTTCGACCACAAGGTGATGGCATTACGGAGCGCCTAAACCAAACACTGGAGAATTACTTGCGCGCATTTTCGAATGCAGACTCGGATGACTGGGACCGACACCTGAGCTTAGCAGAGTTTGCATACAATGCCCGCTACCAAGCGTCAATCCAAATGCCGCCATTTGAGGCCGATATTGGGTATATACCCCGGACGCCTGCTACGCTTCATGTACCAGCATCAGACCAAGCGCTGAAGCGAATCAAACACTCTGAGTTCATCGTGTCTCAGTCCGATATTCTGGCTAAGGCTCGCCGCTGCATTGCAGAAGCCCAGGACCGCATGGCTGAGCACTACAACAGGAATCGGAGACAACAAACGTTTAAGAAAGGCGAAGAGGTCATGTTATCGGGTGAACATCTCTCGGCTCGACATTTGGGAACAACAAAAAAGAAGCTTGGAGCCAGATGGGTGGGGCCATTTTCAATTACAAAATGTATCGGCCGCAGCTACTACCAGCTGAAGTTGCCCCCAGGAGTGTGCATACACCCCGTATTCCACACGAGCTTGCTGAAACCATACATTTCCGTGGAGTATCGACGCCCCAACCAAAAACTGTTCAAAGTCCGACTTTCCGATGGTGCTGAAGGTGAACTCGTGGAATATGTTTTGAATCACAAGCGCTCCCGCAACCGAACACTGTATGAAGTGAAATGGCTTGGACAAGCACGGACAACATGGGAACCCGAGCAAAACTTGACCTCGATCCGTGGCCTCATCCAACGCTACCACGAACGCAGGGGAGGTCCACGCTGAGGGGAGGGAATGTCATGGTATCATCAAGGACTGCTAGCAGATCCTACTCATCCTAGCTTGAACGCGAAGGCTATCAAGTTGAACACGGCAATTAGTAGCGGGTAGAGTTCGTCAGCTGTGATCTACTTTCGGCTTTGTGAGTTGACGTTCAAGTGCAAGTTGAGGATGCCATCCTGCATGTTAACATTGCATGTTTGTACGAAGAGTTACTGAGTGAGTTGTGTAGGCTAGCTAGAAGAAAACTAGTTAGGGAAACACGTCTAATTCAATCAGATCTCAATTTACCTGTTCAAGAACAACTAGTGCTGACTGCAACGTCGACGGCATCTTGCCCGAGTGCTTCAGCTACTACTACCCTCTGCTCTAGTGCTACCATACCCATAGCGTGACGACGCTATTGTGACATCCATGCCGTGCAAGCCTTGAAACAATCGCACCTGAAATATATTCTGCGTAGTAATGGGCAATGGATATTAAAACACCCCAAACAGGAGCTAGCCCTCATGGTAGGATAATGGAGTCTATGGACTTTTCCAATTTAGCTTTATCATGATAGGCCTGTTACTTTAATGCAACAACGACAATGAACTTCGCGCATCCTGCGTGTGCTAACTAGTACAACACTGCTCCCAGCGTATGCTACCACCGCCAAAACTGAGCTAGCCTTTACAGCACTGTGATTCACTACAGTCACCTGTCAGGTTGTCCAACTTAACGCGTAGCTTAAGATAAAAACACACCTTCAGTAGCTTTGCATTCATATTATGGTGTCGGTACATCCTATGCTAAGATCTATGGACCTGGGCCGATCGAGGGCCGTGTGCGCGTGTACTAGTAAGATTGGCTGCTTACCACAACGTCTGCGTGGCCACGGTAAGATAGTGTGCTGTCTCCGGTTTAGTCGCCTAGCTGGTTGGGCTGCGAAGGTCACAGCCATCGTGCACCACTATAGAAGTGCATTCTTAGGTAATTATGCCTCCAGCGTAATTGCACTACATCCAACCGGCACAATTACGCCATCAACCGGCATAATTAAGCCGACCGAGGTGCTGGCAGAAATGGACTGATCGCAGCAAACCCATTGAACGAAACTGGTTCATGTGCAAGCTCGTCATTTTGTTGTGCATAGCAGACACTTTTTGGTTGGGGTTGGGGTGACGCCCTCCCCCGGAACGCGTGGCCAGCATGATGCTAGCTACGCGCTTCTGGCACGTGCTCTCGGGCATCTGTACGTCCCTAGCGGGTCTTTCCTTCGCCCCCAAGCCGACAGCACTAGCGACAACTACACCTCCCACCCTCTTATCGCGCTCTCCTCGCCGCGCGCATCAAACTAACCGTTTTAGGATAGGTTCGTTTAATGTCCAGTCGTTAGGTTCGACCCGCAAGCAGCAGGACACGCTCCCCCAGGACCTCCGGCGCTACCGCATCGACGTTCTCGGCATCCAAGAAACACGCATCTGCACCCTCGACAAGAAACGTATCGGAGACTACACGCTACTCACACTACCAGCCGTACAGGAGCGCCACGGGATCGGCTTTGCCATCTCCCCCCACGTCCGCCCCTACTTACGCTGCTATTGGGCACACTGCGATCGAATCGGCGTCGTTCAGCTCTTACTCCCCCACGCAGGCCCCGTGAACATCGTCACGGCGTATGCTCCCCACAGCGGTCGGCCTCTCGCCGAAGTAGATCGATTCTACGCTGATCTCAGCGACACACTTGACCAACTACCAAGGCGCAACATCGCGTTCGTGACCGGCGACTTTAACGCCAAGCTCGGACAACAGATCAACGGAGAGGCATTCATGGGACCACATGCACGAGGCATACGCAACCGAAACGGCCACGCATTAGCTGACTTCTGTTCTACTCACCTTCTCTTTGCCACTAACACAGGTTTTCAAAAGCGAGCCCGCCACAAAACAACATGGAGTCAGCGCCGGACGAATCACTGTATTTACAACCAGATCGACTATATCCTATGCCCTCAGAACTACCGACGGCTCTGCATGGACGCACGATCCTGGCGTGGAACGTTGACGGCGTCGGACCACAAGCTCGTCACCGCCGACATCATCCTGAACGCGGCCACTCACCGTCACCACTACAGCGCGGTCAAGCCAGATCCAGCACTCAAGTTAGCACGAGATCATCTCATCTACGACGACACAGCACGAGACGACTACACGAACGCGCTCCAGGCAGCGCTTTCACAGCCAACAGCACAAGGCAGCACCGTTCTCCAGCGCTGGACAGACACGCTCGATCGAATCCGAGAAGCAGCCGAGGGGACTATAGGACTCGCAGGTCCTAACCACCGCCACGTACGACATCACGACGATGAACTTCGGCTGCTCTCTGAGGCCCAGCGGGCGCTTCAGCTTCGAATCTACAACGACTGCGCCGCTAACACGATCGAGCTCCGAGCCGCCCGCAACAAGATCCTCCATCAAATCCGAGCGCGATGCTGAGCCATCGCATCTCGCAAACTGGACGAGCGGATTACACGCATCGAAAATCTGAGCGACTCGGCACGAATGTATGCAGCAGTTCGAGACATTAGCCCCCATCGACCCCAACCGCTGTTACTCCACGACCAAGAAGGTAAGTATATCCTGCGGCAACAAACTACTAACAAGGTGATCACAGATCACTTCCGAACGCTGTTTTATGACCCGGGGCGGCCACATCCTGTTCCGGATCGTGAACCGCGATCTCTAACCCGTCCTGTTACAGCAACAGAAGTCGAAGCAGCCTTTCGGCGCCTCAACAACGGACGCGCTGCTGGGCCAGATGAGCTCCCAGCAGAACTTCTTAAGTACGGGGCTTCAGTCCTCGCGCCTCTCTTCGCAGACCTCGTCAACTGCAGCTTCGAGCAAGGCACCCCCCTCGCACTCGGTGAAGGAACACTCGTGTGCCTGCCCAAGCCCAACAAGCCCCGAGGTATATGTTCCAGTCTCCGCTCCATCTTGCTGTTAAGCAGCATTCGCAAGGCCTTATCTCTCGTCGTACTCGCACGGATATCCGCTGCGGTGGACACATTCCTGTCCCCCAATCAAAGCGGATTCCGCAAACACAGAAGCACTGCTGACGCCGTGTGGGCGCACAAATGGCTCTGTGCCCGCGTGCAACGCTATCGTGAAACCATACATGTCCTCGGCATCGACCTCTCGCGAGCGTTCGACACAATCGACCGCGTAAAGCTTGTAGAAGTACTCCAGACATTCTTACACGACGACGAGGTCCGATTGATCAAGGTTTTGCTCGCCGACACCAAGCTCTCTCTGCGCTCCGGGTCCAAGGCACAACACAGCTTCGATAGCAACATCGGAACGCCGCAGGGCGATGCGCTTTCACCGGTCCTGTTCGTCATCTACCTGGAAGCTGCGTTACGCGACCTCGCACCCCACCTCGGAGTGAATCGGACCCTACTCGACCAAATTATCGTCTATGCTGATGATGCAGACTTTGTCTGCCGCGATACCGAGCTGGTCCAGCGCATCCAAGCCGAAGCACCAGCAGTGTTCGCACGCTGGTCCCTCCAGATGAATGCAACTGCGACAGAACTAACCATGATTCAGCGATGTACAGGCTCGTCGGGCTACTCCCGACACGCTCGGGGGACAGAAGAGGCGTGGCGCTCCACACAGAAGCTTAGCAGTCTACTCGGCGACTCAGAAAATCTGACACGACGCAAAATACTCGCAGCAGGCGCGCTACGTCGGCTCTGGACAATATGGATCCGGCCCCAGTACGTCAGTGACGCCACCAGAGTCCGGCTGTATAACTGCTATGTGCTTCCTGTTCTGCTGTACAACAGCGGAACGTGGGGACTGACGCCGTCCGAGCTGAGCGGACTCGAAAGCTTTCACCGCCGACAACTACGTAGCGTACTAAACATTCGCTACCCTCAGCGAATCTCTAACGCCACGCTCTACGAAATCTGTCAAGAACGCCCGCTCCGCCACAGAATCACAGCAGCACGATGGCGTCTGTTCGGCCACATCCTGCGCCGGCCCGAGATCCCAGCGTACACCCAGATGGCCGCCTACTTCGACTCGTCGTCCAAGGGAACCTGGCGTGAACGCCCACGCACGACACTACCGACTGTGCTCGATGCGGTCCTTATCTCGAGCGGATACGCCTATCGCCTCGAGACCCGCCGTGACCTGGACCAACTTCGGCTGCTCGCACAAGAGATACCTAAATGGAAAGCCCTCGAGAGGGCAACTGTCGCCGCACTGCCGGCGAAGAAGGACCCGACGTATGCGGACACCACCTTATGCCGTCGACTAGCAAAGCTGAGCCTAGCGACAGCATAGTGTGGCAACGCGAAAACGTAATACATTACATTACATTACATAGCAGACACATACTGAGCAGCGCACGATTACGCCACAACATCTTAGTGTGTTTTCCTGGCATCCAGGGCATGAAAACATAAATATGGTGATATTAATATTCTGCAGTTTGTAGTGCTTTTAACGCGTTCTCGCATTCAAGTGCGTGAAAAATGTCCTATCCATCGATCCGCTTGGATGGGCTGGATGGCATGAGGCTCATGATGAGCGGAGTTCTAATCCTCACTTTGGAATTCACCTCGGACGACGGACTGCTCTTCGCCAAACGCCATGCGTTTCTATCAAGCTACACTGGTGGCGCTAGTCGCTTTCCTCGCCAGCTCTGCTTCCCTCTCGGCGGCAAAAGCCCCAGTCTCTTCGGGTAGGTCTCTGCGGGTTAACTCACCGGTTAGTCCAGACGATGAAGACAGAGCTGGTGGCAATCTGGCATCCCTCGAGTCGACAGTGCGCAACGTTGCTTCACTGAAGGGGGGACAGCTATCGGAGGCGTCTGACGATATCGTGAAAAAGCTGTTGGGGCTCTCGGAGAAGGCCCTCAAGCCGCACAAGAACTACAAGTACATCATGTGGGACGGTTCCGCTGTCTGGAACGCGTGGCTGAAGCAACATGTCACTTCGTTCGAAGCCTGGGCTAAGGTGGGGCTGGGTAAAACCACCGAAGACCAGCTACTGAAAGTCATGAAGACCGAAGCGTTTAAAAACTACGTGTCGTACCTGAAGGTATTTGACGATGCTGCGGTTACCAAGTGGAAAGCGACTGGCCAAGGTCCTCTGGTTAGTGCCGATGCAACGGCCGGGGAGTTAGCAGCGAGATCAATGGTTCTGGCGGCTACGAATAGAGACGACGGGTACGCCAAGTTGGCTCTGGGGCTGGGCGGACTGACCGGAAGAGCGCTCAAGAAGCACGCGAACTATCCGTTTTACGAAAAGTACTACAAGGCCGCGTTGGCTGTGGCGAAGAAGAGATAAGCTGGCGGTAAAAAAAGAAACAAACCACGGTGAATGCTGGCAATCAAGAATTCGGTAGCTTTACTTGTGAGCTATTGACATTTCTATAGTCACATGTACTTTTCCAAAAATATTTGATTGTTTAAGAGGCCACCAAATAGATATTTTTTGCCGTTGCCTTGAAATTCGGACTTCTCTATCGACAACTAAGTACCTGCACGTACCCCGCTATTAATTCTTACTACGTATTAGTAGTTCGAAGAACTGTGTGAGGTGGCCTTAGAAAAAGTTTGAGGCATTGACATCCTGCTACATAACGGTCAGCGTTTTGAAGTTGCTTGAGCTTGGTGTGTTGGTCCTGCAACATTGCTGGTGTGCCTACGCTGTCTGCATTGTGAGTTGTTACCTGGAGCCCGAATAGGAACTAACTTCTCTCTATCTCCTGGAGCCCAGCTGTGCTGGAGCCGCCTCTGACTGGAGCAATGTGCCATTGTTCAGAGAAACTCCGTCCTAGTAGTTGCAAGTGATGAATGGTTCAACCTACCTAAGTAATACTTCTCGTATATCTTATAGTTGTTGTGGCTCGTAAGCTGCTCGCCTCGCAGCTTATCCAGACCCAGCACCGCCCTCGCGTACGCGCCCTCCCTATTCTTTGCGGCCAAGAGCATCGCCCTGGCACTCACCTCTTCTGGCGTGGATTTCGTACCAACCACTGAGCTTGCCAGTAGCGCGCCAGTTCGCGATCGCTTCGTTATCGATTGAATTCATGTAAGATGGATAATCTGAGAAAGGTTTCGTGCTGAGAGCTTCGTTGAGCTGATCTCGGCCTCGAACGTTCCCCAGTCCAACATTCTCCCAAACTTGGCGTGGGGAGAGTTTCAACTTCGACCAAGCGGAGACTTTTCCGATGTCTTCCCACGACCGGAAGCTCACGTAATTCTTGTGCGTCTTGAGGGCGTCCCCTGAAAGCCCATCCAGCCCCAAGCTCTTCTTTACAGCGGCATCAGATATCTCCGTTACAGTCGCGTCGGCTGTCGGCCGCTGCACTTGACCCCCTTTCTTGAAAAAAAAGTTGCGCACTGTCGACTTAATGGACGACAGGTCGCCCCACGTCGTCATCAGCATTGACCCGTGCATCCACCCGCAGTGACCTTCCACCGCCGACAAGGTCCCGACCAGCCATGTCCGTCTTGATTTGGCTTCGTTCTGCTGCTGCTGATAGGATAGCGGCGATCGCCAGGAGGGCAACTACCGTCACTAGAATCAAATGAAGGATACGCATTGTCAGTGCGTGGTTGGAGGCGATTTCTGGAATGAGCGACACCAGTAAAGTTGGTTCCCTCCTTCTCCCTATCCAGCAGCTCGAATGGAGCGGATCATTCTTTGGATGGGTATAACGCATTCGGTGAGTGCATGCGGCTTGGTCTGCATTGTAGGACCGACCGGTTAGAGCGGCCACGACGCCGATCGCTCCTACTAAACAATCGCTCTATACAGTTATAAGCCTGGCCAAGAAGTACGAGAAGGATGCGTACGCTCTTCTTGGTGACGCTTATTATTAATAATACATGTAGCTGTACGGAAGAGAATGCCGAAATGACGGTGATCTGAATAAAAACCCTGGGTATCCCTACAGTCTCTAAAATGATGTCACCCTATTTTGCGTTATACAAGAATCATCAGATTTATGCGTATGCTAGTCCGGTTCGCGACCCAACTACACTACGAACAGTCTAACGTTTTCTACTCTTTGTCTGGCAAGGAATGAGGTCGAGTTGGCCGTTGTACAAAGCTGTATCGCGGTAGCCATCTTAGGAGAAAATCTACACTGGTGGAGCCTTGGCACCTCCTATCTTGCCACTTCACGTGATTTCTACGGTGAACTCAATACACTCGACCTTCCAAATGCCTAAGACCACGAGGAATCTATTGCTATTCTGCCCGCAATATGGCCGCACTTCTGCGGAGACATGAGTGAGTCTTGCTTTGGTATAGCTACATGTAGTGCTTCAAGCAAATGACGTTAGCTGTCCGCTACTCGATAAGATAAGCAGTAGGTCGGTCCTGGTAACATGTTGGAGTGCACGCAGATATCACCAAGGAGCGGCCGAGACGAACGACGGCATAGAGAATCACCGCAACGATCACTCTACTGTAACCTGGTTCAGGCTCTTTCATTCCGATATTCTTCTGATCTCTGGCAAGACAAGTGCAAGCATCAGCGACGCCAGCGTTCTCGATCCGCTTGATGGTCTCCGGGTTGCTCCTGCTTCTGTTCGCTCCCAGCGTCCGTGCCTACTGTCCAGACGTCCCCATTGTCTTCGCTCGCGGCAGTACTGAGATGCCGGGTCTCGGAATCTGTGGCGAGCCCTTGGTGGCGAGTATCACCGCCAAGCTCGGGGACATGAGCATGTCCTCGTACGCCGTCAACTACCTCGCGGACGCAACTCAACTGAGCGCCGGCCCTGGAGCCACCGACATGACCCGGCACGTGGTGTCCGTGGCGCAGCAATGCCCCAACACCGTGTTCGACCTCGGCGGGTACTCGCCGACATCACCATCGGCATCAAGACGGTCCTCGGCATCGGTGAAGTGATCCCGGAGGCGTTGGCGCCGCGTATTAAGGCCATCGTGACGTTCGGCAACCCCCTGATGCTCTTCGGCCAGACGATCTCGAGCACGAGCACCACGTACGGACCCAAGGCGGTGGAGTTCTGCAACCTGGGCGACCCGGTCTGCGCCAACGGCATCAACGCGATCGCGCACCTCACATACCCGACCGACGGAAGCGTCACGAGTGCCGCCCGACAAGCAGCGGCATTGGTGAGGGGAGGGTCGACCAAGCTGCGCGGATATTGAAGTGAGAGCTATGTAAGGTGTGAATTGATGTAATTACTGTACGTTGTGCTGTTAATACAGTCGATGTTTGAGCAAATTGAGGAGTGTGTGCGCCACTTCAACGTCCAAACAAACACTCATCTGGTTCCAGGCGATGAAGTCCTGCCTCTGCATTCCCCCTGAAGCAGACCCCGGCCGATTTGCATGATGTGTGTGTGTGTGTCAGCTCACGGCCCATGAGTTGGTGGCGGCCACCCTCAGCGCAAGATCGCTTGCCAATCACTGTCCTCACGTCCGTGGCGTGCGTCTAGCACTCTCACTCTTCAACCTGCTCGACCGGACGCGCCTCAAGTCTCACGTAGCCCACTGGAGGGCAATGTCGTTCGCTCCGTTGAAGTCGTACGGCACGTCGTCTGATGGTCAAGCTCCGACCCCCGCTGTCCCCATCGCCAACGCCCCTCAAAGACGTTTTGGCGATGCCGTGCGCGTCGCTGGACTCGTTGGCGCGCTCGTCTTCCTCGGCAGCTACCTCTTCACCCTGCAGACGTGGACCCCAACCTCTGCGCCTGAAGATGCGGTCATCACCACCATCACGACAACGCTGACCAAGGCGGAGGAGGTGCAGCCCTTGAGCAGCGTCGAGCGAGCGTTCGTGGACGGCGTACAGCCCGACAAGCTCCGCGAGTTCCTGCACGCGTACGCCAGCGTGCCGCACACTTGCGGCACCAAGCAGGATTATGAGACGGCGCTGTACACTGCGCGGCAGTGGGAATCCTACGGCATCCACGCCGAGGTGGTAGAATACTACACGCTGCTGAGCTACCCGGTGCACCGTCGTCTAGCGATCGTGTCGCCCGAGCAGAGCGTACAGGAGCTCAACCTGACGGAGGGATCCGTCGTCGACGACTCGTGCACGACGGACCCGACGGCGCTGCCGCCGTTCCTCGCGTACTCGGCCACGGGCAACGTGACGGCGTCGGTCGTGTACGCCAACTTCGGCACGCAGCAGGACTTCGAGTGGCTCGCGAGCAACAACGTCACGCTCAAGGGGAAAATCGCGCTGGTGCGCTACGGCGCCAACATGCGCGGGCTCAAGGTCATGGCGGCCGAGAAGTATGACATGGCTGGGGTGCTCATCTACTCGGACCCGAACGAAGACGGCTTCACGCGCGGCCCGGTGTACCCCGAGGGCTTCTACCGGTCCGAGGACTCGTTCCAGCGCGGCTCGGTCAACTACATCCCTCTGTACTCGGGAGACCCGATGACGCCCGGCTGGGCGTCGGTGGAGGGGGCTGCGCGTCTCACGTACGAGGAGGTGACCAACATCCCTCGAGTTCCAGTGCTGCCGCTGTCTTACGGCCAAGCGCGTCGCATCTTGGTAGCTTTGGGCGGGCAGAAGGCTCAAAGCGCGTGGCAAGGAGGACTCCCGCTCGAGTACAAGCTCGGAGACGACGGCGCGCTGGTGCTCAACCTGGACGTGGTCATGGACAACCACGTCGGCGCCATTTGGGACGTCATCGGAACCATTGAAGGCTCGGAGGAGCCGGACAAGCGTGTGGTGCTGGGCAACCACCGCGACGCGTGGGTCTGCGGGGCGGTGGACCCTAGCAGTGGATCGGCAACGCTAATGGAGATCGCGCGTGGACTTGGAGACCTACTGGAGACTGGCTGGCGTCCGCGCCGCACCATTGTGCTTGGATCATGGGACGGCGAGGAGTATGCGCTGCTCGGAAGCACCGAGTGGGTCGAAGACAACGCCAAGCTGCTCAAGGAGGAGGCCGTGGCCTATCTCAACGTCGACTTGCTGGTGGGTCCTCTCGTGAGCGCCAGCGCCGCTCCGTCCATCGCCAAGTTCGTGCAGGACACGGCCAGTCTGTTGCCGGCGAACGCGTTCCACGGCAACAACAGCGCCCTTGATAGCGCCTCGAGTTTGCTGGACCAGTGGACCAAGCAGATGACGGAGGCGCGCTCTACTCCGGGAGGTCTGCCCTCCCCTGGTGACGCGGCCGACCGGACGCTCGCGCCCGAGCACCTCATCAACTTCATGGGCTCGGGCTCCGACTTCACGCCGTTCTACCAGCACCTGGGCGTCATCTCCGTCAACCTGGCGTTCGGACTGACCTACGCGTCCTACGGCACCTACCACAGCACCATGGACAGCTTGCACTACATGGAGACGCAGGGAGATCCGCACTACGCGTCCCACGCCAGCATGGCCAAGTGGTGGGGCGTGCTGGCCATGCGCCTCGCCAACGACGCCGTCATCCCCTTCGACTTCTCCTCGTACGCGCTCGTCATGCATGACGGCCTGCAACAGCTCGAGAAGCGTCTGGCTGACGCCGACAGGAGCGTGGAGCTGGCGCAACTGTACGCGGCTATCGACAAGTTTGGCGCCAACGCGGACGCGTTCCAGGCCACGGCACTCGAGCTGCAGACCAGCTCAGACGTGTCGGCACTGAGTGCGTGGAACAACAAGGCCGTCCAGCTCGAGCGACAACTGCTGTCGAGCGACGGACTGCCCCACCGTCCGTGGTACAAGCACGTGATCTTCGGACCGGGGTTCTACGAGGGCTACGCGGGTGCTGCCTTCCCTGGTATCACGGATTGTCTAGCTTTCTACGACGATTCGTCTACAATTCAGACCCACGTCGACGAAGTCACGCGCATCGTCAACGCTGCCGCCGAGTACTTTGTCAGTGTGGATTAATGATTCGATGGGTAGCAGCTCTGCAAGTTTTGTTCAATGCTAGCCTCACTTGCCAATCTTCTTCACATTTTACTTGGTACCTCTTTTATAATGGCCATCATCTCCAAGGCGAAAAATGCTGGCAGCGTCTACATTCGGCAGTTTGATCGGTGGTTCAAGTTTTGGCCTTGTTGTCGTCCATGTTGACGGGCTTTGCGATCTACTACTACCTTACCTTATTTACATTGTATTTACTTGTAGTTATAATGGGGAGCCAATCAGTGATCTTAATTCGTACAGCGCGATTGCCCCAACGCGATGTCGTGATTGAAATACCGCATGTAATTTACGGCCACACCTCCCCCCGCACAAGTCAAAATGCCGAAAGGCAGAACGAGGATCGCAGGCCCCGGGCGAAAACCGCCTAAGTCAGCCGTTCAAAATGAGAGCCCCAGATCGTGTATTGATAGCTTGGTGGATGAACGAGACGTGGAATGACATGACAACGTCTACCATTTGCAACTGGTTCCGTAAAGCAGGGATTATTGACAAGCCCACGATTGATCAGCAGTGTGAGCTGCCTTCTCTACTAGAGGACGACGAGGGGGAAGACGTGTTTGCATTGCTCCAGGCTGCAGGACTTCTCGATACGGAAGTTGGCATCATCGATCCAGACAATGACTTTGATCCGTAGGCAGAAATAAATTTCGTAATATATGTAGGTGAGTGAAAAGTTGATAGTAATTTACTGGAGTGCCTGAGTTGTTGAACTTGGTTCGTCTGCTGCAGGAAGCACTCTACCACCCCCATTATAACTAAATAAAGTCGGTATGCACGTACGATGCTCAAGACAATCACAGGCATTCGAAGTACAGCGTATAAGTTAGTAAGAATTCGCCGAGCCCAAGAAACGCAGAGAATTCCTGAACGCGCATGTCGTTGGAAGCCATCGGCCGGAATTCCGACTCAAGACTTGTTCCTGTTGCGTGTGTGGCATCATCGAGATACAGTATCAGGGCTCATCGCATAGGTTATGACAGTAGTAGGCCGAGCTCACGCTGAAGAGCTCAGCCTAGTGCTGCGAGTTGGTAGCACTTGACAGAAGAAGCTGGGGTTGAGTCGGTGACGACGGAGTTGCTGTAGAAGTTGTAGCTGTATTTGTTGTCCTTGTTACGCTTGCTGTACTTGTTACTTGAGAAGCGGAAGCACTGCTAACTCGCTACGATGGTGTGTGACCTCTAGCTCACGCTGTGAGGTCGCGGAGAGCCAACACACACTGCTTGGCCAGAGCAGTAAGGAAGCAGGTCGACTTGCTAACTTGTGGGTTGATTCAAGAATGAGAGCCCTGAGTCGTCGCGCCTGCTCAGCACTTCAACTGTAAGCACCCTCACTCGTTAAACTTTCCTATACTGAAGCTAAGTCAGAATAAAATGCAGGCACGGCATTGGCCATGCAGGTTTCCTGGCGAACGAGCACCTTCAAGTCCCATCTCATCCTCCACTGGCTTCTCCTGCCTTCTATCACATTGTTCCTGCCATACTTCATGCGTTTCCGCTGCTTGGCTGCACCTCGGACTCGCACTGCAAGCACCACTCGTAGATGTCAGCTCGTTTCCGCCACATGCCCTCCTCCAAGAGAAGTCCTCTGCTCATGACGTCTTGGGTGGCTTGCACTTGCTGGCTTGGCGCCGATGGTAGGGAGCAATGAGGTCTTGAACATATTGTAGAGGCTCCCAAGTCAACTTGGACTTACCGAGCCATTTTACGTGGTATTCCTTCTTCCCCTTCCTGCTGCGATAGCCAACGATGTCCTCAACCAGCTCGCCATCGCTACCATCTGGCAGCCGAACCTTGAAAAGGTCTTGGTCCGGGCGATCACTGGCAACGTACGGTTTCAGGAGGGAAGTGTGGAACACTGGGTGGAATTTCACCCGCGTAGGCAACTGCAGTCGGTAGTAATCATGTCCAATCTGCTCCACCACGAGATAGGGGCCAATCCATCGAGGTCCTAACTTTTTCTTGGTCGTACCAGCATGAAAATCGGCCAAATTTGTCGTAGATAGCAGTACTTGATCGCCAACAGCGAATGTCTGTGTTGGACGATTGTGACAATAATAGTGGCTCATACGATCTTGGGCAGCTGCCGGCGCACACCAGCCAAAACGTCTTGTTGCTGCTCGAGGAACTCCGTTCCGAGTCGTGGTTTGTCTCTCAGCACGCTAGTAGACTTACGAGACAGCGCAGGTGTTGCGGGCAAATAGCCAATGTCAGCCTCGAAAGGGGACATACCAACAGACGCTTGATACCTTGCGTTGTACGCGAACTCCGCGAGAGAGATGTATTTATCCCAGTCATCACTATTGATGTTGGTGTACGCGGGAAAATATTTCTCAGGTCTGGTTCACTCTCTCCGTGACACCATTTGCCTGTTGACGGAAAGCCGTAGTCAATTTCTGCCGGGTACCTAACATCTCGCACAGGTTTGTCCACAGCTCCGAGGTAAACTTCGAATCCCTGTCCGAAAGAAGCTCCTCTGGTAGCCCATGAAGCACAAAGGTGCGGTCGCGATATAACTCAGCCGTCTCTCGTGTCGTTGCAATAGTTGTCGTTGACAGGAAATGCGCACGCTTCGTCAGTCGATCAATGACGACCATGATCGCATCGTAGCCTTCGCTAGTCTCAGGAAGTGCCACGATGAAATCCATAGCCAGATGCGTCCACCTCGCTGCAGGGATCTCATGCGATCGTAGTAGCCCAGGGGGCTTGGTGTTTCTGCTCTTGGTTCTCTGACACACTTCACACGACCGGATATAAGCACGAACAGATTTCTCCATCGATCGCCAATAGTAGTCTCGCTCTACCAATCGGAGTGTCCTCTCCACACCTGGATGTCATAGCACTTAGCGTCATGAAATTCGTACAACAGCGCCTCAATAATCTCGGAAATATTCGGCAGTACTAGTCGGGCGCGGTCATCACTAGGCGCTCTGTAGAAGATTTGCTTATTCGAGCTGCTGTATCGCTCGAAATGACGCACAGGGGGCTTTATTTCCGCCTCTGCAGAGCTCAGATGCTCTTGGAGAGTTGCAGTAAACGGGTCGTCTGCGTATCGTTTCGTGGCTTGCTTCACAAGGTTCGCCAACCCCAGTTCGACACGCTCTCGCACTTGTTTCCGCGTTACTATCGCCGCAAGGGTTTGCGAGGTACCTTGCATGAAGTCAGGGCGGCGCGATATTCCATCCGCCACCGTGTTCTTCTCGCCCTTGGTGTAGCGAAACGTAATCGGGTACTCGCTGAGTTCATCGCACCAGCGCGCAATGCGACGCGAAATTGTCTTCTACTTGAAAACTGTTTCAAGCGAGCGGTGGTCTGTCTCAACTACGAATGGTTTGTCCAGTAGATACAGTCTCCACAAACGAAGCCCAAATTAAATCGCCAATAGCTCCTTCTCGCGAATGGAGTATTTTTTTCTCGGCGTCTTTATACTTTCTGCCACCGAACGCTATCGGGCGCTCAACTACTGCATCACCCCTGACCTCCTCCTGAAACAGGATGCCGCCAACAGCGTGGTCACTAGCATCCATGCGCAGTCCAAAAGGTTTATTGAAGTCAGGGACTGCGACTACTGGCGTTGCAGCAATCTTTTCCTTCAGCGATATGAAGTGTGCTCGCAGCGCGTCACTCCAGCGAATTACTCGCTTCACCGGCCCTTTCAACATGTCAAACAATGGTCCAGCATCGGACGCAAAGTCCCGACAAAATCTCTGGACGTAGACTGCAGTACCCAGGAACGACTGCAGTTCGCTCCGGGTACGAGGTAAGGGCCAGTCACGAAGTATCTCCACTTTCTTGGGATCGATTCGAACACCACTACGTCCCACGTAATCTCCTAGACAGGGAATTTCATCGACGCAGAAAACACATTTGCTAAGCTTCACGTAGAATTTGTGCTCTTCGAGTCTCGTCAGCACGCGGTCGAGAGCCTCCAAATGTATCCTCGGTGTACACATAGATATCATCGAAGTAGCACTGACAAATATCGATGAGGCCTCTCAAAATACGGCGAATGCCTTCGTTGAACGTGGCTGGAGCATTACAAAGACCCATCGCCAATACGAAATATTCAAAAGCTCCATCCGGTGTTTGAAAAGCTGTATACGGAATATCACAGTCTCTCATCCTGAACTGATAATACCCGCTCAGCAAGTCCATACAGGAGTACCAGTACGCGCCCTGCATTTTCTCGATGATCGTATCCTTCCTGGGCATCGGCAACACACGGCGAATTGTGTGAGAATTCATTGCACGATAATCGTGTACTATTCTCCACCCAACAAGCTTTTTCACGCAAAAGGTTGGTGCTCCATGCGGAGACGTCGAAGGCCGAATCAATCCGGCAGCGCGCAATGCTTCGACCCAGTCCGTTATGACCTTCTCTTGGGCCGGTGACTGTCGCCACTGCCGACGGAAGATGGCTTCTTGCGTGTCCATCTCCATTTGGTACTCTCCATGCTCGCGCGGCGGCAGACACGAAGGCAACTTCTGCTTGAAAAGGGATTTGTGCTTTGCCAGCACTGGGTAGACGGGATGATCACTAAACACTTCAATGTCAACAGCTTCCGATTCCTTGCCGCTCTTTTTCTGTCTTCGGACGAATTACGAAGATGCATTCAATGCCGTGAGGCTTTCGAAGCATGCGCCGAAATTGCTTGGCGGTGATAAACTTTGTTGTTCCGGAAGTCGCTGAATAAAATCTGTGCGTGAAGTAGTCACCTCCAGTCTCCTTATTCTTTCGCGGCGACACTGGGTGTCGCTGACCTCCGATTTTCACCGCAGGTCGATCTGGTTTGTGAAGTGTCTTCACTTTCTTCGTTTTCTTCTTTTTTCGTTTCTTCTTACGGGTGGTGCTGTCCAGATTCTCTACTTGGAGCGGCGGCACACGAGGCCCCACGCGCTCATTGACCCAATCAATGTCAGGATTCACGGCTTTCAGCCATGGCATACCCAACAGCAGATCTTGCTCTTCAGGGACATCGATGACGAGGAAGTCATTCGTGTACGGCTCGAAATTATTCATGTATACAGTCAGCTGGACGGTTTAGGTCGGTACAGTCATGGTCTGCTTAGCCACAAGAGTGATCTCCATGGGCTCGTTGTGGTCAACGACTTGATCCCACAATCCGTTTTCCGAACAGAACCTAGGACTGACACCATTCATAGTAGCTCCACTGTCGATAAAGTTCGAGTTGATAATGCAAAGGTTCCGCAAGGAACAGTGCACTGTACTCTGAGTATACAACAAACAGTACAAATGACGCTTGGCTTCAGGTTTTTCTTGAGTTTCATCTTTTTCTCCATGATCCATCAAATTCACAGCGTCTAAACGACATACAACATCTCTCACTCGGTCGAGCACTTCATCTTCCTGTCCACTAGAGGGTCGGCCTCCAATGGACGGGCTAGTTTGCCCCTCACTGGTGGACGGGCGGTTCTGCTCGTCCCCGATATCTAACGACTCCAAGAGTGCGTAGATTCGGTTGTGCAGCTGCTGCTTCCGCTGCAAACTGTGGGGCTGCTTCTCTGGGCGTAGCACCCAACAGTCCTCCACCTTGTGAATCCCACGTCCGCAGTGAGAGCAAAGCGTTCCTGGCGTCGTCGTGGCCCTACGAGAATTTTCCCCCGAAGTATTGCCACGCTGAGCAATTTTCTCGTTGTTCCGCTTTTGTTTCACTCCTTGTTGCTTTTTCCCAAAGCCGACATGGTCATTGCCGCGCTGGCTGGTCGTTACTCGTTTTTCCTACAGCTCGCACTCGAGGAATCCTTCTTGTACCGCAGCGGTCAGAGTAATCGGCTGCTTGCGTTGGATTGCAATCTTCATTTGCGTGTTGACCAGTCCATTCACGAACACGTTAATCGCCGTCAGTTCATCAAGACCCACTACTCGTTGTAGTTCACGAAATTTATTCACGTAGCCGCGGCACGCTCCAGTCTGCTTCAATTGCAGCAGCTGGTTGCGCACTTTAGCCTGGAAATTTGGCTCGCTAAACTCTCGGATCATCGCAACCTTCATAACGCTCCACAACTTGATCGTCGTATCATCCGTCATGTAGCGCTCGTACCAAACCGCAGCATTCTTCCGAACGCACTGGTTCAATTTTCCAGGAAGCCAATGATCATCTCGATCTCACGGTAGCCCTTCTGCTGAAAGTAGGACTCGAATTGAAAGAGAAACGAGTTGAGCTTGATTCCGTCAATTAATCCATCAAATGTTGGCGGACGTCCATCTTGCGTAATGGTGGACGTCCATCTCCACGGGTGGACGCAAACGTCCTTCTTGCCTCGGCCGGAGTCATCATGTTCACGGCAGCGGTCGCCGGAGTCTCAGCATGCTGGATACGGCTTGGGGCTGGGTCGTAATCGGCGCAGTTGACGCTGTAGCTGGGGCACTCTGTTGGGTAACCTGGGCTTGGGCCCGAGCTTCCGCAGCTATCTGTTGAGCCGTTGCTTCAGCCGCTTGAGTCTGGTTCAGCGTCGTTGACATGTTGTGCAGCGCTTGCACCAGATTCGACAGATGCCCCTTAATCTCGGTCATTTCTGCACTGACACTGCTTTCAGGTTCGTCAATTCAGCGGTGACATCAACCCGTAGACTATCATGAGCTGCCGCAAATTGTGGCGAGGCAAATTTGCAAACTCCCGCAAGTGCCACCAACGTTGCCCGGATATACTCTCGATGAAGTGACCGAACTCAAGCTCCCCATTCCGGAAGACGCTGCCGCTGATCTCTCCGGAAGTAATTTTACTTCGCGACAAGTGTGGCTGGGACGCGGTGATAGAAGAAGATTGACAGTCATTGTTTGGATCCAGATTGTGCACTCCGGACAACTGAGCTGCTACGAGTGGTGACGCGCTGCGTAGGACGACTAGTTGGCATACGCCAGAGTGCTTATGTGTGTGATGAATGCCCCCGAAGGCATGTATGTGGTTGCTGTTGCCGACCGAGCATGTATCGAGCCAAGCGACGACGCAGAGGCACCGGGATGAGCAGTGTTTCGAATGGATGGCTAGAATTCTGGATTTGGATCGAGATGGAGAGCTGGTTTGGATCCAGATGAGTCCTTGAATCTGCGGGGGAAAATCCAGTGGCCACCCATCAAGAAAGGTTCCAAACTCCAAGTATAGTCTGGCCAAGATGTTAACGACCGACCAACGCGACCGACCAGGATCTGTTATGCACGAGGGGTCGCCTGATTCCTTGCGTATCTCCGGATGTTCAAGATGATTACGGCACCTGGACCCATAGTGAAACCAAGATAAAAGTGAAGCCTGCATGTGGAAAGATAGCTAGTAGAGATCGTCTAGCACTAAATTCAACAGAGAGTTCGTTTTGCCTTGTGAGTGACACGTCGGCCGGCCAAGCCTCAGGAAGCCATTACCCGGGCCCGGCGACGCATTTCTTGCGGATAAGGTCACCTCGGGCACGCGTACGCCCGTTGTGCGAGACTCCACTACGACCTAGAGATATAATTGGTGGGGACCACGGCGACGCGCGCTAAGGAGTGATCCGCCATTTCATATTCCAGTTGGCGAACCGAACGGTAACCCATTTCATATTATTAACTTGCGGTTTGGGAGGTTGTTAGTAGTCACCCCTTGAACTTGATTGAGAGACTGCTGTGTGGTAGGATTGTATACCTGTGTGTGAATCGGTTAGTCTTCCGGAACGAATTCTAGTGTTCGGCCCCGGGAGTGGTGCGCGATATTGATTTGAGTAAGCCAGTGAGTTTGGAGCCGACAAGGGTTCTGAACTAGGCTTTGTTGATTGGACCGAAGACCCACCGCTCAAGGGTCCGAAAGAATAAGAGCGGCTGTATATCGTGTATAACTCTCTGTTTGTATTGATTGGTGTTTGGGGACGACTCCACTAATAGTCTGATCCCCCAGCCGTACTGACTCCGTTTGGAAACGAACGTGGGCGATTGTATTATTCTGTATCTGATTGATATTGTGAAAGCAACTCAGGTGGTGAACTCCGGACTTACCGAAGATAAACGCTACCTAGAGGGATTACACAAGGTCACACGCCAACTCCGGTCGGGATACTCGTATTCCAATTGGAGACTGACCCCCACTTGGGTTTTCCGTTTGGACTCACCCAACCGCTGGGCACGCAACTATACACCCTGGACGATAAAGGCGTTCACCTGCCTCGCCTCAAAATCCTTGCCTTAAATCCGTCAATCCAGCTTCCAGCTGGTCGATACGTTGAGTTGCTGTAGTTCGACTATGGTTCGTGGCACCAGAAGCGCTTTCTTCACGAGGTCCGTCCTCCAACTCCAAGAGGCGACGTGCTGGGGCTGTATCGCTGCGCAGCACGCGTCGAGCCGTGTTTCATGTCGTCATTGCCATGAAGATCAACTATGTCACAGTAGTAGGCCGAGCTCACGCTGAAGAGCTCAGCCTAGTGCTGCGAGTTGGTAGCACTTGACAGAAGAAGCTGGGGTTGAGTCGGTGACGACGGAGTTGCTGTAGAAGTTGTAGCTGTATTTGTTGTCCTTGTTACGCTTGCTGTACTTGTTACTTGAGAAGCGGAAGCACTGCTAACTCGCTACGATGGTGTGTGACCTCTAGCTCACGCTGTGAGGTCGCGGAGAGCCAACACACACTGCTTGGCCAGAGCAGTAAGGAAGCAGGATGACTTGCTAACTTGTGGGTTGATTCAAGAATGAGAGCCCTGAGTCGTCGCGCCTGCTCAGCACTTCAACTGTAAGCACCCTCACTCGTTAAACTTTCCTATACTAAAGCTAAGTCAGAATAAAATGCAGGCATGGCATTGGCCATGCAGGTTTCCTGGCGAACGAGCACCTTCAAGTCCCATCTCATCCTCCACTGGCTTCTCCTGCCTTCTATCACATTGTTCCTGCCATACTTCATGCGTTTCCGCTGCTTGGCTGCACCTCGGACTCGCACTGCAAGCACCAATCGTAGATGTCAGCTCGTTTCCGCCACAGTTATGCGGCATAACGCGAAGTGTGATGACACACTATACATAACTGTATAGCTGTTCCACCACTATAACACGGATCCTAACAAGGATATTAGGTTCCTTGTTATCGTGGTAGAAAATCAAGGCACAACGTCAACATGAAGAGAAATTTCCAGAATTTCTTAGCAAAAAATTCCACACGCGATTCGGCATTGTGGGCTACACGTATCCGATAAAGCGAGCCAGCCCTACAATTTATTGATCATCTAATGGATCTGAGTAGATCAGCACCCCCGCCATGCCGTGTTCCAGCGCCGCTAGCACCTTCAGGCCTCGGTAGTTGGTCCCATAGCGAACCAAAGCGATCTTCCCCTTGAGGTCGATTCCCTGGTCCACCAGCCACCGGAAATACTGCTGCGAGCCGTAGTTCGCGACCACAACCGGCGCCGGCACGTTGACTGATGGCGAGTACGCCAAAACGGCGGCTCTGCAGAGGTACAGGCATCTCCAGCTACCGACGCCTCGATCGGATTCAGCTCCTGAGCGGCTTCTATTGACTCGAGGGTGGCCAGACGATGATGCAGTGGTGGAGGAGCGTGTAGTAATCCTTGATCTCCCTCTGATCCCCAAGTACATTGTACTAGTACAGTGCAAGGGGGATAACCATCCTAATGATGTGATTTGTGTGCCTTTTTCCTACTCCTACATGCTGGTTTCCCGTTCAATTATTACTGATGGATGAGATACCGGAGGGGGCATCATGCAAATCATGCCCCTTTTTAGATACTAGCCGAGCGCCGCCGCTACGCGGCGGTGAATTTTTTGTTAGTTGGCGCTTCGCTCGCAATGCTCGCTGCACTATAAGAGCAGGCTGCCTACGCTTCTCTACGGCAGGTAGTAGAGTTAAACTTTGGCATGAGCTACATGTCGTGATGGGGTAGATCAATTCGGTGTTGCTATCTACAGTGTGCTGCTCACTTTGAAGTCTGTATACCTGTTATTTTATCATGTTATCGCATAACTATAGTTTGTTTCTCTATACTGTTGGTAGGCTATAGCATTTACATTCTGTGATCAGCCGATAAGCCCAAAGTGATGGCTTCGCTATTCATGTTCTCAGCATTACGTTTCGAGCTAGTTTTCTTAAAAAAAACGTGTATATATCGTGCTGCATCGTTTCAGCATTTTGTACAGCCCTAAGAATGGAATACTTGAGATTATGCGGGGCAAGGCTTGGTAGTCGAGTGTTGGTTAGGAAGGAAATCTGAAAGTGAATTAGAAAGAGTTAAGCAAAACGGCTACTACGAGTCTGTCCTACCGTGTCTTACCAACGAGTACACGAAGTCCTAGCTTCTAACTCCAACATGTTTTGTTGAGGCTGCGAAAACTAAATGTCGACTGTGGTTGCAGATCCCATGCAAACGGCAACTTCAACTTGACCTTCTCTTAGCCAGTCAGAATCACCAAATCCGGGGAACCAGCCAATCACATTGTAGCATATAGTACAACCGTACGCCTTGGCAACAACTCCACAGCCGCACGTGCCTCGATACGGAGTCGCACAACTAGACTGCGAAGTGTCCAATCGCAACACCCCCACTCAATTCGCAGTCTACCCGAGTAAATCAATGGCGTTACTTCTCTCAAGCAGGTAGCGAAGAGTCTTCGTAGACAATCGCTTCGCTAGGAAGTCAGCGCGTTGGTTCTTGGAGTCGACGTACTCCAGTTCAACTTCACCAGTCGCAACCTTCTCGCGAATGAAGTGGTATCTGATGTCGATGTGCTTGGTGCGAGAGTGGTAGCCGACATTCTTCGCCAACGCCATGGCACCTTGGTTGTCCTCGTAGATCACCGTAGATCCATCCTGCTCCGCACCCAAAACCTTGAGCAGAAGTCGCATCCACACCACCTCCTTCACACATTCGCTGAGAGCCATGTACTCCGCCTCAGTCGAACTCAGCGCGACCGTCTTCTGAAAAGTCGAGCGCCAAACCACGGGAGCACCACACATCATCCGCTGACAGAGCGTCTGTCGTCGCGGTTACCAGCCCAGTCGGCGTCCGAATACGCGACGAGCTCCGTGCCAAGCAATCCATCGTAGACGATTCCGAGATACTTGTT